ATCAATCCCGGCTCCAAACCCCCAAAAAACCCCATAAACCCCCCAAAATGTTAGAGTCCTCAGCCCTCAATAGTCCCGTAATAACCCTTCAATGGCCCTCAACAATCCCTCCCTTCTATAGCTCCTTCAGCAACCCCACCCATCCCTTCAACAACCCCTCAACAGCCCCTCCTCAACCCTCCTCAGCCCCTCCTCAACTCACCCCCACCCCCCAAATCATTACAACAAAAAACAAAACCCCCCAAAACCCCAGCCAAACAGCCCCAACCCCTCAGCCGCAGCCCCTCAGCCCCAACCCCTCAGCACCCCAAAACCACCCACCCCCCATCACGCCCGACAAAACCCAAACCATTACAGCAAAAACGAAAAACAAAACCCCCAAAACTCGACAATGTCCAGACACAAATCCTATACAATTTCTATTAACCCCCAAAACCCTAAACCGTAAAACCCTGAAACCCTGAACCCGGGAGATCCCGAAAATTCCCGGACTTTTTCAGATCCGGCAGATTCCCAAAATTCCTAGTATTTTTAGACAATAAGCTTAAACATTCCCGGAATTTTCCGGATCCCCCTGCAAGGCCCTCACAAGCAACCAAATGGACCGGAAGAGGAGGCGGGGCACCCGACAAAGCGGCCGCAGAGCGAAAATAAGGGTCGAGCCCGTAGCCTTTTATGGGGACATAATAGAATAATATCGAAAAACCCATCGATATTCTTTCTTCTATTAAAGCATGCCTTTAAAGAAAAGTATTTCATTAATTATATCCCCTCTTACATCCCCTTACACCCCCCTTACACCATCCTTATACCCCCCTTATACCCCCCTTACTACACCCTACTAACGCCTTCCTTACAACCCATGACCCCCCTTGCACCTCCCATTTGAAAGGCTCTCATGATCGTCCCGTAGCCTTTTCAAGAAAAAAAAACCCAAGCAGCCAAGAGGAACGAGAGAGGAGGGGGTAACGAAAAAATGTATATTTTATATAACTACCCGAAATGAAGGTTCGTGTCCGTATTCATCTTTGTGGGTCGATATGGCAGATAATACCGACCAGTGTGGGTGGCTGGGATTCCAGGCTCGTCTTATTCCCTCCCAGCCCTCTTACCACCAGCCTCTACCTGAACCGCTGTCTGCTCTCGGGAAAGGCCGCGCGCAAGCGTTTACAATCTTTGAGAAATCTATGACTACTTGAGGATATCCACGAAATATTCAACTACAAAATTCTCCGGGATTATCAACCTGTCATGGCACTCAGGTGCAAGTGCCCACAAACCCGACATCCGTGCCACATGCGTGCATGCGGGCCAGTTCTGCAGGACCTTTTGTGCGCCATCGTCTACCTGATCAGCTCAACCTTCAGCTCCCTGGCAAGCCCCATCAGTCTGCCTTCTTTCGGAAAGAGCAGCCCTCCTGAGTTGTAACTGCGCATGGCATATGAGTTCGACTCAGCTTGACAAATAACGCGATCTCAGCTAGCAGTCTTCAGTCTTCCGCTGCTTCCTTTCCAAGGCTCTGTGAGTCGGGCCAGACCGCCTGTGGGCTGGCAAAGCCTCGGTTGCATGTGGAACTGAAAGAAAAAGGATCCCAGCTCCTGGGCTTTTCACCTGAGCCTTTCCGGGGTTTGCTTGCCCAAGGAGCATCACGTTGCAGTTTCCACAGAGCACGACGGTCTGAGCGTGACTGAAGACCTCATCAGCACACAGTCGATGTGCAACTCCCGAATCGCAACCCAAAGTGGGTAATCCACGGCAGTCATGGATGCAGCCGAGCCGCGGTGGTAATCTGCAAGCAGCCAGGGCACTTCACGTCCATGAAGAAGCTGTTCCTTATGGCGCAAGTCGCATGAGGTAAGTCCCGACAGATGTGCGAGAGTTCATATGCCCAAGTCTTGCCGAAAGTCGGAGACTGGATCATGCGCTTCAGCTTGTGCTTCGACCTCTCCTGACATGCTTTGTTCTACTGCAGCTTCTCTTGCGGAAGCGGGAAGAAGCTGCTCGGCTCCTCCTTGACGTCGGGATTGAGCAGGTCAATGTCCATGGTTGCTCTTCTTGCCCTCTCTGAGCCTGTCAAGTGAGCCAGGTGCTTCTTACACTTCGTGGCGGCCCACGTTGCAGCCCAGTCAGCGTGATGCCCAGTGCTTGCCTTGCAGCTTCCGGACGCTGATGGTGGCGCGCTACCGCTTGAGCCAAGCAGACCACAGCGGAGAGAAGCGTTCCATCGAACATGAACCCTCATCGTAGTGAGCAAGTCTGTATCAGCAAATGGCAAAAGCGGGAGTAAAAGCATGTCAAGAGCATCTTGTTCCGTCGACGAGTCAGGAGCTGGTAAAGGACTTGAAGGATTCGTTCAAAGCCTCGGAACCGCAACGAGTCACAACAATGTGTTCTGAGCCAAAAATGACACGATCTCGACGCCTTTTTTTGTCAAGCTACTGAACTGCTGTGTTGACGCAGATGCTGTTTGGTCACTTGAGCTGCCACATCTTTCGAACCGGCATACCGTGGACCTGCATCAGCTGAGCCCCCGACATTGAAGATACGATCTGCGCGGACTTGCTGCTCCGAAGTGGCCTGGTAACAGAGACCCGCCGTACTCAGCTGCTCACAGATTGAACGAATCGCACTCAGCACTGGGTGTAGTGGGGAGCGTGCAGACTGATGTCGATCCGGATGCGCCTTGGCAGATTCAGATGTGTAGGGAAGCTCCGGTCGGATAGCTCCAAAACACGACTGAGTCCGAAAACTATAAGGATGGCTTTCCGGTAGTACTTCTTGATGCTGCTGTCTGCCACCAGCCTGCCAAGATCCAAGGTACGCTAGACCGCTAGACATACACCTGACACCACTCGATTGCAAGGGCAAACTTCAAGCAATGGCAGGCTCCACTCCGACAGGCTCAGGGGATTCCAGCCTAAGCACTCAGAGTAGCGCATTGCAGAATATTGCAGAGGCCCCTTGCAACGTCTTAGCCAGCAGCTTAAAACTTTTGGCTTCATGCTTAAAGGTTTATAAAGACTTAAAGGCGTACCTGATTGCCCTGAGCTAACGGCTTGCACCATCCCAAGTCACGGAGTGCATTGTGCTAAGCAGGGTCCTGCTTTGACAGTTCTGCATCTGCACAAAATGATGCGAAGCTCGAATCTGTCAGCGCAATAAGACTTGCAATAAGATGTACATGCACAGGCGCATAAGATGGCTCCTGATCTCTTTGTAGGACTGACCATCAGGCGTCTTTGCCTGGTTGCTTGACATGCTTTGGTGCTGCAGCTCGTCCGTGCCAGTACAGAAGGTGGGAACTGTCACTTTGCAACGATTGGCTGCATCATTGTAATCTAAGCAATTCAGGCACCTAATTCATGGATGCCACTCGCCGTGCGCTCGATATTCGTCCTACCGTCCACTACGCGAGCCCAAGAACATTGCTAGAACCTGCAAACTCCCAGCAAATCCGCCAAGGCAGCGTGCTTTTCTGCCCCTGTGCTCTGCACAGAAGACTGAGGTGGGTCTCATCGATTTCAATTTCTGAGCTCCAAGCCCAGTCGTTCAGTTCCTTGGACAGGACATCGTTTAGCTCCAACTTCTCCTTCTTGGATTGCGCATCCCCTGAGCAGTTCACTTCAGGCAATACTGCAAAGGTGGAAGCTACGGCCGACTTGCACACAAGAATGACTGCTGCGGGGCAGCTTTTCTTCTGCTCTTCGTGCCTGAATGTAGCACAACACATTCGAAGGCCCGACATACTCCAGACGGCACCTCTTGATTTTATCCTCGTACTCACGCTTTTCCCTTGCTTGTCGTTCTGCGACCTCACCGCGCAGTCCATCTGCCCTTCCATTCTGTTCCAACTAGTTGCGGGCACTGAACGATGGTGAAGTGCGCTCAGCTAGCGGCCAACTTCGCCCGATCCAGCTGCACCTTTAGGCACGCGGTGACGAAAGAGAGCTGTTCACAGTGAAAGAGCAGCACGCTCAAGCACGTTTAAAGATTTGCAATGAATCGCCGAATCGCCCCAGCCCTGTACCTCAGCCCGTCGCAGATCGCAGCTGGGAGCCGGGCCGGGGGTTGGGCCGCCTGTGGCGCCTGGGCCTGCGGCCCTCGCGAGCCTTTCGAGTTGAGGTCGAGCTCCATGAGGTCTCCGGCTACGCCGCCGTGAGGGGAGGCGCCCTGAGGTGTCGCACATTGCGCATTGCGGCATCGTTTTCGCACTTCACAGCCCCACGAGGTCGCAAGCAGCGTTGAACTCATTGAACACACCTCTTTTCGATACTCACAATGCTCACAATTCTGCTCCGCCTGGACAGACGTGGCAGGTCGGCTCCTGGAAGCTTGGGAAGGAGCCTCAGGCGCCGCCGTGGAAAGCAAAGGTGGGCTACCATGGGCCGCCGCTGAGCGAAACTCTGAGAAGAACACCCGGCTTGGGCTTCCGTCCGCCGGCAAACGCAGAGCCTCAAAACAGCACTGAGATGACTGCCGCCCGTTGCTTCTGTTCTCAAGTGCGATTCGCCAGCCTTCACTGCAATGCCACCATTAAACACTGGCACGAGGTCTTGGTCGGATGCCTGGGAGCTGTCTTCTGCTGCAGTTTGAAAACGACCGGCAGAGTCGGAAATTCACGCTCAGAAGACGGCCAAGTCTACCCAGACCCATCCACCAAAGGATCCGTCTGCTGTTGGCGCCTGAAACGCGAAATGCAGCAAAGGAGCCGTGAGCTTTGCCATGTTCTGCCATCTCAGATCATTCTAAGGCCCCATGTACTCAAAGGTACAACGCATCTCGTGCCTTAAATCGAAGATGGTAGTTTCCTGGCAGTGGAAACGACGCCCTGACCTGATTCAGGCGGATTTTCTACTGCTGACTGGCCTACTGAGTGCCCCATGTGAAACTCTCGATTAACAGGTAGCCGGCCATAGCAACTGTGACGCTCACTGCACCACCTGGCATCATGACTTACGCGAGGGCGCCGGTGAGAATAGCTACGCGCGCATTGGCACACAATCAGCTCCTACCGTGTATCCTCTACATCCCATTTCATGAGAAAATCCGGCCAGGCGCTCCCAGGGGCATGACATACAGGGCCATCTCGCGGTCCTTTTCATCGTTCTGAACCTGATGCTGCACGTGACCCGAAAGACATCACGCCGATGCTTGTGAATCGCTTCCTGGAACTCTTGACAGTCGGTACATCTCAAATGACTTCATTTCTTCTCGGCGCTCGGCCTCGTAGCTTACGAGGAGGTTGTCCTCACGACAGCCGATTGCTGCGGCCACCTGGCCACCCAGAGCCATTGCTGAAAACTGAGATGCCCCCAAAAAAACTCTAAGACCCGCACCTTCGCAAATGTCACAAACAAGGCTTCCGACATCTTACGACAAAAGACAAATCCCACCTGAGGGTATGGAATGTCGACGCCAGCATCCTGGGGTGTTGTTGTTTGGCGTCTCTCCCAACTAAAGCCCTTTAATGTCTTACAGTAACTCGCAATCGTCTGTGCCGTAAGCACATCAATTTCAAGCCCGAGAAGTTTCAGCTGAGCTTGAAGTTGATAGATGTGAAGATATTTGCAGCAAGCCCCACAACAGCTTGCAGCGCTGCCTGTATATCAGGCGCGCTCTTGTCATCCTGACCAGCAAAAAAGGCATTCCCCGCAATTACAGCACTTCACGGATGCAGCCATCAGCCAAGCCCACATATTGTCTTCGCTTTTTGAGGCTCCTTCTGCTTGTCCAAGTTGTCCAGTAGCTGCGTTGTCCGCTTCTTAAGCGTGTCGAAACCTTTGCATCAACTCAGTCATGTCCAACCGCCACAGGATATAGGGGTTGTTCGAAACCAGGGTCCCTTTTGGGGCTCTTTTGATAGGGAATTATAGAAGGTTCGAGTACGAACACGTGCCCTGAGGGGACCCGAACTAGGCCCTAATCTAGAACATCCATGACATCATCTCAAAGCGGGCAAATCAGCTTCTGGACCCATGCAATCCACTGCAAAGAGCATCAGGCAGGAAAACAGGCTTCCGGGGTCTGCGCTTGCCGCAAACAGCGACATGGTTGAATGCTAGACCGAATGTTTGTTGAGCGTCGTTTTTGCGAGGTGCTCATGAAACAAGCCTGGAGCTTCGTTATGCATCACATGAGTGGAGTGGAAGGGAGTGCTGTACCCAGCAAAATAGCGAGCTCAGGGCTATTGGCTATTTGCAGTGACAGCCTTTGGAAAGAATGCTTCGAATGCCCCATGCACGCTCACGTATGGCCTTGTATACCATTCCGCAGGTGCAGCATGACTCCACCGGCTCTGGAAGCTTTGGCAAAAGGGCATTCTTTTTTCCAAGCGCATTGATTGCTAGAAGTTCGCGACCACCGGAAGAGGTGTACTGTCGCGGCTAAGGTGGACCAACCGTCCAACACCCTCTACAGAAGCAAAACACGGCACGCTCGAAGTGCGGTGCCGCAGGCTTCTCAGAAGCCACTTGGCAAAAGTCATGCAAATCATTCTGAGACTGCTCAGGAACATTAGCGAATGTAGACTTGAATCCTGGCCGACACTGAAAAGTACAGAGAGCACTTACGGCTACGCTAGGGGTTTGTGTCATGTGCAAACTGACATGCTCCAAGAAGACAACCGTTCGCCATTTGCTCGGGCGCATCCAATCGACATAGACAGCCGGATTGCAGTGACCCTAGCTCAATTAGCTCGACCTACCTGCATTTTGCGTGGTACGTGGGACAAGTGGTATTGCGCTCTGAAAGGACTGAAAGATGTTGAAAGTTGAAAGCATGACAAGGCGTGCGTTTTGTGGGTTCAAGCGAGCCACTGGCCTGGGACACTGGCTCCTCATGCCACGAGACCCGCTCAAAGGCCTCAGGGGGCTGGGCAATGCGGGGCAATGCTGGGCAATGCGGGGCAATGCGGGGCAATACCGGGCAACGCTGAACAATGGTCACGGCACTCAACAGGGCTTGACAGCTCTGAATCCCACGTGGCCCCTTGCCTGGGTAGACACTGAGGAAAGACTGTGGCGGTGCCTCGACCAATCCGTGGCTCAATCAGTCGGCAAGCTGTAAAACTGGGAGAGAAATGTTCGAACGTTGAGGGATCGAGGGATCTTGAGCCCCCGACATCTTCAAACTGCACACGGCGCATCCAGCCATGACTGGGCACGTGGGGAGATTCTTCCGACGCTTCTTTAGCCCCACTTTTAGCCTTTTAGCCCCACCTTTAGCCCCACTTCGACTTCCGCGCGCGGGGATGTGCTTACGTGCAGAGGTATACGTATATGCGTATATACGTATATACGCATACGTAGAGTTATTAACAGCCATGAAGTGCGAGGACTCATTACATGCAACAAGAAGCGAGACCACATGGGATTACACACAACCTTTCGGACTTATGCTGCAGAGACCGATGCCTACACTACGCCCCTCCCTCTTCAAGCTCTGCGCGGGTCTTTGACCTCGCCGTTCTGGATTGCTCGCACCCTGCAATACATCCGTGGATTCTGTAGGCACCGAAGGATTTTGCGGTAGCTCGGTGAATAGCTGAACGAAGCCTGTCACGCAGCTCGCGCAACACCTGACAAATAGACGGCTCAAGGCAAGATCTCCGTGCCAAAAGACCTCGGCAACCTCGCGACACCTGCAAGAACTATCTTCTTCCATGCGCTCTATGACACAATGGCCTTAGGTTCCTGAAAATGCCAAGTCCGGTCGCCACGGGTCAGAGACCTCAAACATGCATTTGCAGCACAGCGAGTTCAATCTGTCGTTGGTCGAGTGTGTCACGAGCCAAACAATCTGCAGGCTGTACACAGCAATGAGACCTTGAGTTGCAGACCGGATGGGCGTAACGACGACAGCAGTACCGACGGCGCCGACCTCTGCAAAGTTGTCAACCTGGCGTAAGTGTTTTTGGCACAGCGAAGCCTTGCGCAGGCCGAGCCCTATGGCGGTTTGAGTCTTGATCAAGAAAACCACTCGAGCGAAGGCACCGGTCGAGAATGATAACTTTTTACAAGATTCAGACACCTTCGGTGGAACTGGTGCTGGCACCTTTTTGGCACTCATGGTGTCACTATGGATCTCGTTTGATTGCTGCCTGGTAAGATTTGGGCGAAAGACTCCGAACAGGTGTAAACCCTTACCAGACAAAAACCATTTCCATTTCGAACATCACCACCCTGTCCGACAAATCCAAATGCGAAGATTTGAGGATGCAATTCCGACTGTTTCCATTGAAGAACAACATTTTGGGCAATCGCGAACGCAATCTGAGAAGCAAGTTCTTGAACTTCACTCGTGGGGCCCGCAAACAGTGAAACAGTTATCGGGGAACCCTTAAGCTTCGAGGCCCCTTGTGTAGACAAGTGAAATGGGGCTTGCGCTGCAGGCCCGCCAACGGGGGCTGCAGCGTTCAACCCTGAAACCTCTACCGGGTAGTCCTCATGAGCTGCGCTCCCCTTATGCAAGCCAGTGAGTCAACCGTGGAACCTTTTTCTGGGAGGCCCTTGAGATTCAAACCCGTTCTTTACCAGTGAGATGGGGCATGGGTCAAAGCCCATCAGAGGCAGCAAGCGAAGGGAAACCTTACCGGGCAGCCGAACCCTTCACAAAACGACATCTGTTTCTGGAAAGCATTTCAGTACCGTCGCCCGTCTGTGACTCGCTATTCAGAGCCACCCCACATGCAGGCCACATATTCCAGCACAGCGGCTTGGGTTTCCAAAGCTTATTCGGAAAGCCACATTCGGATACATTTCGAAAAGTTGCACCGCGTACTGTCTTGAGCTCATGATGCGGTCTCTTCGTCCCCGAACCACTAGCAACCCATTTGTCGGGTGGGCAAATACAAGCTTCTATATATATATATATATACACACACATATACATGTACTGTACATACACATATCAAACGTGCAGTGCAGCCCGACATAACTCGACAACACGCAAACACCCTAGCATTGACAGCACCTGCAAACACCGCTTCCCAAGTACAAACAATAGCCTGAGCCTCCCTGGTCTGCTTATCAATCAGCAGGCCTGCTGATTCAGGCAACATTTCGGTACAGTTACCCGCTTTTTATCTGAATTTTGTGCGGCATGAGAGCGTTCCTGCGCGCGCGCTGTCCTGAGCGTCGCATCACATAATGTGTGCCACTTGTCATTACAACCTAGCAGCTCCGCTTCACACATTAAGCAAAAGCCTGGAAGGTTAGCTGAGCCTGCTTGGGCATCGAGACAAAGTCAAGACTTTTGAAGGGTCCAAAAGGGTCCGAGGTCCGGCTACCAGGTGAAACTGCCCTATGGATGTCGCGCTATCGATGCCTGGTCTGGGTTCAAAGGTTCAAGGCCGAGCTTTGGAGCTTCAACGGATTCGCAGCGGCGGCCTAAATTCTGCCTTAACCTCTGCTGATTCCAGTGGCCAAGGCGGACGAGGTGGATGCTCAAACGCCGTAACCCTTGGCCGACGACTGAAGAAAAAAAGATCCTGTTGATCCTCCGTCCATGGAGTCAGCATAGACCCTGACCCTTTGCACGGCCTCAGCTTCGAAGTCAATGCGTCGGCGCCTGGGAATACGGCAACTCGAATTGGCAAGGGTCGGGTCAGCTTGCGAGGTCCAAGCTCGACGGGGATGGACATGTCGTTTGCCAGCTGTAGCAGCACCTGTTCGCTAGCTCAACCTGCACTACCCATCACTACCCGGTCTACCCTTTGCTCGAAACCGGTCTGGATAGCACCTTGTTTGTGTTGCTGTCCAGGACGCTGCGGGGAGCGTCAGGAGTGATGTATTTCCCATCCTCTTGTCCAGTTTTGTTTGCAAGAATGTAAGGCTGAAAAGCTCGGCAGGTTTGAACTTCATTTCCGTCGCTCCTTGGTAATTGCCACAAAGTTGGATGTGTTGAACTCCTCCACGTACCGTCGCTCGACAGCATCCAGGTACAGGCTGATGGGATAGCCCTTCCTGACGCCATCTGACACCAGTGCTGACTTCGAGCACACTCCGATGGCATCTCCAAAGCCGAGCCGGCATGAGACAGGTCCGCTGCAGAAGGCCCGGTCCTCTTCGACACGTACATGCTCTCGAGGTCCGCAGCGTAGTTGCCAGCAGCTTTGCAGTCGCCGCACCTACAGTAAACGACGGCGAAATTCTCTCGAAATTGGCAAAGCTACTGCGGAGCTAGAATAGTGAAGCTAGGCGAAGATAGAGGAACTTCCCCAAGCCCCCTTTGCTGCGACGGCACCCAAGCGGAGCAGCTCGGTCGTAGTCGTCGTTCACAAGCCCATCTAAGGCCTAAGGAGAAGCAAAGTCATCAGATCTGCCCAAGAAGACTTCTCCGAAGATTATGGAGTGGCTCTCGGATCGCAAGGGACGCAGCGAAAAGTCGGGAAATGTGTACTGCGATGATGCGTGATGCTGCGTGATGATGCGTGACGATGTGTGATGCTGCATGATGCTGCGTGATGATGCGCGATGATGCGTGATGCTGCGTGATGATGCGGGACGATGCGCGATGATGCGCGATGATGTGTGATGCTGCGTAATGATGCGTGATGATGCGTGATGATTCCTGATGCTGCGTGATGATGCGTGATGATGCGTGATGCTGCGTGATGCTGCGTGGTGATGCGTGACGATGCGTGACGATGCGTGACGATGCGTGATGATGCGTGATGATGCGTGATGATGCGTGATAATGCGTGATGATGCCTGATGCTGCGTGACCTGTGCGTGACGATGCGTGACGATGCGTGACGATGCGTGACGATGCGTGATGATGCGTGATGATGTGTAATGTGGAGCGTCTGGTGTTGTCGTAGCTCTTTCTGGCCGCAGAATGAATGCAACGAGCGAAGCTCGGCACCTGCATCGCTCCGGCATCGTTTTTGTAATAGCTGCCGACCTGGGGTGCATCTTTTGGTGTAGACGGAAGCCGTTGAAAGCCAATCTGGGCTAATACGAAGACATAAACTGAATCATACGCATGTCATTTAGTAGAAATTTGGTGGCCCATTTTCTGATACATCATCCCGTCATGGAGTTGTACATGTCATCAAAGGTCTCCGAGCGCCGCACGGGGTTCACAAAGACCACAAAGGTGTACTCAGGGGAGGGCCCCAGGCCGAGCCTCTCTCAAAACTTGTCTCTTCTCACGCAAGTTACAGATGTCTTTGGCAAAGGTCGGTGTGGCGGTGCATGTCCCACTCTCGTCTCAAAGGTCCTTGGGCCGCTCCCGAAGATGAAGGGACGCACATAGAGAGCTCCATTGGTCCCTGCGTCGCTGAAGCACATGGTGTGCCGGGCTCAAGCGCATGTCTTGCAGCTTGTGTTTTTAGCTCGTTGTAACATCGCAGCTTCGACCCTAGAGCCCTAGAGCTAGTACATGGAGATACCTCACCACCAAGTGCGAGCGAGATCCAATGAGATCCGCATCACTTCTGCTGTGAATTCCGAGGCTAGCGAATGATGCCAAGCAATGAGCAAAATAGCGCCATGCAGAACCCCTGGACCGTCTTGAGTACTGCGGGGTCGCAAAGCAGACTGAACATCCCCCTGGCGCACCATGCGGGGGAACATAGGCAACGTTGTCCTTGACCTGAGCCATTGTGGGTCGTCTAAAACGCAGATGTCACTTTGAGGCATAAGGGCACCACCGCATCATGGACAGCTCGATCCCAAACTTGAACGGGCACCTTGTAGCTTATACGCATACAAAAACCGAGCTTGGAGGTGAGATCACTTGCACAAAAGATACAAAGAGAGACAAAGAAATCACGAGGACAAGCAAGACCGAACTGGTTAGATCAGGCTGTGCAACAAGTCGGGGTGCGGCCTCCGGTATTCGGAAGCGTCGACACCCATGGTTCATTCGCGCCCAACTCCTGGCATTGCAATTGTTTATGGTGCCTAGCCGCTCTGAGCAAGCAAGCGCATCGGAATGCCAAGGCAGCAGCAACCTGTCTGCAAATAGACAAACATCTCCCTGCTTTGTATGAAAGCCTCGGGGCAGGAGATTTGTGGATGCTGCATTGCTGCATCGTGCGAGTCCGCCCAGGCCTTTGAAGCCTTCGAAAAGGGCTTGGCCATAATGGAAGACATTGGCAAGCATGTGAACTGGCAGGTACCTCTGCTTCGATCCAGGGATTGCTGCTGCTGCTTGCTGCTCACGTGTCGTTGCACGGGTCCCGAAACGTGTGGCCAGTGTTCCACTCCCCGTTCTTCCAGTTCTGGCAGCAGGCAAAGCGGGAACCAGGCAGCAAAGGCTTCAAGTATCTCTGAAACAGGCACGGGCATGGGGCATTCGGAATGATATTGCAAGTGCAGGGCAACAATTCCAGCCAACTTGCTTCCGGACTGCAAACAAACATGCTAGGCTTGCAAAGCCTTGGCAACATCGCACAAGGCACATCAAGGCACTGAAACAACAGCATGCTGCAGCATGACTCAATGTTGTTTCTGTGCTCGTTGCGAATGTGCGATTTCGTCGGGACATACTCGAAGCCCAGGCTCTCCCACTCCAAAGGCGCTGATCCTGAACAGGCAATGAGAGCCTCGCTCAACATCCCTGATGCAACTTGCAGCACTTGCAGCTCTTTCATCACGAAATCTTCACCCTACATTCTAGGCTCTTGACCAACTTTTTCAGCAACCGGTCCGCCCCAGACCTCACCTGGCCTCAACATGCATCGGCTCAGCACGATTACGCAGACCACTAAGGCTCTTTCATGCTCTGTTTCGAAGCACAAGCTTGCCCCCAGCCACCGTACAAGACTTGCTGTGGAAGCTCGTCTCTTTGTCACAGGCACTGAAATTCCTGGAAAGAACATGAGGACAACTGCCGTAGAGTCGAAAGGCTTCAGTTCAAAGTCCTTGAGTGAATTCAGGAGGCAACGCCACATGCCGTCTTCTTGCGGCGGAACCTTGCCAGAGCTTCGCTAACATGATCTGCCCTCCAGACTCCCTGCAAACACGTCTGGGAAGCTCGCGGCAAGTTAGCCTAAAGGAAGATCGCGTGATGGAAGCCATGCGGCAGCAATCTACGCGCTGTTTTGTATCGTAACTTGCTTGAGCACTGCATGAGCTAATGCTAGTGGGCAATTATTTCTGCCTCGAATGTTGCTACAAAAGCTTGCACGTGGTCTCTTCAGTCAAATGCCTGGAATCCCAGCACAATCAGCAGGAATGGAACTGCCAGCGAGCATCACGCCATGCAGCTGCAGCAAGAATCAAGGCTCTTGGGGCAAGCCTGCTTGGGTGAATCTGGTGGTCTGGGAGAGAAAATCTAAAGACAACGTCTGCACGCCTCCCCGGCAGCAAGAAGAAGGCAAGGTAAGCTTATGTCGAGTCATGCAGTCAAGACCCCAGAAAAACAACAGAAGATTCTGAGCGGACGCGAGCCTTGCAATTCTGAAACTACTGGCGTTCCACACAAGTCACACTGATAAAAAGCACCTATGATTGCTCCATACCCGGTGTCACACTATCGGGTGTCACACTATCGGGTGCTAGAAGCCGGGAAACCAACAGATATCGGAGGGAAGGAGCCTCTGAATCAAGGGAGGCAGGACTCGAACTTCAACTTCCGCCGTTGTCATGCCACCCGGTTCCCGAGACACAACAAGACTGTGACTCTTGAAAGGACACACAACTCGTGATTCTGTCCCCTCCCGCGTCACAATGCGTCACACCATCTGATTACCAGGATATTCCAGACAACACGAGACTGTGAATAGAGTAAAGAATGAAGCATGACATCCGCTAGACAGACAAGGCTGGTCATTCCCCACAGCCATGGCACCGATTCGCCACCAAAGGGAGATATTCAGAGGAGATTCCGAAGGGAAAGAAGAATTCTTGAGGAGACCAGACAGGAGACAAGATCGGCAATGAGCTTTCCGGCAACCTCATCACACCATCCGGATTCCCGCACTACAACGGGATACACAAAGAGATCACGATGGGAGACAAGAGCAAAGACAAGAGCGGCCGCGAGACGCCCAGTGCTACTTACAGGACACCAGGAATGCAGGAGAGAAGCAAGACTGGCAATTCTTCAGTTCCTGCGTTGCAAGAGAAGATGGGTTGTGCAATGTTGTGAAGGGAGAACAGATGGGAGACGACCGAGTCGCAAAATGTCGCAGAGACAGCGTCGCGAGACGGCACCGTCAACAATCGCCCGAGGCGTGGCCACCAGCGGACCAGCTGAGTGCGTCCTGCCCGAGTGGAGTCGCCGAAGCGAGCAGGCGCTGAAAAGTGCTCAGAAGAATATACGGTGATATACTGATATATGGTTGTTCCAAGGGACCTAGGCTCGCAAGTGTGGTCCATTTGCAACTCCAAGGAAGACAAGATTGCTGCTTCGGCCCGCGTCATCCGCACCCTACAAGGTGGGAGACGAGAGGAGACAAGTGGACATACTCAAGGGAGACAAAACTGCTGTATTGTCCCCAGGTTGCGGGGGGGGGGGGGGGGGGGGTCGTCAACAATCAAACCTTGGATCAAGTCTACAACGCCCACAGTCCTACAGCTTCGTCAACCACAAGACATCAAGTATGTTCAACTAGAAGCCCTGACATTTGGTTGGCTGTTGGGGATACAGCGAGCCTATTTGTTTACCCGTGCCAGGACTTTGTGAACCATCACGTTGTGACATGGCGTTTGTCACCGTTTGACATGCTTGGCGTTGCGTCCGCATTTTGCCGCGGGGTCATGTCGGGAGGCCCTCAGCAGACTCAACCTGCGAAGAAGGCACCTGAGCCAGTGTTCACATGAAAATAGTTGGGGCAAAACGCCGCGGGGAAATATCGCTATCTCTTTTATGAAAGGCGGCATGCACTGGCTGTTTTTTTGGCCCAGGCGCCGGCTGCTGCAGCCGGAGTTTCACAACGAGGGGTTGCGGCAGCGAAGTCGAAGGCCCCAGCGGGCCATCTCTCCTCTGAACACCTTGCGAGTCAGATGTGAAAAACATATGTCCAAACATGTCCAAACACGCTGCAAACATGTACAAACATGTACAAACAGAATTCCAGACTCTCTTGCTTCAGTTTGGCTTGTGAGCATCCGGCCTTGTTTGCCGACGTCGGCGACGCCTCTCAACCCGGTGGTGCAGAGTGCCTCGGCATCGCGGCTCCGCGGGGCTCCTGTTCACCGGAATGGAGAACTGTTACAAGAATCAAGTGGAATCGCAATTGGCAGACTCTGCTCTTTCTGATCTCGCTTGCACAGACTCCGAGTCCTGGCCACGCAAAGTGCCCAGACCGCGGTGCCGATTGCTGTGGTGTCCACGGATCTGGAGAAACCCGACATCCAGACGGTGACTCTGATGGGCACCGGGCTTCTGGAGACCAGCTGTTGTACAGGTAGGACGGCACCTCACAGGTGTTGTAGTCGGAGTCCGGTGGCTGCTCTGAGTCCGGTTCGGCAAAGCTTGTTCTCGGTAGGGCGTGTTGTTGAGCTGCATCTGAATCTGCGCAGTGGCGACAAGGATCCAGACAAGGATCTGCAATCCTCTTCAGCAGTGGTCTCTCGGCCTTCGCGGCTTCTTGCAAGAGCCTCGAGGGATCCCCAAAGTAGGTGAGAGACACATAAGCAGTTGCAGCCACGTCCAGCGGGCACCCAGACTGCATCTGGAGGAGAGCGATTTGCAACACGGGCGACTCGCGGAAGCGAGTCTTCCCTTGGGGAGGACCATGTGGCAAAGCTTTCAGAGCATCCCTCAAATCCAGGGCTCCCGCTCCAAGCTCCACGGTCTGCGCCAACTCCATCTGGAGCGGCCCAAAACGGAAATCCGTTCTGGACAGCAAGCTGAAGCGTAATCCTCCCTGGAGCACGTCATCGGCGGTTACGAGAAATGTCAACACGTCCCCAAAGCGCCAGTTGCACTCCACAGGTTCGGAATGGTCGGATCCCTTCGTCTCATACAGCCTGTCGCTATCTGCGTAGTCCCCAGGCCCCTGAGCGATGCAACGCAGCAAGACGGAAAGAGCACCGACTACAAAGGCCTAGACTAGTGCTCGGTACCACAATGCTCCCCACATTGAATCAGATGAGCCGAGGGAATGGTCTTTCTGCTTCGTTCAACAGCCAGCGCATGTCAGCGCAGATCAGGCGCGGATCCCTTGCATAAGTTCGACCCTCAACACCTCAACCCTTGAAGCCCAAGAATCGCCGCACCCTTGGCACCATGTGACACCTTGCAGTAGAGGCTCGGTCTGCTTCTCGATCGCACCGAGGCGGACGCTGAGCTGCGGCCGTTGCCGTGACAAAACGCCCGGCCCTGGCAGTTGCGGCACGTGAGCGCCGTGGCAGCGAAGAAGAAGTCGGGCACGGTCCTACACTCCATTCGGTGCCCCGGCCCCATCAAACTACCCCCCCCCCCCTCCCACCGCAGCGAACGCATGACCCTCACAAGACATAAGACTTCAGACACCTCGCTGAGGCTGCACTGCGGAAGCGCAGCATGGCAGGTCTGGAGGCTCTGCCCTGTGAAAACGCCAGCGCCGAATGTTGCCAAGGATTGCAACATCGGTACGGTCCATGGCTAGTCTCTGCACTCCCAGACAGGAAGGAGTCTAGCAGCTGCCACGATTACAACTTGCACTTCACACCGACTCGCACCCACACCAAAATCTACCGAAGCAACTTGGAGATTGGAGATGGCCACATTAACCAAAGAGGACTGTGAAGGTCGAAGGTTCCAACAGTCAAACATAGAATATCTACGTCTCTACAGGCTGCAGCTTGATGGGCACCAAGTAGCAGATTTTGGCGGCCGCTTGGCCATAGTGTTTGGAGGCAAGTAGCCCACGGACTTCCCAACAAGGCGGCAGTCGGCATGTTCTGTGACGCGTCGACATGACACGAGCTGGACTTTTGCAACGCGGACGGGCTCAGATGCATCCAGGCTTTGCAAACGGCATCGCAGCCATCATCCTCACCACAGGGAGCATCTGCAATCGCTTCATGCCAAATGCATCCAGATGCACTTTAGCAACCACTACGGCTTATGATGACCACTGTACTCGGGCTCAGGATAGCTATCAAGAAATCTTTTGCCTGTGCTCCCGTCTGCGGGCACGCAGCCACGTCCAACGACCTTGGAATAGACTCCCAGGCCCAAGCAACCTCAAAAAAACAACTACCTCTGACACCAGGCCAGTAGAAATTCAGTGGGGAAGCAGAGCCACGGATGGCTGGGCACATCACGGCAGGGCGTCTATGACCAATCTCCAAAGCGGTTGCGCCAAAGCCTCAACATCCCGAGCCCACCAAGTTCGTCGCCGAGAGCTGGTGCTTGCAGCTGGTGCTTGCAGTTTGCGACAAAACGCATGCAAAGCTGTGTCAGGCCCAGGCCGCTGTGGCAAAGTACCAGAGCATCAACATCGAAGGCCAGGGTCCACCAATCCGCCCAAGTTTGGAGAAGACCTCGCACCTGAAATCTTCTGAAAGCGAGGGTTCCAAGTTCCAAGTCCCCGAGACTTTCTGAGCACCAGAATGACAAGTTGACAAGCAGCGCTTACTTCATCCTTCGCTCTCAGGCTCTGGCAGTAAGTGTTGCTGGAGATCTGTCCTGGCAAAGGATTCTCTCCTGACTCCTATCTCACCGAGGAGCAAAGAAGAGGGTGCTGTATTGAGCTTTCAACTAATTTTAGTCAGCCCGAGATGAATACAAATATCGAAACAAGTTCAAATCACGCAGCGGCTTCTCGCGCTCAAGGTGTCATGGGTGCGGCTGGTCCACCGGTCTCGAAATGTCTCTAAGCCGGCTGTCAAGTCAAGAGATTCAAGACTCAGCATTGGCGATGTTGGGAGTTGACTGTTTTCAGCAGCACCAGCCACCGTAGCTCTCTTTGCAACCAAGATGTCTGCAAAGCCTAGCCTCGACTCTTCTTGAAACAATACAAAGGCAGGGCCTGCCTCCTGACATTTCCAGGTGTTTTCAACAATGCAGATGCTGAACCAAGTTGATGCGCATCTAAATGACGCATACTGCGATGCTCATACTACGCGGACATGGCCTCGCAAGAGTCTCTAATCGCGAGAGCGACCTATTGCAAAGAGTCCAAAACTTGACCAACACCTGAACAAAACCTAGTGTTGAGGCAACCCTGCCCTGAACCCATCTAGTTCGGTGGCAGGCAGCCATTGCACGATTTTTTGCAACACATAACGAAGCCTGGCACACATCCCTAGAAGGCCCACGGAAAACCAACACCGACATGAACCTTGTAGCCATCCAAGCCACAATGCATGCCAACATCTCAAAAACACGGCTATGAAAATGAGTTGGAAAAAAACGGGATGTGGAGTTATTCGATCTTTGTTAGTCTTAGTCGGGGAGGTCTGGTGCTTCTGGCGTTCTAGACAAGCGCAAAGATCCCTGACCTCACACCTGAGACCCCGGAGACCCTGAAGAGCACATCGGGGCCCGCGCCAAATGCACAAGGCCGTCTGGCTCACTGGGCCAGACCTGATCTTCACGAGAACAGCAAGCTGCGCATGCTGCTGGTGGTACTTGAGTCTCTGACCAGCTTGCCCAAAGACATGAGCTCCTGCGGCACTGTGTGGCACCGGCATCCCGCATCTTTCTGTCAGACTCTGCGAAGGCAATGCAGATCGCAGTTGATCCCAGTTGCTTGCATCCGTCCTTCAAATGGTGCCCGAATGTGAGCTGACACTCTATTCGGCCTCGCGCCCTCTACACGAGCTTGCGGGTATCCTGCGCTCCCTGGAGGTTCTACATCTGGCACAGGGGCCGGGCTTGGTGGGAAGGAGTTCGGGGTTATTGGCATTCGTCATGTTGGAAATTTCTTGGGCAAAGCCCGGCTTGCGCGCGCACGAATGGTACAAGTAACGTGGGCTGTAAATGGTTCCGGCCGGACAGCTTCAAAGGAGAATGCGCTCTTGGAATCTCGGCTGCGATGCGTAGGGAGATCGCGCAGCAACACGTCTTTCAACGACATAAGCAAGCCACCTCAGATCAGGCCATTGCCCCACCTGTTCAAGATGTTGCATGGGCCTTGGGGGGCACCTGAAGCGCGTGTGGAGTCTTGGCACGCTCAAACATCTTACGGTTCAGCGCCCGGTAAGAACTAAGACAGGGTTTTGAACGGCGCCCAGTGTACAGTGTGTCTAGGGTTGCAACGTCACAGGCCTGAACCCACCCGGGTGCTGGAGGCAACTATTCAGTCCTTGACCCGTGGCATAGTAAGCACTTTGTCCGTATCAGCGAAGAGGATGAAGGTCGCCTCCCAGCCTAGGCAACGCAAGGCAAAACAGCTCAGGCTGTCAAACCTTTAGGCACCTGAACACGGACCGTTCCGATGCACCTTCCGCACGTGCCGCTCTACAAACATCAGATCGAATCGGCACATAATGGGATAAGTTCAACTTTGTTTCTGCAATGCATGTTATCTCGTACAGCTTGTTGTTCTTGTCAGCTGGATCTTGAGTTGCCGCCATCAAATTCCAAACGACTTCAAGAGTCTCACCCTCTTTTTACCAAACGCCCAATTGTCTCGAGGTGTCTGGATCACAGCGAACTCTCCCAAAAGCGCTCAACATATGGGAAGTTTGTCTCGACGACCCCACGGCTCTTTTATAAACAACCTGAACAACCTCCGACGCTTGAACTGGGAGTTGGGCATTTGAGGTGCTCAGGGCACTCAGGGCGACACCGTAATCTTTTTCCAGGCTCTCGGCACAATCGAGGAACTCGTCCTGGATGGAACAAGTGGTTCTGCTTGGTTCGCTGGATCACTTTGAACATGTAGCCCTGGCAGCCCGTGGCACTCCAGCTGCGAGAGCGCATGGCGCGGAGGATCCTGCAGGCTCACTTCTGAACTGCAGAAGACTGCAGCACTGTGAAACCTCTTGAAAGCTGCTCAAAACCTGCTCTTGGAGGCAATTTGTCTGGTCCTTCCAGTTCTGCGGCATTTGATCTCCCGCTCGGAAGTGCAGACCTTGAAGCGGGTCTCACGGCATCCCAGCGTGATCGCATGGAATCGATTTCGGAAGATACTTCACCGTGGAACACCGCGCCTATGCGGCGGCCTGCCGGCAGATTCCGCGCGTTTAGGCGCGCTTGGAGAGCAGGAGACCTCTGCAGCTACGCTGCAAGTCATGCTTGGGCAAAGGCAAAGTGTTGTCAAGGTTCGCACGGTGCGAAGAGCATCCGAAAAAGATGCGAGTGCAGCTCCGGCTGGCGGCTCAATCCTGGCATGCCAGAAGCACCCATCGAACCAAGAAGCTAGAACAACGTGAGATGTTGTCATGGCATGCTGCACACCCGTGTTTTGCACAGCTCTCCAACTGACCCAAACAGCAACTCCCATGTGTCCTGCCTAGAGACTCTGCTCGCTGCTCTGACGCATGCAAGGCAGCCGCAGTCAGACCTGGGCTTAGGCGATCCTCTCACCCACTTAGGGGTGGCTGGGAAAGTGGGAGAGAGGGAGAGAGAGAGAAAAAAAAAACACAAATAAGATTATATGAAACAAAAAACAGATGGAAAAACAAGAGACAAGAGAGAGAGAGAGAGTGACAGAAACGGAGACAGAGACGGAGACAGAGACAGGCAGACTCGGCACGCTTTTCAGAGCCGCTCGTCCTGCCTCGATGTTGCACGCCAGGATGTGCAACACTCATAAGTGTTCCAGAGCCCCTGGCGCTGATTGGAAACAAGTCGTATAACTTGTTCCTGACTCTCCAGTACCTGGCGTCATCCACCGTCCAACGATCTAGACCAGATCGGTGCGACAACTACGGGCACGCTCCGTGGATTCTGCTCAAATGCCGCCAAGTTGTCATTGAGATTGAAGCTGGCCTCGGTGATTGGGTGCACATAGCACCCATCAAATACCACGATGAATCCGAATGTCGCAACTTGCAATCTCCTTTCATAAACATGTAGAGCACATGTCCTCTGGGTCTCTGTCCGCTAGCGCTGCATGGGAACCAAACATTCGCCAATCAAGTCCGCCGGGTCTTGGCTGCAGAACCTCAGAGTCTCAAAGCACGTGGCCTGCACGGCATGCTCAGAAAACACCTAAAGCAGGTGAATGCAGTCGCTCAGGACAAGGCCATGCTCAGCGGCACTGGTCGCTGGGAGTCGATGAAAAAAGCTCTGTCCGACAATAGGGCCAGCACAAAGGCACCTCACGTTCGAGAAAAATCAAGCACTCCTGAGATTCTACATGGAAGTACCAGGCATCGATGGGGTCTGAGACGCGTGCTAAGCATCCCGTTGAGTCTGTCCCCATGTCCACCGCAATAGCTCATCGCCTGTCGGACATGAAGATTCGGCCGCGCCCTTCTTTCAGGCAGGCGATATTGTCAGAGCTGAGCTCCACGCTGTGCAAACGTACACCAAGACCTGCATCGGGAAATGTCGGGACGTCCATTGACATAGCATCGTCGCATCGTCGGTGTTTGGACACAGAAAGGCTGGGCGAGCCTTGGGGTTCGCTGGTTCGCCACCTGTCGCAAGCTGACGGACCAGGGCAGCGTGCGCCTGAAAAGAGCAAGACCCGCAGGGAGTGCAAACAGAGACAACGACCTGCTTCTGCTTCGAGCATTCCAGAGCAGCTTTGAAAGACCAGACGAAGCAGGCCATGCGGCAGCAGTGGAACCCGGAGGACGAGCAGCTACTCCATGCCAGCAGCACTAGCACAGCGACACACCCCAGTTTTTCGCAGCGTGCACTATCGAATCATCGTAAGAGCCAGTTGTCCTTGTCACTTTGACTTCTCCTGTGCCTCAAACTAGGCTCAGGAACATCAGCTGATCCCCTTGCTACCAGTCATTAACAGCTTCAGGTCAAGCCGGAATGCGCGGGCCCTAGGTCCTAGCTGCCTCTAGGCCTGTCGTAGCCCACGCACTGAGGCAAGCATCGTGTTCAAAGATGCAACAAAGAAAATGCCTGGATGTACTTGTTGATCAGCAGCGGCCTGGCAAAAGCCACGAGCTCAAACAGCATTCTGGGATATCTTGGGATGCTCGCGAATGCAAGAAAGAGCCAGGCTGGCGGCCAGCTCACAGGGGGAGGTTGCGGCCTGCAGGGTACAGTGAAGCGCAGCGCATTGGATGAGACAGCCCACCGCCAAGGCGTCGCAAAGTCAGCGTGGCAAGACAGCGTCTCTAAGCCATTCCAATGTAATGACATGTCATGTCATTACGCACATCACTTAGATTCAGAGGCCATCTCAAACCCTCTCCCGGCTATCCCCAACTCGAACGAAACACCCCGCTTGCCTCGCAGGGCGCAGCCCACTCGGCCACGAGGATGACCTGAGACAGGGGGAGGAGATAAAGGGAGGGAGGTTGGGGCACAAGCCGAGCCATTCGCAACAGATCCTCCTCCACAGGTGCCGTGGTCAGCCTGCCCAAATCTTTTCCGGCTTTTGCCCTGCCCTGGCCCTCCCCTATTGAACTCAGCTTCTTATGAACCCGAAGAAGCGGGGGCACCTCGAGATGGTGTCGGCAGTGCCTGCTTGGCAGTCCATTGCCTTCAGCGAAGTTCAGCGAAGTTCAGAAAGGCTCACTGACGTTTGAAAGCCACATGAGCTCCGCCTCGACATCTGCTACCCAAGCAGGCAAGCCAGGGCACACATCTGCGACGAAGCTGTCTAGATTTCGCACCTATTGCAGGCGGCCGGCAGCGACAGGCGAAAATTGCAACGGCGAGCCTCGAAGCGGCGCCAAATGAGCTCCACTTTGGGACTTTGGCCGCGGAGTGCTGCCTCCGAAGTCTCCAACAAATCTCTTGGAGTTCCAGCACAAGGCCACAATGGCAATTGCATAACGGCATTGGCCCAGCATTGCGCAACATGGCGCGGCGTGGCGCAGCATTGCAACCTCGCCTGACTGCTTCTTCAATGTGCCTTCACTATGTGAGTCCTTGTCCACTGTTCCCACCCCATTTCGCTCATTTTGGAGACTTTGCATGGAGAACGATAGTTCCTCGGTTCAGGCTGGGGCTGGGGAGGGGGCTCTCCCCCTAGTTGCACCTGAAAACTCTACGCCCTACACCCTGACTTTCGCCCTGGAACCTGCTGTTCAGCGGAGCGAAGGCGACGCGCGTTAGCGTGAATATTAGCATCGTCAAAGCAGATCTGTGCCTCGTCTGAAAGGGCCGTGACATGTGACTGATTGGTAACCACCTGCAGGAGAAAGCAAGCGAGCATTCAGCGGCACAAACATTAGGCAGACTCCGCTGGCCGCAAGTCACTCAGGAAGCTCCAGAGGATCACACCCAACGCAGGAGAGGCGACTGAATCGCCTGCGCTTCACATTGCTCTCCGACACAAGGCAGGTCCTGCAGTTCGCCTCGGCTTCCTGCCGAGAAGCGTCTGGAACAAGCAGACCCGGATCGGGCCTCCTTCCCCCTAACCCAACCCTTCCCCCCATGCCAAAATTATTGACGCCACCCCCCCCCCCCCCCCCCCCCCCGCCCTGTGGGACCCCCCCCAATCCCTTGGAGGAGCTGCAAACCGATGCCGTGGAGGGTCCCGCTTGTCGGTGGCTCCTACAGGGGGAGTGCCTCAAAAACCCCCCCCCCCCCCCCCCCCCCCCCCCCCCCCCCCACCCCCCCCCCCCTCCCACCCCCCCCCCCCCCCCACCCCCCCCCCCCCCCCCCTCACCCCCCCCTCACCCCCCGACCCCCCCACCCGCTCTGCCCTTCCTTTTTTGCGAAACCCTCTTTCCTCCTTTCCTGTCCTGGGGCCGGCCCGGCTGCCGAGGCGGCGCGCGCAAGCGTTTACAATTACTGCAGATGGCCTGCAGCTCTTTGTAGCACTTGGAAACGGTGCTTGCCTGAACCGCCTGTGACAATGTGGGCAAAGCAAGCCCATCATGCAGCAGACTGCATAGTACCCGAACGAACAGGGTATGTGCTGCCAGGAATGGTTCGAATCCTCTACCGAAATCTAGGAAGTTCTGTACATGCTGGAGTTCCTGTGGCACCTGCACAAAGAGCTCCAGCAACGTGCTTCTGGCATGCAGTTCTCCCATGAAAGCCTGGCGGACAAAAAGGAAGAGCCTGGCGGTGTTGTCGGGGCACAGATTCGGAGGGTCGGCCTGCCAAACATTGCCCCTCCATGACCTCAGCTGACCTGTGCCATGCTCCAGCCTGGATCGGTGCATGTTGACTTTCCGAGGGAGCAGCCTGCCTGCACTCGGTCGAACTGGAGACCAAGCAGCACGCTCACTGCACTTCCATGCTAAGCACGACAGAGTTGCCCGATGAGGAGTCGGAATGCATCACCTAGCAACAGTGTGACCGAGTGCTGCCATGATGATCCATGATGTCAGCCAGACTCCCGATCAACACTCTCGGAGCCAGGCTGTCGGGTCGTTCACCATAGAAGAGAAGGAGCTGAGCAGAGCGAAGCACACTGTGGAACACCCTGTTCTCGCTTGCGACTCTCCGGTGGGGCCTTCAGCATGGTGTGCTGGAACCTAAACAAGGAAAAAGAGGCATTCAGAGGCAGAGTTCCGTCCAGGTACAGCCTACGGACAAGCTGACACTGTGACAGACGGTGACACGTCTCAGTGACCGGCAGCAGCGATCCCGGAACTTCAACGAGCAGCGATAGCACCTGAGGACCCATGCCGGATCCCACGCCGGCTGTACCCAGCAAGCCCAACAAAACGACCTTAATAGTATCCAATCATACAAGTTCGCCCCAACCTTTTTGCTGGTTGCTTTCTCGGGTCCCGGCTCGATCCATCCATGCGGAAAACGCTTGCAACAGGGAGGTGGAGGATGTTCGAAGAGCCTGCGACAGAAACGCACCAAGGCACAAAAACGCCACAAATGCGAGAAAGGCGTTGCGCAGGCGATGCAGGGAAACACAAGCAACACGTGGCAGGATCACGGGCGAGAAGCGACCCCAGGCTGGAAAAAGACTGCCTCCGAGGCCCCTCTTCCCAGCACGTTGGCAATGCAGATCTGCTGTCCATAACCCGGTCCATGTCCCATTTTGAACTGTTCTGCTGCCTGCAGTAAGCTCCGTCACATAGGCAAGCGAACATGATGGATCCGGCGGCACATCCTCACGTCTGTCAGAGCTTCACCCCTCCCGCTTTTGCCCCCCCAAACAAGGGCCCCATTCCCCACTATGACTAACACCATCTAACACCCTCACGTAGTCGGCCGGCCCGCGGACAGAGACAGCCCTACAAACCGTATCAAACCGTTTCAGGCCCCCGCCCCGAAACGTTATGCCTTAGAGTTTGCCGAATCTGGCTTAAAGCTGCTGGTACAGTAATTGCTGGTATGTGCTCTGATCTGGTTACAAAGGTCCAGCAGGCCCTGTGCAGCTGCAGCTTTGTGGGCACAGAATGACACGACGTGAGCTTCGGGGTCTTTTTAAGCCCTTGCTATGTCGCTGAGCCTTTTGTGCTGGCTCCGCCAATTACGTATCTCCGCAGGGCATATAGGCAGTTGCTTGCGCCTCTGCTTGGCTCGTGGGCTTTGGCTCACCAGGCAACGAGACACGAAACAGCACGAATTTTGGAGGCTCATGGGTAACGTTTTGATAAAGTTTTTGAGCGCGCTGATCGAACTAAGGTGAAAACCAGATCTCGCCTTGCCACTTGCAGGCAAACCAGAAGCCTCCAAGGACAGCCCCCATCCTGTCCTGTAGCAATTGCTCTGTGAAGATGGCGCCCATCCTGTCCTCACAGGATCTTGCAGAGACATCACTGTCCAGCGTGTGAATGGAAGAAACCAGGGCCTGGAGGGAGAGCAGCGCGCTCTTCGTGAAGTTGTCCACCTGCACCCAGCGAAGCGAAGCATAGGGCGGCCCCACAAAACCGGCCTGGGGGGCCTTGGCACGGCTGGGGCCAGGGGAGCACAACAGGCAGCGCTTTGTAGAAGACTCAACTTGCCATTTGCCCATGCAGCCCAAATGCCGAGCGGTGCTGTCAAGTAAATTGTTCACAACTGAAATCTGCAGCTGATAACTACCGTACCAACCTGCTCGAGTTTTAACGTCGATGAGCTCTGGAAACAGGCAGCACCTTGCAAAGCCACGACTGCTTCCATGATCTTCCGTAGCTGCATGATTTGGCAAGTACTTGCTGCACTGACCGACTGCCAGCTTGAAGGCTTTTCCGGCAGCTCAGCTTGAAGCAAAGCAGGTGCATCGTGGAACCCTGAAGGATGTCCAAGCCTGGCTGCTGAAAAAAGGAGGAAAGACGGAAAGACTGCTCAAATCGAAAACAATCCTGACATGTCCCCTGAGTTTCAAGTCTTGCTCTGCATTCCAAACTCATAGTGAAAGATGTGGCGCTACTCCGGTCCGTAAGTCTGAATCCAGCTGTGTTCGTAATGCAACAGCCTTCTGATAAGGCCCACCTTTGGCAGTGGCTTCTCGAGCTGCCCGTGAGCCTCAATAAATAGTTGAGTGCCACTGAGTGTCCCCAACTGCCCCAGTTCCCTTGGACCACATCACTGCTTCAAAAGGTAATGCCAGGCAAATTGCAGGCTTCGTGCCTTGAAGGCGAGAGCTAAAAAGCTGCACATGGTACTTTGCACCTCGGATGGCTCGAAACCCTGCCACAACACATGCCTCCATAGCCCAAGCATCGGAGCACAAGCACTGCGCACAAGGGCTTCGGCAGGCAGATCCATCGTCCCACAGACCAGCAGCCTTCCCGTGCCCGACGTGAGGCACTTGCCTACGCGACGCGCACGTGCGCACCTCCTCTTCCTCTGCAGCCTGCAGATCTCTTCCTTGGTCGTCCTGAGCCAGACGACACTCTGTCCTGAAGTCCCAAGTTTTGACCTTCCCAAGCTCCGCACAAGCACTCTCACGATAAACTGCAACATATCCTCGACCTGCTCTCGCAGGATAGCAGGGTAGCGCTTCAGCCATGCAGTGGAAGAAGGCGGTCTGCCTATGCCCTATGCAGCCTATGCCCTATGCGTGCCTTCTCCCAAATCTTCAGCATCTCGTTGAGCTGGCAACCTTCACCCAACGACAGAAGTAAAGCACTCACTAAAACCTAAAATAACATAAGGGCTCTGGCAGGTCCGTGCGTGGAAGTACGGTGGGCAGGTAAATTCCTGGAGTCAAAATCAACCAAGCGAGGAGACGGACTTCAGAATCAGCCCAGGATCATCTGGCCCGGCCGAGGCGGGTGCTAACAAGAGCACTCATCCACCAACTACCCAGCTACCCTTTTTTCAAAGAACTTGGGCAGCTGCTTCTGTCCCTGGCGTGGGAGAGGGCACAGCGAGGGCAGAGCTCCTTCCGACAAGCCGAACCACCGACTACAGGGTTTAGGGGCTTGGGCTTCAGATTCAGCCAAGCGCAAGACGTGCAGTGGAGCGCAGCCTTTGCAGGATCTGCAAGTCTTCTGGTCAACATGTTCAAGACTACACAAACCGAATCAAGATTCACTGAATTGTAAAATTCTAGAACGGACTTTAACCTTGCTTTCACATCCCTCGGTGCCCAGCCGGCAACACATCGGCACTTGCAGGTCCCAGCACCTCCCGTTTGTTCACCAAAGAACTTATAGAGCAGCAGTTCTAACAACAGCGTCTCAGCAACTTCACCGAACTTCCAACCGCTCACTCCAACTGCAACCACCAGCACTCTTAAACAAGGTCTTGGAACTTCTTGCTGCTGTGATAGGTGTGCCCAGTGATGTTTGCGTGCTGGCAGAGGAACTGAAAAAGCTGCCAGGCATGGTGAGTTTGGAACGTCGAACGGAAATCGCAATACCTTACAAATTACAAAGAGCAGATTCCGTGTTTTTCGCAGTTGGAGGCTTGGACATGGTAGTCTGCAGGGCTGTTGGCGGGGTTTTTGTTTACCAGTTGGCTTCTGAAAGCGTTTTGAAAATTGTTTTTGAGTTTGCATGTGTCGCTGCAAAACAAGAAAAAACACACACACACACACACACACACACACACACACAGAGACACACATGCTGTTGTCCAGTAGTCTCCGGTAGACTGCGGCTTTAGGGGCCAGGGACCTTCTAATGATGGGTGAGTTGAGGGTCGAACTGCGTCTCGCAGCCAGTGCCACGAGATGGCGACTTGAGGCCTTCGGGCTAAGGAGTTGAGAAAGGTTCGATTCATGAAAGAAGGCTTCTGTTCTAGGTCTGCGAGCCAACGGCGTTTCTTGAGGGTTTTCCATCAAGCTTCTTAAACCCTTAAAACCCGAAGTGCTGAACGCCAAGCCCGGAACCAGCCCCAGAGACCATCATGTCCAAGCTTGGCAAGTGGGGCCAACCCCCCCCCCCCCCACCACGCTTTGAGAGACGAGGGTTTTCGAAGCAATCCTCGAACACCTTGCGGCCCTGAGAGTCAAGGCCCCGGTCTTGCTTTACAGCAGCTTAAGTGGTTTAAAATAAGGTTGTGCTTTGCCAGGATGGGCTCAAGCGCCTTGAAATGTCGAATGTCTTGATGTTTTCTATTCATGCAAACAGAACACTTTCAACGGTCACATTTTGGAACATAATGAGTCATATGAGCATACATGGATCGTACAACACCAAACGATTTGCGTTTCGCACCCCCACACGTCCACCCACCCCCAACCCCCTTCGCCCCAAACCCCGTTCTTCAAAAAGTGGCACTGGGCACACCTTCCACGGCGGCAAGAAGCGCATCAACTTCCTGCTGCATTTCTACGGTTGTCTAATCTTCATTCCCACCAATGCCGTGAGCTTGGCAAGCAGCGCTCTGCCCGGCATCGCTGCCATGGCAAGCGACTGATGCGAAGCAACATGGCTCCGCACGACTCTACCCTTATGCCAGGCTGGTGCCTGCCTTCTTGACCCTCCTGGTGTGGTCTATGAGTCTATGGTGTAGTCTCAAGACAGTTGTTCAGATGCGAACGTGCCACTTTCGTAGTACAGCTGTCGCGTTTAGTGAGTGGTTGCTTGCAGCTCACAAGAATGACACGAGTCCAAGACTCCCAGACTGTTGACAAAGGTCACATCAATGAATCCCTGCTTGTGCCGCAGACTGAACATGTGAACGCTCGGATCATCTATTTCGCAAGAAGCACCGAGGTCTGCCAGGCCTACGATGTCATTAGCATAAGCATAAGGTACTACGTGCTCGCCCTGGTGGCACGCACAACTTGATGCGGACAGCAGGGGCACCTGCAGACACGGCGCCTCAGGCACTGGGTGTCGGGCTAGGCACGGCACAGACGTCCCGCTGCGGAAGCAAGCGCTGGAACGCTACGGCTACAGATCCACAACTCAACGTTCAGCTCTGCTTAAAGCTCTCATTGAGGTGGCCCCTGTCCGCCCGCTGGCCGCTGTCCCTGTGCCTGTCCTCAAGCATGCCACTGCCAAAGCAACTCGTCTCTGAACCTCCTGCCAAGCCCGAGTGTCGCACGCATCTGATACATCTTCAGCTTCTGCTGGTAGAGCCGATTTTGTAGTTGCTGCGCCAGGGGCACATGTACCGACTCAAGACATCGAGCTTGAAAAGCTGGGATGAGATGCGTGTGCCATTGTGTACCGACAGGCACCTCCTGCATCTGCCGCTGCTTGAACTCCATGATGAGAGTACTGGCCTGGTACAGGGGTGGTTCTGGCACATAACGTAGTTCTACGTGATCGTATACATTTGCATGCAGCATGGCACCTCATGTCATGGCCCTGCCTGGTGCTCGAGCTGGGACTTCTGCTGAAAGGCAGCCTGCACAGCCCACAGCCATGACCTTGGAGCCTTATGGCGTCCCACATGCCTGCTGAAGCTGCATGATCTGTTGGTGGCACTGCTCGTCCAGCTCAAACTCCTGTTTAGCAAAGAAGCTGCACAAAAACCGACGAAACGTCTAGGAGTAACAACATTCAGGGATGTCCTGCTGCAGGAGTTGCTCTTCTAGCTGCATCATGTACCTGCACAAGAGTGTAAACTGTGCCGCCATGTCCCTTGGCATCTTTCATCATCTTTCAGGAGCACTTCATCTTCTTTTCCTCCGCGGCGTTGCGCAGAATCTCCATGGCTTGATCTCAAGTGCACAAACTTCGACACTCCGCTACACGAGAATCACACAAGCCAGTTTGCTGCACAATGGGGCTGCAGCTTTTCTGCTCGTTGATCGTGCGTGTGCCCGACTCCAGCTGCTGGTCCAGAGCACGGGCCTCTCTCTTCCGTTCGGGGCAATCCAGCAAAGGTGCTCACTGCTCTCGCCACATGCTTTTATGCCGAAGCAGCGCTGAGGCAACGCTGAGGCCCGCTCATAAGCCTGCTTTTGGTTCTCAATTGAAGCTGGCGTCGGCCTCGGTCTGGTTTCAAAGTGGCGCCTTTTGATGGCCTGGGTAATCTCAGGAGCCAACATTTGGTCTGTTTGCCTCTTTGGCGGGGGACCAAGATCCTTGCCAAGCACTCACATTGGCATGCTACGTTCCACAGCGCATCACGCATCCTGACGGGACTGTGCTGACACGATCGAACCATACGAGAACCAGGCATCTGCAGCTGGCAGTGGAGGCGCCTGGTCACAGGTCCCATTGTCTGTACAGAGCGTCGAAGAGATGGTTATAACATGGCAGACGGGTGCGTTCAGCCGCAAAACGTTGGCCTGCCACTGTGGTGGCGTCGGCAGCGCAAACTGCCTAGGACCGTCACGGTGCTCTCCGCATCTCTCCGCCATGTCTCGGGCCGGTGGTGTCTTTCCTCTTGGTACTCTTGGCGCGGTGCTGTGCTTGCGACTGCTGGTAGGCAGAAGGAGCAGCTGCAGGGCATTGCAACATGCCTGACATGTGCTGTGCCACGTGTATCACAAGACAGCAAGAGCGAGACAGAGCAAGCCGCATCAGTTTGAGGTGCGGGCTCAGAAGTTGGCTTTTGCCAGGGGTTCTAAGGCTGAGCCCGGGCCCGTCGAAGCTGCGGCATCATGCAACTAATACGCTGCGCACTTCGAGGCACCTGGTGCATCCTAGCGCGAAAGCATGAACACAGTCCGCCGGTCCACGTGCAGGGTTCTCGTGTTTTGGCATTGGCATTAGCATTTGTCAGTCTTGAGCTTTTCGTTAGCATAAGGATACAGCTAGCCACTTGTTCCCAGGAACAGAGCAAGTACCCCGTCCACGCTCTCAGACCTTTCTGCAAGTACTACTACAGTTTATGCTACAGCTCAAGCAGGGGCACCTGCAGACACGGCGCCTCAGGCACTGGGTGTCGGGCTAGGCACGGCACAGACGTCCCGCTGCGGAAGCAAGCGCTGGAACGCTACGGCTACAGATCCACAACTCAACGTTCAGCTCTGCTTAAAGCTCTCATTGAGGTGGCCCCTGTCCGCCCGCTGGCCGCTGTCCCTGTGCCTGTCCTCAAGCATGCCACTGCCAAAGCAACTCGTCTCTGAACCTCCTGCCAAGCCCGAGTGTCGCACGCATCTGATACATCTTCAGCTTCTGCTGGTAGAGCCGATTTTGTAGTTGCTGCGCCAGGGGCACATGTACCGACTCAAGACATCGAGCTTGAAAAGCTGGGATGAGATGCGTGTGCCATTGTGTACCGACAGGCACCTCCTGCATCTGCCGCTGCTTGAACTCCATGATGAGAGTACTGGCCTGGTACAGGGGTGGTTCTGGCACATAACGTAGTTCTACGTGATCGTATACGTTTGCATGCAGCATGGCACCTCATGTCATGGCCCTGCCTGGTGCTCGAGCTGGGACTTCTGCTGAAAGGCAGCCTGCACAGCCCACAGCCATGACCTTGGAGCCTTATGGCGTCCCACATGCCTGCTGAAGCTGCATGATCTGTTGGTGGCACTGCTCGTCCAGCTCAAACTCCTGTTTAGCAATAGCAAAGAAGCTGCACAAAAACCGACGAAACGTCTAGGAGTAACAACATTCAGGGATGTCCTGCTGCAGGAGTTGCTCTTCTAGCTGCATCATGTACCTGCACAAGAGTGTAAACTGTGCTGCCATGTCCCTTGGCATCTTTCATCATCTTTCAGGAGCACTTCATCTTCTTTTCCTCCGCGGCGTTGCGCAGAATCTCCATGGCTTGATCTCAAGTGCACAAACTTCGACACTCCGCTACACGAGAATCACACAGCCAGTTTGCTGCACAATGGGGCTGCAGCTTTTCTGCTCGTTGATCGTGCGTGTGCCCGACTCCAGCTGCTGGTCCAGAGCACGGGCCTCTCTCTTCCGTTCGGGGCAATCCAGCAAAGGTGCTCATTGCTCTCGCCACATGCTTTTATGCCGAAGCAGCGCTGAGGCAACGCTGAGGCCCGCTCATAAGCCTGCTTTTGGTTCTCAATTGAAGCTGGCGTCGGCCTCGGTCTGGTTTCAAAGTGGCGCCTTTTGATGGCCTGGGTTATCTCAGGAGCCAACATTTGGTCTGTTTGCCTCTTTGGCGGAGGACCAAGATCCTTGCCAAGCACTCACATTGGCATGCTACGTTCCACAGCGCATCACGCATCCTGACAGGACTGTGCTGACACGATCGAACCATACGAGAACCAGGCATCTGCAGCTGGCAGTGGAGGCGCCTGGTCACAGGTCCCATTGTCTGTACAGAGCGTCGAAGAAGATGGTTATAACATGGCAGACGGGTGCGTTCAGCCGCAAAACGTTGGCCTGCCACTGCGGTGGAGTCGGCAGCGCAAACTGCCTAGGACCGTCACGGTGCCCTCCGCATCTCTCCGCCATGTCTGGTGGTGTCTTTCCTCTTGGTACTCTTGGCGCGGTGCTGTGCTTGCGACTGCTGGTAGGCAGAAGGAGCAGCTGCAGGGCATTGCAACATGCCTGACACGTGCTGTGCCACGTGTATCACAAGACAGCAAGAGCGAGACAGAGCAAGCCGCATCAGCTCGAGGTGCGGGCTCAGAAGTTGGCTTTTGCCAGGGGTTCTAAGGCTGAGCCCGGGCCCGTCGAAGCTGCGGCAACATGAAATTGATACAGACAAGTATGTACATAATATCGATTTCAATACAGATCATGTAGGTACACATGGTATATATCATAGCACACCAGCCCAAACCCGTGCCTGGTTCCAGACCAATACAAACACTGCTAACGACTGCCAATTTATCACCTCCATATAAATGGTGTGCCAACCTGTGCGAAGCACGAGCTGGAACCCAAGACCTGAAGGTCTTTTCTCAGCGAAGGCGGCGGCGGGCATGCTAAATATGAGAAAGAGGTACTAAGTATGCACAAGTTGTACAGCGAACAGCAGCACAAGTAAGCTTCCTAAACAAACCCGGCATGGACCTGCCGCGGACCTTTCCCCTCCAACGCTCAGCTTGCCCAAAGAAAACTCCACGATGATGGGATCGTGCATGTTGACGGTGGCCCATGCTGGCGGTTGATGGCCGCCCTCAGTTCCGAACGGAAAGATTGTCTTCATGGAGGCTTCCTTGGCTGGGAAGCCTCCAGCGATGACGCGATCAAACGCATGCAGGTAGATCGGATAGCAGCAGGTTTTCTGTTGGGCGCTGCCCACAACGCCTGTCACATTCGGGTAAATATCAGCCATGATCTCTCCGGCCGTTCTTTCCCGGTTTGTGTCCGCGATTAAGACCACCTTCTCAAGTACTCAGGGCATTCATAGGCTGTCTAGGGCATGGTCTACATGACAGCTGTCGACAAATCAACTGGTCTTAACAGTTCGTTGCAGGCCATCCTAACCATGAACACGCACAGGCTACTGGGCAACAAATCAACAGAGTCTTTGGGCTGTCAACTCCAGAGGCAACAGCCTCCCCCGGACGAGCCTGATTTACGCCAGAAGACGCGCGAAATGACGTCAAAGCAGCTGACAGCCTGAGGATCTCCTCAGAATATCTCTTTATATGTGGGAAGTGTGCGACGACCACCAGCACCTCGAACCTGCTGTGCTTGTGAACGAAGGCCTGACCAAGGAAAGCCCGGTAGTTTGTTGGGCCCTCACCACCATCGGCTCTCTCCATGCATCCGCCGAATGGCTGCAGAAAGGTACCATTTACCTGTTTCACTTCCCACTTTGATTTGCGGTACAGGAGCATGGCGATGTCAAAAGGTGCAGCCCCAAAGCCGTTCTCACCACCGCAAGTATGATAGATCTGTCCCCACTCTACATCAACCTGATTTGTTGCGAGCTGTTCGTCTGCCATCTGCTCAACGCCAGCAAAGTCCAGAGCGCCGTTGCCTTCAGTGAGCATGCTTCTTAACTGCTCAGTCGCATTCTCCTTGCAGTGCGGATAGGAAGCATCACAGTGGCCAGGCAGTTTCGTCTCTTGGCACGACAAGAAGCACTCGTTATGTATATTCCATTGCAAAAAGCTCAGTACGTTCAAAGGCAGATCCCTGTTCTTCAGAAACGAGTCGGAGTGGGACTCCTTTTTATCCGGAAGACAACTCAACAACTTGAGTGTTGCAGTTGCCATAACTTTGCGAGAGAAACACAAATCAATCTGCAACAAATTCAGTCCAAGTCTCAGCCAAGATTTGGGCAGCCTGAACACTACCACGATCAATCCACACCCAAAGCAGAAAGTGTAGGCGAGGAGGCCAGAACATGGAGTGAAACGGGTTCGCTATCGGATGCCATAGGGTGTGGCCTTGAACAAAACAAAACGATATGAGTAGTGCCTGAGATGAGAGGGCGGTTCTTAGAACGTTGGTCCATTGGTGCTCATCAAAATACAAAAAACACAATGGTTGCATGGACTCACACTATACCAGCAAGCACTCTGGCGGAGAATGGACATGTCTACCCAAGCCGAAGCAAAGACACTGCATGTACGGATACCCCAGGGGTTTGGGCCGGGAACCCACGAGACATGAGTACGACCACGCAGCTATGTATTCAGCGAGGCTTTACTCATACTCAAACATCAGCACAAGATAGAACACCAGGAGCTCTCCTAAGTTCGACAAATATCTCAGGCTCGGCAGCCCAGATGGTTGGGCTCCATCGCACCTACTGTTCGATGCACCTGTGACCCAAGCTCTTGTTGAAAAGCCCATTCCCTTTGTTGAGGAGAGGCCAAGGTGTCCAACATGGTCTGGCTTCAGCTCGGTTTGGAACCGCTAGTAAATTCGTGGTCCAGCATGGGTAGGTTCGGGTGGGAACTCAAACTCTCCCACATCCCAAGTTCACCAAGTTCAAGATACGCGTGACACGGCCGCCTCACCTTTTGCTCCAAGGCAAGATCTGCTAGAGCTGTGTTGCCTTGCGGCGCGGCTCTGCCGGTCCCCATGCAAGCTGCCTTCACATTAATCCGAATGCATGGCTCTCCAGCTGGACTCCGGCTCAGGAAGCTCAGACTCCAGTGCTTCAAGTGCTTCAGTTCTGTTGAGAATGCACTGCGCTATGTCATGAAGTGGAGAGCCTTCAAGCATTTGGCCGTGCATTCCTGACATTTGAATGCATGAAAAGCCATCACAGCCAAGGGGCCCCGGATTCAAGGAAGCTCAGAAAAAAACCGCATGGTGCTTCTGGCAAGATAGAACATTGATTGATGCGGAACCTCGAATGCAGTGATGGCATCTACGTTTAAATGAACTGTTGAATTCGGCATCTCACTTGGCTGCTGTTCACGGCCTGCGGCGGCAAGGGGTGGAAGCCAGGCGTGAGAATTCTGTTGTACACGCATTTGTGCTGCTGACAGCGCCTAGGCAGAACAGCAGCAGTGCGATGCCCGCTGCAAACGGATCCACTATCCTGGCAATGATCAGAGACAAGACACAACCTGCCCACTAAGTAAAGTAAGCAGCCTTCAAAAGGCAACTCACTCCTGGCCTCAAACACTTTCACACGATACAGGCAGATGTAGCTCTCGCCCCATTCAGGTCCTTGCATCAGCTTGCTTGCAAGCAACCGAAGTCAATTTTTCGACATGAGGGGCACCTAGTCTACCGCAAGCAACCCTGCTGGAAGCGAGCCGGTGGGTTGCGCAGCTACACTCACAACATGTCGAGAGCACCGTCCTGCAAAGACAAGACGTAGACCCTTAACCAGCGCCGGCGGCAGGTGAAACGCCTGCAAAATGGGTTCGGAGACATAGCCAGACAAGGCCAGGAAGATTCTGGCTCACCTGTGCTGCAGGCCCCGCAGCAGCATATTCGAAGCTGCCCAGAAATTCTGTGTACCTGCCCATCTGGTGGATGCTCCGAATACTTGTTGAAGCAGTTTCACATACCAACCAAACGCGGCTCGAGCACGGGCCCTCGCCTACCTGCAACAGCTGTGTTTCAATCAAAACCGATTCACCGAGGCTCTTGGTTCAGCAGAACCGGCCTTTGCCTGACTCGCCAAATTCGGCAACCCGAAAACGGCAAAGCGCCGCGGAGCAGAACGTGGCCGCAGCGCCGCCCAGCGAGCAGGCTGGCACAAAGCTATGCAGACACACTCGCAAAAAGGCACCCAGAAACAAACCGACATCGCTCTTGACTTAACCACGACGGGACTTACTGGGAAGCTTTGGTCGTTTCCGGAAACCAACCTCCCGTTTCTGTTAAAGCCCTTTCTTGTCGATGCAGTTGCAAATTCAACCATCCCCGCCCCAAGTGGATCACATCTATCTGATCTAAGGATGTGTCCTGGCAGGCCCGACACTCTAGCAACCCGTTGAAGATTTTTGTCTACAAGGGCTGGAAATTGCGCGGTTTTGGGTTTTGGCCCTACTGGCGCATGCGCATCAACCTAATAGCCAACAGACGCACATCAACTGCACAAGGCCACGAAGGATCCATTGTACTGCGTAAACAACCAGCTGCTTGCCATTGCCACCAAAGCAATCAAACAGTTGAAGGTTTCCTTCGGGACAAGCAAACGAGTACCGAATGGAAGTTACAATGCCATCGTAAATCCAGAAATGCTGTATGGACTTGAGCCCTTACAGATCATGCAACACGACTTGAAGAAGGTAGACTACCTCCAGATGCCAATGTTTTTGACTAGCTATCAGAATTCCACCTGCGCATTAGATGAATTCAGACCAACAACAGCATAATACAAGAGATCAGCTCCGATGGAGCACAAGAATCCGAACGTTGGAATGAAGAACTCTCATTGCCTGTAAAATTTGCCAATGCTTCACGATTCTTTGTCGCACATGTTGCAGGTATTCTGCAGCCCTGGGACCATCACTCTGGTGGAGCTCAGTGATTTGAGCACTGGTCGAGCCAGTAGTTTTGCCCCAACCACTTGTACTGTTGATTGTCGATCTCCTGGTTAAGATGTTTCTTGATTGGTCACATTTGACTGCACGCTTGATTCTAAGATTGCTGTCTTTTGCTAGCTCTTCTGGAATCTTTGGCTTCCTGCCGTTGTGAACTGTTTTAAGAATTGATTAGAGACATCTTGTCGGTCATGTTGAACGTTCTTGTTGTCCCGCATTGATAGCACCAACTACAAGATTGTGCTGTTTCTACATTTGAAACTGATGGTGGCAGTGAGCATGTGTATTGTTTGGGCTGCATGTGGCTGCGCGCTTGTGATGTCCAAATGTCCCCCCCCCCCCCCCCCCCGCCGGCTGCTTCTCAGTGAGATCGTAGTGATACAGTCATGAAGGTGTCGTACCTAACCCGTGTCCCTACTTGGTGACTGTCTAATCGGTCTGACGGCCACCGGTAGTGGCTGATTCCCGCTTCCTTCAGGCGCCATACTAGGCTCAATTTCCGGATCAGGATCTCGCTTGGTGTCTTGAATCTGCCACGTTCGGCCTGTGTCATCAAGTAGATCAGCAGATCCTTTGTTTTCGTTTGGGTGCTCATGCAGTTGCGCGGCTCTCTGTCACCCATTCTCGACTCCTGCATGATCTTCTTTGACTTGCTTGTTCCGGTGACTTTCCTGATGTGAGTTGCCTCTGGTGCATCTCTCCTCCTCTGCTTTCACCTCGTCGAGCTTCATCTTCCGCAACTATTGCTGCAGAGACCCCACTGCTTTTGCCCCTTGAGGGAGCCCAATGCCTCTGAGGTGTGCACATGGGATGTGCGCATGACTTTGCTCCCATGCTTGCTGTGCTCGATTTGAAGGACCGCAACCCTAAGTTCGGACCGACATGCTGTGCAGCCGAAATGGAGATTGGACACCTGCTCGATGACAAGCTGGCGAGCTCGGAATCCGTCCAAGCCTGTAGGGCACGGCTACTTTGGCTACTTTGGCCATGCTTTGTCAGCCCGTGACAAGGAAAGCCGCACACGGACTGAGTCACAACCATGGTCTGCCAAACGCAGCGCAAGGCTACTGTTGGCTCCACGGAAGGCGAAGCCTCAAAAGTTGCGAGCAAAATTCGCCATTGGCCGCACTCCACTTTCCCTTCGCCCATGTCAGAAACTTTTGTAGCGAAAGGGCATTCTGAGTGTCTGGCAGTCTCTTGACTGCGCGATGCCCGCATTACTCAACACAACCTCAGAGCTTGACTCGATTCTCCCTGGTCCCTGAGTGTCCCTGACATTTCTCAGGACCTTCCCAAGCCACTGGCAGAGGGGCCTTCAGAGCGATATAGATCTGCTCTGGCCTCAGTCGCAGGTCTTTGATGGTCTACGGCACCTTCTTGCAGTTTTTGCATGACTCTGTGCCTGCGGCCTTGAATAAAGGGATTCCAGTCATTTCACCAAGGCCAAGAAGAGCCTTGCAGCAGGTGGCCCAGTAAAGAAACACCCGCTTCTGTGTAATATGCCGAGAAATAGGCTGTTTCTGTGACATTTGCAGCACCCCTCCCAACATACAGGATTTGCGAATCATGTAAAATGTAAACCCTTTCTAAGCAACAGAGCTGTCGGTTCCATGGTTCTGCTCCGCACATATCACGCGCGCTGGTGGCCGATTCTGGGGCGCTCGGCTTGTCCCACGTGCCCCATCTTCCCGATAAGGAGAAAAATCCACATGTGGCGAGATTGGCACTCTTGCAAAGCCAAATGCCGGGTATCAGTTGCCGGCACTTCAATGTACTTTTCTGCTATTCTATGCCATTCTACGCCTCTCGGCCCGGCAAAAACCCGGTGATGCCTGGTGCGCAGCGCCGCTACTGCGGGCTCTGGGAGAAGTAAAGGGCAAATCGACCTGTTGCTTGATGTTGCTTGCCTTTTTCTTCAAACTCTTTGCGACACAGGTCCACTCCCACCTCGAGTTCGATGGGCTTCGGGGCTTCGGCACAGGCTGTCGCCTGACGCCAGCTTCACTTCCGATCAAGTTCAGCCTCCAGAACTGCTATGCCCAAACGATCCCAAACGCCTGGCACCGGCCCTCCAGAATGTAACGCAGCCGTCGCTTGAAGTCAGCGGGCCAGCCCCCACCAGTCACTGCCAGCTGCAGGACTGCCTCGGAAATTTTCACTCCAAGCAACACAATCTGGCATCGACGAGATTCAACGAGAGAACTTACTGTGGCCTTGCGGAAGTCCTCTTCGGCTTGGCTGTCTCCCTGCTTGTGATGAACGCAGAGAGGTCTCCCATGGTCAGGAGAAGTCAGCATGTGTTGGACCTATGCATAATAACCTTTCGGCGTCGCCCGCACGAGTCGGATTCATGAGCCCGGATCCATGCTGCCAGGGAACAGCGTTGCTCGCTGGCTTGGAAGGGTACTGAGACGTCTTGAACAGTTTGCACACAACATTCACAGAACTGCCCTCGGGAGCGGAACAAGACTGTCCGTCGGCATGGACTGTCATCCATGGGCCCATTCTTTGTACAAAGCTGCAACGGTCTGTGCCGCACAGGCCGAATTGCAGACAAGACGAGTTCTCCGTAGAGGTCCTGCACTGCCGAGCCAACGACAGTTCACATGGTTGCTTGAAGCTGACTGCGCTGTGCTCATCTTCAATGTCCTCAGTGTTACTGCATGGCAAGGGAGATCTTGTGGCCAATATCCAGCAACACAGGAAGCAGCCTCAGGTTGCAAGCATTGCGAACGCCACTTGCCCTGCCGAATCTGCACTGACACATACTCAATGACTCAACAAGCGCCATGCGCACTGACCGACTCGTCGATGAGACTCAGAAAGTGCCTCAACAACAGAGCTGCAACAGAGTGCCACGGGCTGATACGACCGAGAGAAGAATGCGCGAAGCCGCAGCCCCCAAGCTCGCGGCTCTTCTGCCTGCTCATCATCCATCAAGGCCTTCGGCTCAAATGGTGGCACCGGGCGATAATCCCTCAAAAGCTCAAAAAAAGAACGCTCGTGGCCTGGAACTTCTGCTCCACTTTGAGGATGGCGAACTGGGGATCGCTGCAGATGTCCTCCACTCTGTGGGTGACTCTTTGCTTGCTCCTTTAACTGTCTAACGTTTCTTTATGGCTCTCTACATCCCGAGATCTCTCCCTCGAGGGCCTTGATGCCAGAATCCGTCATCAGGTACAGGAGGTTGATGATCAACTTGGAGTGTCGCCTCAAGATCTTGAAGGCCTGGCCTGGGGCGAGGAATCGGCTTTTCCAGCGGGGTCCAGACATCCGCAAGGCATGGGGGGGGGGGGGGGGGGGGGGAGAAATGGGAGAAATGCACGTTTGCCACAAGTCAGCCTGGTCGTAGGGCCAGCTTGCTTGGTTTTGCTCCAATGTCACATGCTGTTAGGCACCCCCGAGTCACGAGTGGGCGTGTATGTCTGGCCACCTCCCGAGCCTTCACCCCTATGCCCCTAGATGCTCCTGTCCCACCTCTTTGGCTCCTGAGCCGCCGGCTCCTATCTACTGTCTGTTTACGTTTCTTATGCGCACATCAACTCGTTTTGATGATGCCCCTGCTTGGCCCGCGCAAGGGAAGGGCTCACACCCTCACCGGCTCCCTGCACAATTGCGATCTCGACAAGAAACTGGAGTGTGCTGATGGCCCAGTGGCCTATGGCCAACAACTGAGGAATTCTGCTTGCAAAATATGCCGCCACACAGTCTGAAGTCAAAAATGGATGCATCGGATCGCCAACACTAATCTGCAAGATGATAAAGCACAGCAAGCGATGGGTGCTGCCCGAAATCTACGAGGGCCCTGCAACATTTGGACTTGAAGGACTGGTATCCGGGAGAAGGGTTGCCACCCATCCCTGGCACAACCAGGAGGAAATTCCATGAAAAAGGCTTGTTGATGCATGATGCCCTGATACGAACAGTCTGGCCTTCCACCATCTCCTGGCTTGCCGGACCCCACAGGTATTGAGGCACATTGAGGCGGCTGGGGGAGAAACAGAGTAGAAACACGCAGAAACACATTTGATCATTCTGGCTTCCGCCTTGCAGATGCGCATAGGTGGCGGGAACGGCTTGGGATCTTTGCCTGGCAGAGTCTAGCCCCGTGTCAGCTCCCGAATCTGTGAAGTCCGAGTCAAGTCCCAGCATCAAGCCCGCCACCCAAGATGAACCCGAAGTCTATGTGGAAGAGCTTGCCATCCGTGGTCACCTGAAACGCGGAAACGATGCGTGTGTGCAGTGGTGGTTTGGCTCCGAATTGCACTTGGGTGAATGAATGCGCCTTCCGTCTGGGAACAAAAAGAATCAAGCGAAATGCGGCTTACTCTTTGGGAAGAGTGTTTCGCTCGTGGTTTGATGGAGTCGTTAGCAAGCTAGTACGAGTGGCTGGATGCCCATGTTTCGCATTTTCAAAAAGGCTTTGCGACATCTTGCGACATCTTGCGACCCCGACCATGAGGTTGTCCAGATGACGGTCCCCGATGCCCAGGATGTAAGTGATGACCTGAGCTCTTCGAGTCCCGGAGTGCAGGACTCAGGAGGTGAACTCAAGCTGAGCTTCGCACGCAGTAGCCAGCACAGCTGCGGACCTCAGCAACGCATTCTCAGCCACCGAAGGCTGGTACAGAGTGCACCACTCAGCCGGCGGCAAAGTTCTCCAGCACCTGATTTCAGAAAGTCAAAGCATGATTGCATTCTGAGATCTCAACCCATCAGTCGCACCACCGCACTACCTCGACCCAACGTCAATGTTGCGGCCTCGGCCTTGATGCCATAGGAGTTCTGTGGACCCCATCCGCTCGGCCTGGGAGAGATGACAAAACCCAACAGTTCTGCAAGAGCACTTTGCCAGGCGAGTCCTGTGAATGGTATGCAGTGTACAATGTGCAAGGCAAGTCGTCGCTGTTGCTGACGGTCCGGAGCAGTTTGGCTGAGAGAGCTGCGCGTCGTCGCCCTTGTTTTGGCCTCGCTGGCCACCAGCATCCGCCTCTCGTGACTCTCGTGCTCAGTTCCGACCGGAAACTGAAACGCGGTAATCAACAAGGCTGGCACAGGATGATGGGCGCGGAAGAACTGCTGGATATCCTTAGGTCTTTCTGGTTTGTGACGTTTGTGTGTGAGGATGTGCCAAGCCAGACATGGCAGAGCATGATGCGTTGGCAAGTGCGTATTCGCGAAAGTGAACACGACCATGCAGACACAGAGCAGCTGCAACTGAGGAAGCCCCTGCTTGACGGCGTGCCTTATCCTTGCGTTTTAACGCCATCAATGGCTGTAAGGCTTTCGGAGTTGGATCGTCACCGTGTTTTTCAGACTGTGTAATTGGTCGCAGGCACTTGGGTCTGACTCATTGCTTTGTGCCCCTAGACGCGCTACTCGGTCTAGGTAATTCCGCGCAAACCGCCGACTACTACCATCAGTCACACACGAGGCAAAGCAGCTCGACAGATGTTGCAGTGCTTGAGCAGTGTCGGCAAACTCAGGTTTGGCCAAGGAAGCAGCCCCATTGTGCTCTTTGAGCACTTTCGACAAGTTGGACGAGTCGGGAACCTCGGCAAAGGAAGGGCCTTGCTGATACTGGAGGGGCACACATGCCCACATTGGACGCACATTACGCGTCCGTTAGGCGCACATGAGGCGCACGTGTCACACAACAGGGGTGCGGCAAAGTCGATCAGGCCATCGTTGCGAGAGAGCGCCTCCGCAGTGCATCCGCTACACATGATTCCATCATGAATATCATCTTTACGACATCGTTTGCACAGATACGATCAGATACTTATCAAAGCTCATACAAGGCTGGCTTGCACTGGGGACAGAGCAATCACCTGGTAAGGCGTCAACTGAAGGTCAAGACCTAGGTGTCTAAGAAGGACACTCTGGCCACTAACCGTTTGGCCTGAGCCGGAGACCATATCTCTTCAGGATCGAATCCATCAGGATGATCAGCTGAAGGACCAGCCTAACACCGACTTCGCAGCTTCCCATGAACGATCCCGTACGCACTCTGCACACCATTGAGCGCCAATGAACGCCATTGATGGCCAATGCGCTTATGCCCATTGTGGGAAATGCCAGGGGTGCGCACTGGTCTTGCCGCAGATCGTCGCCCTCCTTGACCATGACCTGTAGAACTCGAACTTGCGCTCTTTATTCTTTCACGGGGTATATACCGTGTACGCTGGAGCATGTGGGCGCCCTGGCCCTCTTGATGCTTCGTTGGCCCTGGGGATTTGACGAAGGGCGAACCTTTGGCAAAATGGGCAGTTGCCTGCAAGAGCCAAGCGAGCTGAGTTCTTCAGGCCTGGCCTGACAGGCGAGTACACCTGGATTCATGGCCGACTTTAACAGGAAGCACCTCCCGGTGACTGGCGATTGCCCGCTGAACAAAAGGCCACTGCTGATTGCTGCTGTCTGCTGACTGCGTTTGAGGCCCCAACTGCTCTGGCAAGATCCCCACCTACAGCCAAGCACATGCCCTCTCACGCTTTTCCGTGCCTAAACCCATGGGGTAAACTGTCTAGCCCAGTGCATCTGAGGCACCAAAGAAACAGAGGGATCCACGGGCAGTGGGATGCCTTCCTTGAGCCTCGCGCAACACACCCAACCCGAAGCAACTCACTCTGCCCCGGTAACCGAGTGAGGCCCACACCCGTTAACCAAATCCAGCTCCTGGAAGGACTCCTGAGCAGGGTCGACAGATGTCGGCGAGCGATAGGAGGCCTCGACTCTCCAACCTCCCCTGCTGGCGGATCGGCAGCAACCAGCGCTTGCCGGAAGCGCTCGATCTGTCGGCAACCGTGGGACCAACCGCAGATGCTTTACAAATCTTTACAAGCGGCACCCGGCACACTTGCCTTCTTCTCGATTCTGTCTCGCTTGCCCTGCCATGCACCGGCCCCCGAAGTAGTCCACAAAGCGAGAAAACACATGTCAAGAATATTAAAACTAGCCTTGGCAAACTGCAGGCTCCAGAGCAACTTCTTGCGAAGTCTCTCCTGGACACCAAACCCCCCGACCCTCCACCCAATCTGTCTTGTTGCTTGCTTTTCGCCAATTGGCCGAACTCTCTCCTAAACTCCTCTCCACTTTCTCCAATCCTGCTCACTCTCCCCTTCAAGGCTCCTGCTGCTCGAGCAGGTGCCGCGTGGCTGTGGCCGTCTCCGAGGGCTTCCCCCCGTCCTTGGACAGGGCCTCGAGAAGCCGCTGTCGCACCTCTGAAAGGCTGAAAGGAAGCCCAGTGAGAATCGAAGAGAACCCAGGGAGTCTGAGAAAAGAAAAAAGGACTTGGTGGCATTTGGGAGGCTTTGGATTATCTGGGACAAGCTCGCATCGATTCAGGACGTTTGGCGCACCATGTCGAAGCGGCCGCCGGACTCACCCTCGTCGATTTCCGCCTCAGCACTGCTCTTCACGTTGGTTCTGTCACACCTGAAACGGCCTCAAACACCGCTGGGCGATCGGCCACGACGTACCAGTAGAGCAAAGTCGCCAAAGAAGGGCAGCTGACAGCCCTCCGGATCAGGAACCTGGACGCAGGTAAAAGCGTGAGACTTACGACGACTTCAGCATAAGAACATGTAAGAACGTGTAAGATGCAATGCAGTGCATGGGAGCGTCACAGTGCGTCACACATCCTCACGAACCTGGCTCCGGCTCTGAGGCAGCTGCCCTGCCAAGGCCTGACACACTCCACCGGTGCTGCCACAGGCTGAAAAGCATGATCGAGAGCACGCCCGACCATCAACACCACATCAACACCTCCTCTTCGTCGTGTTTACCCCGGCCGCTCTACGGGGAGACGGGCAAGTCCGAGGTTCTGTACAGCTCAGAGAAAGAAAATGGATCTGTTTTTCAGCAGACACTTCGAGCGGGGGCGGTCTGCACCTAACAGATGGTCTCGGGGCTCGACTTGCCTGCAATCTCTCAAGAGAGATAAAAGGAGGGTGCTGTACACACCCTACCTGGAGGAGTGAGATGCAAGTAGCTGAAACAAGAACTGCGTACGATTCAAAGGTACGAGTTGAAACCTTGGCCCTGCCTCGTCTGCAGTTACAGCGGGCAGACCAAGTCTAGCGACAGTGACATGGAGCACCGGATTGTTTCCCGTCTTAGAACCTAGGGCATGGCGTCTGTGGAGCGCTGGCACGGACTGTGCCAGTACCTCACTTTGATGTAAACAGCTCCTTGCACTCCTTGAGCTCTTCTTTGCAATGTGTTGCAGCTCCATGCTTGCGAGCTGTTTACATGACGCAGCGGCCACACCTCTGGTTCGAGCTCCCTTCTGTCCATCCTGGACTCAGCAGCCTGTCTTGGCATGCAGCCATCCAGAATTCATTCCTCGACTGCATGTCGTTACGGACTTTGAGTTCACGCTGATTTGTGTTGCGCCAGACGGCTAATACAACAGTGATGCGTCAGTGCATGTGCGACCCATGCATCAATTGTTATCTGCTGCGTTGTTTCATCTATGCTGGTGGGACGTCTCAGCTTGGACATCACGATGCTGTGTCGTTACTGTCAGGACCTGTCAGGCTACCTGATCGTTTGTTGTGCGTCGCTGTGGGATGGCTGATGGAGTGTGGTATGGGGATCAGCATGGGGACTGTAGCTCGGATGAAGTCTTGTCGCAAAGGACCAATGCATTTGTGCGCTCGGGAGTCTGAGGTGGGCTCCGAGCCATCCTGGCGGTAGTACGCTTCTGACATCTCCTGGAATGAAGCCAGCTTTTCGTTTCTCACAGGACCCTGCCGTCCAGCGGACATGCGCGCATTTCAGCGCCTGCATAGAGGGCGGATCTCGTATGATGACTTTCCCTGCTGGCAGCCTTCCATCGATGAGGTTTCTCCTGGAGCATTCCTGGAGCATTTGTGCACGAGGGTCAAGTCGATTTGTTGGTTGGATGCAACGAAGCTGCTTCCTGGCTTACACTGCTGCTTGTGATGTTCGTGCAGAGCTCGTTTCTCATGCAATGCCTTGCTATGCAATCACAGTCACATCGTGATGCTCCCCACTGCCAAGTGTTGCCCTTTCAGCATCCTGCTGGAGTTTGGGCTGCAGGTGCAACATCCGAAGTGGCTCTGAGTGGAGCTCCCTTCGCCCCATTTGATGCGACCCAAGCTGCACCGGTGCGAGCCCTTATCGTATACTTATGTTTGCATACCGTGTCCGAGCTGATGAGCGTATGGCAGACTCAAAATGCTTACAATCTGAGATCAATGCTCAAAGTCACAAAGTCACAAAGTCACAAAGTCAAGGTCACATACTGTGTTGTGCCAGGTATCCAAAAGGCAGATATGGGCTGCTCAAGAGCGCCACTCCAGTGTGAAGCTTTGGATCGGCGACGGGCTCTGGAAGATGGCTCCTTGTGAGACTCTGCGAGCAGCGTCTGGGGGTGGGACGGGGGGGGAAGATGAGAGGCAGCGAGGCTGAGAGGGAGCTTTCATCACGGGGCTGCCATCTTTGCCAGGTTTCAGCGGCGTAGGCACTGAGTCAGAGCTGTCCTTCAGATACCCCGCAAACTGCCGCACACTGCAACAACTACAGGTTGCTCACAGGTCAGGGACAATTGTGCAAGGACTGTCCTGATCCTTGCTGCTGTTCACTTCTTCAGTCTCAGATGGCACTGTCGAGATGTCCTCCTAAACGCAGGAGGTGGAGGAGGTGGACGCTGCAACTGTGGAATCCGCAGAGGTGTTGGGGACAGCTGCAGCTGGCCAAGGTCCTCGTCTTGCGAAGAGCCGGCAGCAGTTTCCTGCGACGAACGAGACTCCTGAAATGCTGCAAGATGCGAAAGAATAATCTTTAAAACGAATGAGCTAGCAGCGACACAGGCAAGCGACAATGCCGCGTGTCCTCTTCTTGCCGCCGACGCTGGTTCTCTCGATTCACTCTGTTAAAGATCTCGGTGCACTCGGCGATACGCTCCAGATGCAGCTTCTGAACAAGCAGGGGGCACGGATGGGATTTGGAAGCAGTTTTCTCTACCGCAGTGCTCCAAATACTGCACTTGTCTGGAAAAGTCTGAAGTCTGATGCCCCGGAGCTGCCTCCAGATCAGCATACTGGCTGTCGAACTCAGCCTGCAAGATCCTGTGCTTTCTGCAGAGGCTTTCATACTTCTCCTTCACCTCCGCGGCTTCCTCACACTTGCACAAGGCATCACAAGGGCACAGCTGGCAAGGCTTGCTGCTCGGGCGCCAAAAAACGGGTCTCAAAACGGGTCTCAGGTCTCCTTCAGCTCTTGTTCTTGCCGTTTCGTGGTCTCCATCAGGAGAAAGTTCTTGGTTCGCTGCGCCACGAGCTGTTCCTCGAGCTCAGGCCTTGGCTATGTGGTTTGTATACGGTTTCTACATGGATCCGATGCTTTCCGTTCATGGTGATGCAGATGCCTCTGACCAACAGTCTCTGTCTGCCCAGGTGCACTCTCGTTCCAGTTGCGAGGGCCTTGGCCACGACCGTAAGCCTCTCCACTTGCTCTTCGGCTCGGATCCTGGTGTTTTGATTTCAGTAACACTCACATTGGTGACGTCTTGTATGCGCTGCTCGCCTGCGTGCGGTCTCTTCACGGAGCTTCTCTTCCATTTCTTCTGCAGCGCATCGCTGTCGCACCAACGATTCCATGCATTGGAGGTGGCCTTGACGCGGGCTCTGTTGTGAAGATAGACGAGCACAGCTGCAAGCAACCATGCGGCACTCCCGAACACATCCAAACATGTATCCAAACGCAACCGCGCAAGCACTTCATTGTTTGCTTCTCAGGGGCGGGAGCGCCAGAGCGACATCGAGTCCTCCTTTTGGTTGAGCCATTCGCCCGGGCCCTGCTCCAGGTCATGGGCTGATGCAAGGTGGTGAATGGCTGTGTCGGGGACCTTAGTCCAATGCCGAGTGGCACGACGGAATCCGTAGCACGTCGCCCCACTACTGCACGACTCTTGCACTGCTGGATTCTGTCAGCTCAGACACTTCCACGCTTCCATCTGCTGCCGGAAGATCCACATCTGATGGCTCCGCAGGAGGCGGCGTAAAGGTGAAAGATGGAGACTCGCTCCCGTCACTCCCCTTCATTGTCTCATCCGTCACAGCTGCTGTCCTCGTGGCAAGGCATGTCGGATAGGATCGGAACACGCGCTGCAGCAGCCCCCATGACTACGTCATGCACACCAGCATGACACTACAGTAGTCACTAGTCATATCTCGTCATGCGCACATAACAACGCGAAACAGGGACAAGGATCTTGAGTTGCGCAGGCAACTCAGTCAAAGCACCGGTGTCGACATCCGTCTCCAGACCACGGCACATTGCTATGACAGGAGCCCTAACAATCAACTAGATGGCCTCAAAACTGACTTTACACAGGTCCTGGGCCAAACGCCTGCAACACAGCCACAACAATGAATAGGAAGTCGCCCAAGTGTGCCAAGTGTGCCAAGTGTGCCAAGTGTGCCAAGTGTGCCAAGTGTGCCAAGTGTGCCAAGTGTGCCAGTCCACGAGCCTCGCCATTTCGACCATCGGCCTAGAGCACACAGTCGCACGTCATGCCAACCGAGCAGCATATGCACTTGACTGCACCTGCACAGAGAGAGCACGACCACTTGGCGCCCCTTGACTCCCAGGTGCACCTTGCCTCACTCTCTTGCATGGCATTCAGAGGCTCGTAGCGCAGAGCCTCACACACATTCCAGCTGAAGCATCGAAAAGCGCGGCAGCCAAAGCCACATGATGCCACATGCCTGCACAAGTTGAAGCAAGTAGAGCTGTAGGTCTGCATCACTGGCGTTCTGTAGCCTCTGCCTCGGCAGTGTACGCAGAGATCAGTTGGTTGGCAGAGGCACTTCAAGGCTTCCCACAGCACGTCTTAAAACTCAGGACGTCACACAGCATGATGCCGAACTTCTTGAAGGCCGCTGAAGTCCTGGGAAGCGAGACCACCGTCGTAGGTTCAAAGAGGATTCTGCACCATTGCACATCATTGCACCTTGCTGAGCAGCTCCAGGGCATCATCGATGTCCACCGGGCTCCAATGCCCTCAGTAGCACAAATGTCAGATGTCAGACACGTGTTCTCCAGCTCTTCTCTGATCGAATAAGCGTGCATGTTTTGCCTGCTGTCTATGAGGCTCTGCTACTTCTGGCACTTGCACCCTCATGCTTCGCGCAATCCACGCGTCGACATGTCATCAGATATGTGATCTTGGCCCAAAAGAAGTGGGCCCGACGATCTGATTGTTTTGGGGGAAAGCAGGGGTGCCAGGCAACTACAAGCATCGGGAGACTCCCCGCGAACAAGATCCCGGCCTAAGAGCTCGATGGCATGGTTGCGTTCCTGCAGCGAGCCGACGCAGGCAAGTGCCGGAATGTTCCACGCTGCCCCCTTCTCAGTCACAGGTCAACATGAGTGGAAACAGTTTAAGCATGAAATCAACCCTGAAACTGAACTCAAAAAAACCCAAACAGCCCAAAACCCTTAGCTGCGAGCACGAGGCTTTGGTGTCCCGGCCTCCACGTGCGACCAGTCCACTGCGTGGAGGAACTTGGTCAAGGCACCAGGCTGGTCCTGGGGAGTGGCAGGGAGGTTTGAGATGTAGGCATCTGGGGTCATTTAGGGTTCCTCATGGTTCTTGGAGATGAGGCTAGTTGGGTTTCGGGTTCTTGGGGTTTAGGGTCTCGAATTTAGGGGTCAGGGTTGTCCATGACCTTCTACCAAAGCTCCTTAAAACCAGCAACGCTGCGAGTAAGCTGCCGAGTCACCGTCAGGCTCCAGCGAAATCGGAAAAGCAAGTCCTTCTCCTCCGAACCTTAGTTGAAGCTCTCGATCTAGACAAGATTGCATTAGCCTGTGCTTCACAGAGTGGATCACCATAGCGTTACACCCTGACACACTACAGCAAGCCCCGGCAATCCCAAACAGCCAAGCAATCCCATGCCAGCGCTTCTCGGATCCAGAACTCAGCACCGCACTGAGCTGTCGCCGCGGACGGCGCACCAACTCGGCCTTCACGCGAACACCATCAACACCATCAAGCATCCCCGTGCCAGGCCCTCACCCTCGGCACAGTGCGAGCTTTTGAGCTCCGAACAAGGTCCCGGAGCTCAGCTGCGCTGGGTCTGGCATCGCGATCCTGCTGTGGGCCACGAGCAGCTTCGGTGCACGTAGCCAGCATGTCATAGTGTCGTAGTTAGATGTAGTTAGTGCAAGCATAGCCGCGAACATCTGTGAATCTACCGAGTCCTTGAACATAGCTGCGCGAGAGGAGCGGCCCAGGCGCTTGCTCTTCAGCAGCGCCGGATGATCCACGGAAGCCCCCTGGACTGACACGAGGAAGCGGCAGCGCAGCATACATAAGCGGACTTGCAAGCAAATGCAAGCGCTAGCACTTACATCGGCTAATTGTAAACTGTATATACTGCAAGTACAGCCATACGATCGTGATCTGCCCGGACACACTAGGTACTTGGGGTCTGCATGTCTGGGATGCGCACATAGTCCAGAAAGCATTTGAAGCTGCGGCCTCACGTACATCAAGATGCTGTTGCCATGAGCAGAACACCGACTTTTCATATGAAGCTTCTTGTGAGTATGGTAGCTGGAGTCTCCGTCGCCCTAATGCGCTCCACATGGTCTCCGGGGATTCGACAGGACAGTTCCACAGCTGTACATGTCGATATCACTCTCGTGTTTCCTGTCCGATCCCGCGCGCCTTGTCCTGCAAGCCCAACTGGCGTCGAGCTCGCACTGACAAGGAGGCACATGGAAGCACACGCAATCAGAGTTGGCATCTCAATCATCTCAATGTCACATTATTCCACATCTGAGCCCAGGGATGGAGTGGAGCTGAGGCTCTCGCGCTGCAGCTACTGGTTCCGGACGTAAGGATCGAAACCTGCCGTTTCAGGACGTCTCAGGACGAGTGCACTTCGTACGACCGGATGGCATGGAGGGGTAGTGGAAACCAAACCAGCAAGTCATGAAATGTCGAATACGTGTCCAAGATCATAGCTCCTTGTGCTAGCCTCCAGTTGCGAATCCCTCATAAAAAAATGCCCAGAATCGATCGTCATGTCTTGATTAGCTGATTCTACACTGTGGCCCGGACAGCCATTGCGCTCCCTTCAATGCATCGAGGTCTTGCTGGTCAACGTCCTGGACAAAGGCACAGTGTTCATAGAAGCAACGTGGAGGCACGTGACAGAACCGTCCTGCGCTCTTGATGCTGCAAGGACGCCGGAGGGAATCTCAATGTCCGATCCGTATTGGGGCCTTTGCGAACCAGCATTCCAAGAAAAGCCTGCAAAAATCTGCAAAGATCTGCAAAGTGCCACGTGGCCACCTTTGGAGTGCTGGGTGATCGGGGCGTGCAGCCAAGGACCACTTTAGTGGACCACTAGAGTGGACCACTATAGTGGACCAAGCAAGCTTCAGATCGACTTAAGTACTGAAGCCACCGGCGCGGCGAGGCCCTGAACCTCTGGCAGCTTGGCATCCGGGCTCCGCAAAGACAACCGGGTGCTGGAATTCAGGGAGCTGCACCGACAGCCTGACACCCCACCGGCAAAGCCTTACGCTGCGACGTGCTGTTAATCTGATCTCATCTGCCCTTCCAAGGCCCAAGCCAGGCCAAACCCGAGCTCTCCAGGGCCTCTTGCACTTCACCTCCCGACATCCAGGCACACACCGAACAGCACTACAAAAAAAAAAACATTGACATCACTACACGCTAGTTCACGCATCACACCTCAGGCTGAGCTGAGCAGCTCCTTGAATCGTAGAACTCAACACCTTTGCCTAGCGGGCCTAGCGGGCCTAGCGATTCTGCGTTGCTTACAACTCCTCTTCTGGAGTGCTATGGTTCCATCACTGGCTCACCGGCCGGTGTGACAGGAGGCGCCAATGGATAGCAATGATAAATAAGCGATACCAAGCAGCAATTAACCTCCGTGATGCCTGCGAAGGCATCCTCGCACTCAGGCACTGAGCTCGCCGGAATCCAGCCTGCAGAAGGGCTCTATGGGCTCTTGCATGCGCCTGATGATGTCTAATGACGCTCAAGCAATTACTAGAGCATCAAACCTCGTCTTCTGAGCTCAAGGGATTCTTCCAAGCGGAGCGCCTGGCACAAGGCAACTTCGCCGGTTGAGAATCATTCGTGTCGTTTCACTCTGAGGAATGTGGGCAAAAGAAGTTTGAAAAGGTGACAAAGCATGTTGGAGGTAGCATTTTGGCATCTGTTTTATGATGTCGCCGCCTGTGATTTTGCAAGGCTGCCTACTGTTTCCGGTTCTGGGTTTATTGCGCAGCTTCGAAATTTGCCCAGTCAGAGATGGCCACGCCCGCTGTTGAAAGCCGTGACACACAAACTGGCCTCAATCGAAAAGAACCGTGGTTCATAAGCCAAGGGGCTGAGTTGCGAAACGGTCATGCTTTCGGAAGTCAGGGATCTGCGATAGGGTCGGCACTTAGTGCAGCAGATTGATGTTTCAGGAAGTTGCTGGGTTATGAGTCATGAAAGGGTTGGGATTGGGGGCCTTAATTTCTGAATCGCCTTAGTTGTTGAATCACGGGTAGCTTCTGTTGGTACAAAAGGCATCTTATCAGCCCATTATCAAACTCCAGAAATGTGTTCAACGCGGCTCTGAGACTCTGAGGGCCTCGGCCAGGCGATGGGCCCGGGCCCGGGCACCCGGCATAGCGGCCGCCTGTGAAGGAAAGCACTTCAGCAAGAATAATTACTAAGAATACCTACAGGGAGAGCCAGATCCAAGATCCATTCTCCACTCCGTCGGATCTTTCTACGCAAGCGATCAGGTCCACAAGCGATTAGCGCTTGCTGGTACCGCAGACGCGACTTTTGCCGCGGGCGGACTTGGGGCATTCCTCTGTTGCGCGCCCTTTGCTCCGGAGCAGGCCGGACAAGATCGCCAAGGTCATGGGAGGTCATGGGCTCAGCCGTGCTGTACTGTCAAGTGAAGAGTCGTGTGAACTCCCTCGCTTGAGCATCACTGCAGTTGAAACTTTGTGCTCCTGCAGGAGTGTGCACCTCTACAAAGGATCCATCTTGGATGTGCGTGTTGCGGAAGAGCCAGCATCCCATCCGCATTCCGGCCCACCTGGCACACATGTCTGCACGAAGTGTGCTTGCAAAAGTTCTGGGCTTGGCTTGTCACTGAGGCACTCACCCTCCTCCCAGTGCTCCAACGACAGAGCAGGCGTCCAGCGCACCTTTGGCATGGACGAGGCCGTACATGGATCGGCGAGCCTCATCTCACGTGCACATGACAAAAATCTGAGCCCGCACACAGCTGTCCAGACCGGCAATACAACGAAAAGCTGTAGAGAGTGCATGGCCACGCGTTGCACAAAGAGCATCCTAGCCTGAGACTCGAAACCTTGCCAAGGCTCAAGCCACCCTGACAACGCCATGCTTACCAGAGTAAAGCCCAGCGCTTTCGGAATGTCCGTGGTGGAGAACGAGAGGTCCGTGTCTCGAACGGTGACAGCTGCGACACTGTCACGCGGGATGATCTTCATGTTCTGCTCACCGCTGTCGGTAAATCGCAGCGCGCGATCGGAGAGGTAGAGCTGAAATTTGCCATCGAAGTCGACGAGTGTTAAGTTCGAAAGAAAGGGTTGGCTCATGGCAGGACTGAGATTGGCGAAGTGAGTTAAGAGCTGGAGATGGCTTGAGCTCGCGCCTACAGATGGCCTCTGCAACACACGTTCACACATTGACACACCTTACATCACCTCACTCAAGCCCGAGGCCCAATGTTTTCAAGTCCACACGACAAAGCGGGGCCTTCAGCCAGCGCAAGGCAACCTGGCGTGAGCAAAGCGGCGCAGCAAAATGCTTCTGTCTTGGTCGCTCGGACGTGATGAGATTTGGCGGACTTTGTACTTTGAGCGCCATGGCATCTGCCGAAACCTCCCGGCACGAAGTCCTCCAAGGGCCCTAATACGATCTTATCTTTCGCATTATCCCATGCATCCCTTCTCCAAAAGCCCCTTGAGATTCGACGATTCGACTATGCAGTACGTCACCTTCTTGAACAGTCTTCGCAGATTCACCCTGCAACAGCCCAGGGCTCAAACTGAGCCCTATCCGCTCTGACCGGTTAGGAGAATCGGTTTTGCAAGCTTGGCCCAGAAAGGCTTCCTCGGCCTGGAAAGCAAATGCGTGGAGCTCCGTAGGCATTACAGTAGCTTGTACGACTTGGTATACACAAATCTTCGACCCCCGGCATAACCTCGGACCCACAGCCGATGTGGGCCGCTTAGCGTTGACACTGGGGGTTGCTAGACACAGTTGTACCTCGTTGGAGTCTTGCCGATGGGGCAGCTGCACTCCTCGCGTGTCAAACCGGATGCAAAGCAACTCACCTTGCCTACGCGACGAGCTGTCATAGTGCTGTGAGGCACCACACGTACAAAGTACATCAAGCTACACTACTGCTCAAGAAGATCACAAACTCGTGTCCATGTCCTGGTATCTCGTCACTGACCGCCTGACTGCAAACTGGATCAGACTTCGTGTCGGCTGAGGGCAGCGGTGAGATGAACCCGTTCAAGAATGAAGTCTTAATGAGTCAGGGGTGTCTAAATGGACCAGTTCAAGATGAATCGATGAAGCCTCAACAGATCTCACGTCGAGGCCTCCTCGTCTGGCAGCAGAGCAACGAGCTTCCGGCCTTGTGCACGCAGTCTCCATTTCAAGGGTCGGGGAAACCACAGGCGTGGCCTTGCCGCAGGACTCCCCGATCATTGAAGAAGCCCAGCACCTGGCGCCGAATGCGCTTTTGAAGGATGAAGAGGTTCAAGAATTTGTTTGAATTCCAGACTAATCAACCATATAGTCAACCATTCAATTCAAAACTGTTGTGAAACTTTGTGAGGTAAATATGTCCGGCGCCACCCCTCGGTGTACGCCTCTTGGTCCTGCTGCAGTACCTGGCCACACCCGAGGCGAGTTACGGTTGCACGACATGTGTCTGTGGCACAATTTTTTTTAAGGGCACCATGAACACACTTACTCGATGACTGCAGTGCCGCACTCGAGGGTCTCAATCGGAAGGAGAAGTGGCTGTCCCTCGGCAGGTCACGCACCTGCGGAGCCAAACGGCTTGGTGCAAGACGGACGAAGCAGTTGCCCCCAAAAGCGCCGTAAATTTAGGTCTGCAGATCTGGCACCTTCATCGCAAAAATGAACTGCTGAGATCTGAAGTCTCCCTGCCTTGAACCGTGCATGCAGGTTTTTGCTATCTTCTGACACGTAGGAGCTGACAAGACCCACACTCGGGCGCTGCATCGAAGATAGCTTTGGACGAGCTCAGTGTGCAGAAGACCTTCCCATCGAGTACCAGATCCACCTGCATTCTTGTTGTGGTTGTTGTGGTCCCTTCCTCTCACTCTCCTGCACAGTCCTCCCCCCCTCGGCCTCGATGTCGAGCGGCTCATCGCCAATGAGCTCCTTTACGACTATGACTGTTTGAGCTTTGCCAACCGACACCGAACTTGAATTTGCCTCGGCCAGGCACCGGGGCAGGAGTCGCTCCGCCCGACAGCGCCTTCACAGGTGAGAGAGAAGGCCAGATCAGGTGACGAGAGGCTGCGACATGGGCTGTGACAGGGATGTGAAGGGCCCCGGGCACGTGGCGACTGGGCTCCGAGCACCAGGGCACTGACATCGGCGCTCAGCACAAACCGGCACAGGCCGGGAAGCGCAGCCCTGACAATTTGCAAGTGGCTCGACATGACTTTACTGACTATACATGACTCGAGATATGTCGATCTGCCGAATGCCTTTGGGACATCGGCGGCACTCTTCCTTGGTAACTATCCACTGCCTGTAGCTGATGTAGCCGCACCCCGAGTAAAAGAGTTGCTGAACGCTTAAATACAGAACTTCCCACACGGCATGGAATCACTCTCAGATGTGCTCAGGGTCCGGCATGTAGTGCAAGCATGTTCTCAGTTCTCAGAAGAGCTCGCATTACTTGGGGATCTTCTTTCAAGTTGTTCAGGCTTCCTGGCTGTTTGAGAGGGTTGCTGGCTATTCAAAACGCGAACTATTGATGGCTTGCTGCAGATCTGTGCACAGGACAGGCTGCTCTTGGAATCCAGCAAGCGAATTGTGTTACCCGGGAGGCCGGGAGGCTGGTCAGGGGTTTCGAGTTTTGGACAGACTCCGTTGCACATCTGCCTCGGTGCTGAAGGGGAATTCTTGAGATTTGGCTGAGACTGTCTCTATGCTGTAGGCCTTGATAGCTGCACTTGCCAGCGTTCTCATGATGGCATGCTCAAAGCTCCGGTACACAATGAAGAATTGCAAAGCGCAAAGGGGACATCCTCCTCCCTCGTCGCTGCCGCAGCTGCCAAGCGAGGGAGGCGGTAGAAGCCCTTCGACAGACCCACAGAACATCTGGCAAGCTGGGTTTTGAACAATCCAGCAAACCGCACCTGCTCTTCAGCAGCACTGCTGAACTCATAAGGTGCCCCCGCAAGAACCTAGAATTGTGATGAATTGTGCCCAGTGTGAGCTTGGCCGGCAGATATCGGGGATCCACTGAGGCAGCCACATCGAGGACATCGGCACGGATGTTGGGACAGTCCTCGGTCTCTCTGTCACACTGTCTGGCCCACCCCCTCCCCCCTCCCCCTCCCCCCTCCTCCCTCCCCCCCTCCCCCCTCTCCCCCCCCCTCTCCCGTTAACCATCTCAGCTTGCCACCAGCGCGTTGTTGATTAGCTGCGGATAGCTTGGGCTGGCCTGACAAGGCAGTTTCCCTCAGTACCCTTGGTAGACCCCACGTTCCGTGATACACCTCGTTACCTCTGGCAAATTTCTGGCGTGCCTCGGGCTCCCTCTCGACCATTGCCATTGCCAGACCTCGCTTGCTGCAAGCTTGCGCTCAAACAGCCTCCTTCTCGCAACGCCACCAGACTTAGTAACTTAGACGGAAGGCAAGGTTTCACATCGCATCGCAGTCGCCAAGCCCACCTTAAAGCCCCTAGATCTCCCAAAATCCAAACCTGATTCCTAAACCCATGTGTCGTGGCCTTCGGAGCGATTTTGCGATGGGCAACCGGGGCATAACTCACACCCATGGCATGCTGAACCGTGCAACTCGATCCTGTTGCTGACGAGACCTCTTGGGGACACACCCCATACCCAACGGTAATACTTGTTATCAGCCTGCTGCTTGCCCGAAAACCTCTTGCCGAACGCATCACATTTCCAAGCAAACGGCCTAGAGTCGAGAGCTTGACAGGTTGCAAAATCCCAATATTCCCGAATCAGGGCACCGGGCTCATTGCGTTCAAATCCTGTGGCAGATCAGCTCTCTTTATCTCTCTTTGCTCCATTTTGCTTCCAGACAAACGCCGGATCCCGCCTCGGCCGTCTCTGGCTTCACCATCCCACGTGCAAGCGCCGGCCAGAATAGCCTAAGGTTTCACATCAGTAGAGTTCGATGAGCTTCGCACCCCAAGCTCTGCGAGACATCACAAAGTCCTGTAGCTGTGGTAACCTGAGCAGTCTGCCGCAAGCACGCGAAAGCCAGCATAGCAATGCCAGCCACAAGGCCAAACCTGCATCACAGGACTTTACTCCTGTCCTGCCCCCATGTGATCATGGTAGACAACCCTATTCCAACTGCTGCGCGTCTGCTGAACATTCGAAACGTAACGTGATTTCGCATGCCTCTGTCCTGAAGTCGTTTGTCGACTCTTTTCCTTTCAGCGCAGTTGAAGGAAACGAACCTCACCTTTAGAATGCGTTGCCCGTCGTCCCAAATCTCCTGCTGCAAGTCTGAGTCGGGCCGCTCTGGGCCCAGCCGAGGTCCTGAACAACACAACAACTCAGAATGGAAGGCACATGAAGGCACACTTGCATCGACAGGCCTTTCTGTGATACTGGCTGAGGTGTGGCCTGGAAGTTTGCATAAAGGAAATCCAATGAAGAGGTCCAATCCCATTTTGGCACTGAGCAGCAAACGGGAACAGGTGACTGCGACCGCCTGACACAAAGCACAGCAACTGGCATGTGAAATCGCGCAGATGTTTGTCAACCCAGAACTGACTTTGGAAACTGTCCAAAGGGTCGAGTGTCAGGTAGTGCGGGAGCCTTCCGAGGGGCGAAAGCCGGACAAAGCATCGGTGCCTGCCTTCGCAGCGGCGTTGCCACATCCTCCAAGCGGTCTGCCCGGCGCTCTGCCTTGCTGTCGCACAAAGCACAGTGCTCGATTGACAAACTGGGCCCCAGGCCTGGGCATCCATGTTGCGACCGCGATTCCTACTGTCCTACAATGTCCTACCACATTCAAGTTTACCATGTGCTGCGGCAGCCGAAAAGATCCGAGACGCGCTGGCTGACTCAAAATGGGAGTGAGTGAGTCAGTGAGTGAGTGAGTGAGTGAGGGAGTGACAAGGTGTCGCGGAATGTGTGTGGCGGGGGCCTACCTCATGCCCAAGGAGATGAGCAAGTTGACAAGCAAGCGCGCTAGCGCGCCTTTTCAATGCAGTCAAAGACGGGGGGTCTTCTACAAAAGACGAAACAGCCGTTGACGTTGGGTTTCAACAGTCGCACAGCTAAAGTTAGTATTACATCCCCCCCAGGGCCAACATGTTTTAATACTAGGGAGAACGTGAATTGAAGGGTTGAGGGTTAAGGTTGAAGGCATGGGATCTTGCTGTCAGCCATGGTACCTGTATAACAAGGAGGACCACCACGACCACAACCACAACCACGACAACAGCAGCAGCAACAACAACAGCAACAACGGCAACAACGGCAACAACGGCAACAACGGCAACGACGGCAACGACGGCAACGACGGCAACGACGGGAACAACAGATAACTACGACGACGAAGGAGCACACAGAAGAACCCCACAAGAACACCCCAGTGCAACACAAGAACATCCCAGTCAGCTAGTGTCTCATTGCATGCTGCGAAGCATCATGCTTTTTGACGCAGTTTGCCCGATGGTACTCGTGCACATAGCCTTGAACCATGCTTCCACAATGTCGTGTCCTATGGGAGGTCCGCTTATCCAGCAAGTCTGCCGCAACTCGTCCTCGAGTTCTTGAGGCTGCTCGGGGCGCTGTCAGATCATCTTCTGGCCCTGTCGCGTTCAGGCTGGTCTCTCCCAGCACGTTTCGCCAGTCCTTCCACACATGAACTTCATGCGACATTGTGCAAACAAGCAGAAATTGGCCAGTGCCTGTCGTTGTAATAGAATCTCCTGCAGGCAATGCGTAGCGGCGTAGCAGACCCTTTGAACGCAACGGCGCTTCCCACATCCCTTCTGGGCACAGTTCCTTCCAGGAGCGCTCCGGGATTGCATGAGTACCCAGCCACCCGACAGCGGCATAGCCTGCTGCACGCAAGTTCCGAACTTATTCAAGAGCCGCAGGAAGAAGAAGCTACTAGAGTTACTAGAACAAAGGCCACAGATCAAATTCGAGGCTGGCACACCACTGGACTGGGGCGTGCTCTTCTCCGCAGCCACCATGCTGTTCACATGCGACACCTTTTTGTCACTTCTCTAAAGACAAACCAGACATCTCGAAGCAGCTTTGGGGTCAGGACGATCCAAGCCATCCTCCACATGGCCTGGGAGCTCCGGAATCTCCCACTCGACTATATTAGTAGATAATGATTTTTATCACTATTTATACTATACTGCTACTACTAATAATACTACGAATACTAATAACACTACTAATAATAATAATAATAATAATGGAACACTAATGAACTGGAGTAACATGCCCCAAAAATCACTTCCCCTCAGGCGCCTCATCCCAGGGATCCTTGCGGTGCTCTGCGGGGGGGTCCACCGCAGCATCAAACTGAAAAGCAAAGTGGTTTAGGGTTCAGGGTTCAGGGTTCAGGGTGTAGGGTTTAGGGTTTAGGGTTGAGGGTTTAGGGTTGAGGGAGGGTTGAGGGTTTGGGGTTTAGGGTTGAGGGTTTAGGGTTCAGGCTTGGATTCACAGCGGCTTCATGTTCGCACATGCTACACCGTAACCCGATGCCTCGTAGTCAGTTTTGCCACTGTCCTGGGATGTATCACGATTTTGCACAAAGGCCCTGAGCCACAATCTACCATGAGCTTAACTGACACCAGCTCAGAAACCTAGCTGCAAGCACGTCACAATATGCTATTCTCTCGCTTTGCCCAATTTAGTCTGCTACCAAGGGTAGCGCTGACAATGCTACAAGTGCCAACAAAACCGCCTGGTTGACAGTCCGTTGGCAAAAAGCAGGATACGTGCTACTAAGGTACATCGGCTGCACAAGTAGCCACACGCACTTCTCTGAGGGTCAGTCTTCGGGGCAGTCTTTGCCCCCCTTCACCTAAGAGTACATCCATTAGCTTGCTCCGGACATCACCAGCATGATGGCTGCGTTAGTTCTACTAACGCACTTGCCTGTGATGAATGACCGGCATCACGAAATGTCACGAAATACTGCGGGGCTTGTCTGATGTCGAACGTTGGCATGCCTCCGCCTGCTCCTCGTCAGAGCCAGGAAGCACTTGCTGATTCTTGACTCGCAGCTGATGCCGAGTGCTGTCCAGCAAGCGCTCAAGACAGGGCACCTGAGAAAGCTAGCAAACAAAAGCCGTGCGAATGCCACGTTTAAGCACGGAGTCTTGCGATATCTTAATGGCTGCGTTTCTGGTCTCGGATCAGTTTCGGGGTAGGATTGGAATGAATGGGAGACTTCGGGGGCAGCCGTGAAATCTTGAAAGTACCTGCGAGAGAGCTTTGAGAAACTGGGGGGCACCTTGCGATCTGAATCGAGGAAATGAACGATGTCGTCCAAGTGCAAATCATCAATCATCGCTGCCGCCGCGACGAATTCTGCCAAAGAAATTTTGTCCGACTTGTCGATATCGAAACCTGCAATAGTAGCTCGCCATAGACGCTCCATCTCTTTCGGCTGCAAAGTTCCATCACGAATCTGTGCATCGTAGAGTACCTTTAGATATCCGTCCAGGCTGTCCTTGTCCAGCGAACCGTTGCTTGACAACACGCTGTATGCGGCATGAGAGCTGAGCATGCGCGCCTGTGTCTTGCGCAGATGGTCATAAATGTCGAACGGTCTGCAAGTTTCCCTTCGATAGATCTGGGAAGGCACCCCGAGCAAGAACTCCACAAGGTAGCGCAGGAGCAGCGCCGGCAATCCGAAGAGAACAGTGGCTGAGATGACCCAGGTCATGACCGGCGTATGGGAAAAGAAGCGGAAATCACCCTCGATCGTGAAACGGGGAGTCACTCCATACATGTAAACCTGATGCTCCGCTGTGATACTGCTTGCAGGAAGCATGACTTTCTGTACTTCCACATTGGAATTCCATGCTGCATGTGCCTTGACACTCACATAGCAAACCACTCCTTGGTGAACTTCGCTGTGGGCCCCTCGGCTCAAGTAGTTTAACCGAAAGTCCAGGATGAAACCCATGGTCCGTAGGTGCCCAGCCAAGTTTGGGCTTCCATTCTGGCTGGTCAGTTCTAGGGGGTTCGTGTCCAAGTCGACCCCTGCGCATCGCATCCAGTCTCGGAGTGGGGCACCGATGCCGATGGCGGCCTGCTCTTCGCTCCAGGAGGACTGCCCACCAACTTCGCAGCGTGAGCCATCGACGGCTAGAAGAATTGTCTGGACTGTTCCCCAGTCTGGTAGGCCAAACAATGGCAGAGTACTGCTCCCGTCTAGGGTTGGGACGAAGTAACTGTGAGTGAACACAAGAACTTCGTCCTCCGGATGCCTTGCAAAGTAGCTGTCTTTCATCTTGCACGTGCAAGTATTGTCTTGCACCTCCTCCCAAGAAATCACTACATCAGCTGAGACATCTGGCGGCCGTGGCATGTCTAGGCACGCGAGCCTTTCTTGCTCCGTGCAATTGCTGTGGCTCCACATGTACGTTTCTTCCAAGTAGGATGGGATATGAAGCCAAGCGCCTTGCTTTCGGAAGGCCGCACTGCCAACAAGCTGCCTGCAGGACCTCGGTTTGTAGTGCCAAGACTCGTCGAATATTGTGTCATACTGCTGAGGATTCAAGCAGTGATTTGGAATGGTGGCGTCGCTCACCTTCGGAGCATCACGCCATGTAGTTAAGGAGCCGCTTGAGATGCGGAGCTTCCCATGCCATGCTTCTGTCGAGATGAAGTCAAAGATCACGTACGCAAGCGTGGCCAGCACCAGAAGCAAGTACAAAACGGCTACCCGCTTGCTCTGGATTGAAACCCGCCGCGGAATCTCGACCCACAGCCAGGGCCAGGGATCCAACCAGTCGGATATTGACATGTTGGTCCATCGGAGCAGACTCTCAAGTCATTTCAAGCTCTTTCAAGTCTCTCAATACAGCATGCTCGTCATGTTAAAAGGCTAAAGAGGGGTTCAGTCTTGCATGGAAATATGTGAAAAGCAGCCTGGATCCAAAACACGCTGGTTGTCAACGCGACGCTTCCTTCAGATCAGGAAGTGAGGAGAACTAGGCAGGAGGCATGATGCGACCTGGTAAGGCTGTCACCATGGCAGCTGCACAGCTGCGCAGCGGAGGCAAGCCAGCGAAATTTGCGTGGCCCGACTGCTTATGTACCCAGCATGCTTACAAACTCGGCGAAACAGCTTCCTGCGTAGTGTGGGTGTGTGTGTGTGTGTCTTTTGCTACAGTGAGACAAGCAACATCAAGCAACCATGTCTCAGGGTTGTGGGCCGGCAGACATCAATATGTGGCTGGTTGATGACAACATCATGCTGAGATCATGAGATTTGCACAGCATAGACTAGCGGACAGGAAGCTTTGCAATGCTGCGGCCGTTGATTTTACCGGTGTGCTGACAGGTCGGCTACTACGCAGGTCGGCTAGATGACAGTCTCCACATCCACGGCGCTCAGGAAGCTCTGAGGATTGCGCTTTGCGCATGAACGTGCACCACGTCTGGTGACAGCCCAACATTGGCTGTTTGCAAGACTGGCCTGAAGCAGGGATGTGGGACTACCAATGGCCTGTTTGTTCGTCCAAATTTATGTCCAGGGGAAACCTGGGAGAAGTGTTCGCCCCGAGACGGTTAGGAACCTTCGGAACAATCCCTGCACCATTTATATACATATATGTATATATAATATATAACATGGGAACACATTGTATCACATAGTCGTACAGGCTCGCTCGCCCTGGGCAACCCGGCTTGAAGTCGTGGAAGGCATCAAGGATCCGGCCAAGACCTCGACCCGACTCGATTGTCAGCCAAGACTTCTCGCGACCCCAACATTCCGACATTCCCAAAGCCAGTCCGAGATGAAATATCGTATCTTGGGCCTTTTGTCGCGTCGGCTCATTCTTCAGCTCCACGTCGGACTGCGCAGCCCGATCTCATAGGTCTGTGCGTCCAGCTAGCGACCTGGCGAGTGCTGAGCGCCCTGAAACCGCAGAGCATCCCGCATGCCGAGACCGGATCGAAGCGACTTCCCCTCCTCGCCTTTGGACCTGTGAGTCTGTCAGCTCGTCGCGCACATCAACCTTGCGCAAAGAAAGCACGCAGGAAGCGAACGGGAATCGCATCCGAAGGACCAGGCATCCTGGAAGTGGGCGTAAGGACCCGGAGGTGGGCCTGCCAGGACCTCCCAAGCACGAAGTACCACAGATGAGTCGGAGGAGCATCATCCACACAATTCCACACACACCACGCTGCGGGTTGAATCAGGCTCCAGACTCCCAGGAGCATCCCGGCAGCCTGGGTGGTCCAAGCGATCCCGTCGTGATGCCCGTCGCAAATGTTATCTGCAAATATCTGCAACACACTCGAGGCCACTACCAGTGCACCGCCGCAGGCTGGCCCCCACCGGCGACACCGCCCTGACCGAAGCGGACCAAAGGCGACGCGGGCACACACGCACGTTCTGAGGGCGTGAGAGCACGTGCAAAGCTACACAGCGCGGGCCGTCTCGGGAGTTGGAGCTCTGCGAGCCCTTCGAAGGCGAATGCAAACACTTCCATACTCTTGGCTTTGCCGCAGGATTGGCAAATCTTTGTCAAGTCTGACTCCAGCCTTCACAAAGAGCCAGCAGCAGACGGGCGGCATCATCATGATGGCCTGAGCTTGTCTACGTCTCACTCTCCACTGGGGCAGGCGCCAAAGGTGCTGAGGGCGGAGCGAGGCTTGACACCTGGCCTAAGGCAAACATTGGAAAAACACCGGAGCGAGTGACCGTGAAGTCCGTGTGTTCGTCACTTTTGCGTCCAGGAAGTGCTCAGCAAGCAACGCGGCACCATGCCAAGGAACTTGCTCACAAGTCGATGGACCTGGACGAGACTTGACTGTAGAGGGCCCAGCTGAGCCTTCTGGAGCTGAGCCATCCTATACCATCCTTCCGGCCTCGAGTCCATAGCACAGCGCGTTCAGGTCTGCCATGACTGCCTGGGAATGTCCAGCGCAGTTGCAACCAGCTTGAGGTCCACAGCTTCCGCGAGCGGACGCTTAGGAAGTCTTAGGAGGCGGCGCATCCACAAGCAGCACTTGCTGCGGTGAGCACCTCGGAGCTCCACATGCTCACCATTTTCTCAATTGTGCCCACTTTCTTTGTTAAGTCTTTTGACTCTTGACTCGTTTGCTCCTTTTGGACTTCTCTTGTTCTGCTTGAACGTAAGCGGCTGGCGAGCAGCACCAGGCAGCGGGCGATCGCGCAGATGGCTGCACCTGGGGGACACGGGGGTCACAACTCCAAGCTCCGCGCCCCACACCTCCCGAAGCGAGAAGATGCCCTCGAATGGCCGAGGTCCAGTCTGCAAGTCGAAGTGAAAAGCCCCATGAAATCTACAATTCTATGTGAGCTCTGCGTTGTCCTACAGACATTTTGAAGCTACACATACCGGGCACCGAGTAAGGGGCTTTGACGCTTGGGGGCGATTGGAAACGCTACAGCTTGAGATGTGCTGAGGATGTGCGCCCAAGGGCTTAGCGACTTCGCAAGTACATCACGGCCCAAGGCTAAGGCATTTGAGCCAAATAAGCTTGAAATGAGTTGAAGTGGCTGCTGTGGCTGTACCATTGCTGTATCATTGCTCGGCACCAAGCTTGCTGCGGCAGACGCCGTTCACTCAGCAAGGCTACAGCAAGGCTGCGTCATGCATATGTCCGTCTGCTCCGACACAGGGAGCTTTTCATCATGCAAGGATTTCCGGCACACGGACCATGTTGCACTCAAATCTCCAGGAACGCCCACCTGACAAATCCGAGTTTCCAGCCATGGTCGAAGGAGGGCTTGGAAGCTAGGCGAGCTAGGCACGCAGCATAAATGCCAACGGGATACATCCTGCCAGCAGTTGTTCTAATTCCCAATCAGGTGAGTCTCTTGTCTGACATTTGTGAGATTTGAGCCTGAGGTTCTGCAGATAGCTCTCAGGGAGGTAGAAGCCCCACTCCTCCGCTCAAAAGGCTGGCAGCGCCAAGCTGAAGTGTTACTTGTTGCATTTCACTGCGAGGGGCGGATACGCCATGACGAACAAGAAGCCTTCCATCCTGTGGAAACGCATGCACACACACACACACACACACACACGTTTGCTTAAGCGGTTCTCCCCCTGCTTTGCTTTAAGGCCTCTTCCAGCTGCACCGTGAACTTTGATGGGATGCTGGCAGCTGGGTTGTCCTGTCTTTCACTCTTGCATAAACTTGCTTTCTGACACGGGAGGAATGCCACTCGTCGGTCTCCTTCTGTGGAGAGCCATCGAAAGCTGTCAGTGGAACGAAGCCTCCCTCGAACACCCACCTCTGAGGGCACAAGGGTGCACGACTTTCACTGTCACAGAGGCCAGGGCACTGGCCGAGCTGCAGACCAGGACCCGCCATGCGCCCCGGCCACAATCTGCGTGACCCGGCGTGACCAGTCGTGACCCGGAAGCCCGAAAGCCAGGTTTTTGGGCAGTCGGAGGCAACACAAAAAAAAACACTGAAAGACGAAAAAAGGGTTGAAGCTGCACCTCGAGGGAGCTTAGTGGCCCTTGACCTCACAAAGAATCTGAAAGATGACACCGTCGCAGTGCCAAACACATCCTGTTGCTGCTCTCTTCTCCAGTCATGGGCTCGAGAGGCTCGAGGTTCTGGCCCATGAGCACGTGAGCATCTGAGGCTGCAGTCGTTTCCACCTCTCCCGAATTTTGAGACATGGGCAGCATGTTTGCAGCATCGAGTATCCACCTGCGCGCGTGTGGAGTTTTCATGAGTTTTCATGCCAGGCCTCGAGGTGGAAGGGCGGAGGCAGTGGCTTCATGTTGAGGGTCTTGTACAGAACCTTCTGGCCCTCGCGCCTCTGAAGCCCCAAGCATTCTTTCGTGGCTTTCATGGCTTAAGCAGGGTCTCCGGCAGCTCATTTCGTGCACTGCAGCACATCTTGCCATCCCTCTTGAAGCAGACCTCTGAGAGACTCTGAGAGGATTGAGTTGTGACCCAAGCCGGGCGCTATGAACCTCACCGCCGTACAACTCGACCATCTGACCGGCTGCCTGGGCAGCAAAACCAGAAGAGGAATCAATGAAAACACCCACGTAGAAGGTGCTCTATGGTGCTCCACGGTGCTCTATGGTGCTCTGGTCTATGCTCTGCTGGCCGCGCACCCCTTGCACATGACGGCTCTGTTCAGCAAAGCGGGATTCCTTTCACCGATAGATGCTAGAACAGTCTTGAACGTGATTCAACCTGGATGGCATGCTTCGAATACCGCTGCGCGTGTCCTTTTGCCAAAGCTGTCGCGTCAGTGTCTCTTGCAGCCTTGGGGCGCACACAGCAGGTATTGCCGGTATTGCCCTCGTCATCGACCTGAGCCTATGGCTCCTTCTCCTCCCAGTCACTGAAAGGTGAATGGTAGCCTCGGAGACACAACTCCGAATATCAAAAACACGAGTGATACACACTCAACGCCCCCCAGGGCTACCAGGCGCGAGCTGCCATGAGAGACTAAATCATCTCCTCTCGTCAGATCTCGGAGTTACTAGTTCAGGCTGGTGAGAATCGCTAGCACGGTTCAACAGTTTGATAAGTTCTATGCCGACTTCCATACTTTGCCATTCAATCAAATTCAGGAAAATGTGTAAGGGAGGAATAACACTGTAAAGGAGCATAAGGTCAGGGCGAAAAAGCTTGTCGACAAATGCCCACTGCTTCATGTCTCCAGGGATGTGCACCTCAACATCTTGCAGCCTGGTCCTGCACGTATTCTACCTTAGGGACCTTTGCACAACTCGTCTCCAAGAGAGCAGCCAGCGATGCCCTTTCACCGCACTGGCAGCAATGGGAAGGATGCCTCCCAGCTCAACAATCTTCAACACTTTAGCACCTGCTGTAGCAGTGTAAGCAGCGTCTACTGACCTACTACTCTGGTGGTGCTGTAGTCTTGAAGCCATCAGACTGCGGTGAATACGGAACACAGTGGAACAGAGAGGTCTCAGCTTGGCCGCCCGCACATCTCTCGGGTGAACAAAGCCCGAAACGCCCTGCACGGAGTGCTAAACCAATGGCGCAAGGCCACTGTAAGGCCGCTTGCACCCAATGCGGGAGGCCTCCTTTGTGCATTGGGTCAGCCGCTGGCTGCCCTGCCATGATCTTCCATGGGCACGCCATTTCAAGATGATCACCCACACTGCTTCTACCGTCCCAGCATGTGATGGGATCCTTAAGCAGCGACATCGTTCGAACCCGTTTCCGAGTGTCGCTGGTCGACAACAGGAAGGACCAGCCCTGGGTGGGATCACAGATCTCGACCCCAGCACGAATTGTGCATCGTTGTTCGTCATGTGATTTTCACGTTCTCGCTTGACTGAGGCAACGACGCTCAGGAGGTCCACCGGGTCTGGGCAATAGACCTCGAAAAGTGGCAGTAAAGAGCACGAAATGTGACAAACATAACGTCTACAGTAGCTGTACGCATCTGTGCAGGGCCGAGCCCGGCTGAACCCTTCTGAACCCGTGCCTCGTAATGGCCAGCGCCGACCATGCCAGGATATCGACGACCTCAGCTCGCTGCAGATGTTCCCTCCAAGTGGTGAGCGCCGCTGCCAGTGCTGAGGAGATCACGTTCTCGTACCTCGAAGGAGGACGAAAGAAGCGTAAGACTGAAATGGACTTCAACCCCCGAACTTGTTGCGAGGCATGCGAGGCATGCGAGGCATGCGAGGCCTCCGGCAGTACCAGCTCCGGACTGTTCCAGAACATCCCCCACTCAGTTGCCGGGACCTCACGGAATTCTGAGAAAGACTATTCTGAGACTACTGGCTGTGTCCAGCGCGGGCTCCACGACAAGCTGATTGACCATGATGGACCTGCGCAACCTCTTTCTGGCTCAGCTGCCCAGAGCCGAAGCTAGTTGCTTCCAGGCTCGATGATTTGGTTCGTTAACATGCGGCCGACACCATCGTGAGGCAAGGTGATTTGCATTCTCTCTTGCCCCAAAAAAGCACAGCCTGTACAGCATTGTACATGTATTGTACAGAGCTTGCAAACATGTAGCAACTTGGGACCTACCCAGCGCAGGCAACGCGAGTTTAGACTTTAAACGATAGAACACATTTGCAAGATTTTGCAAGCCATCTTTGAAGGCAGATACGAAGGCCAGTTCTGAGGTTTGGAACCTGCCAACGCTCTGCCCTTCTAGTCCACGAGGCAGACCGGCGGGTTCAAACTCCACCGGCGCTACTTACAGGCTGCGCTCGAGTGCGGACATGACTCTGCTCTCAGTGACCTTGTCACGACTCTCCACGGAAGGAGCCTATCGCAGATCCCAAAGAATGCATCGGGGCAGCAGGTCGTTCCAAATAAATAAATTAGAAAAACATATGTAACACGAGATTGGAGCGCCTCGCATTCCAAGAAGGCCCAGCCAAAGAGCGAGGAGCGCAGGCCAATTCCCTGAGCAGGCGGATGGCGAGCGTCAAGGCACCAAGGAGGTTTCAGCGTTTCAAAAGCTTAAAGGTGCTGCAGCTCCTCTCTGCTCCTCTCTGCTCCTTGACATGTGACATACAACTGTGACATACAGCTCATACAACGTGCCTGCCACCAGTCCGATATCCAGCGTGAGCTGCTTGTCTGCGAAGAGATCCTTGCACGCAACACGTAGCAGCACGTCACAGCACGTCACAGCCATAAAAGACGAGGTCTGGGGCACCACACCATTCCACGGTGCTTCCCAGGCCCGGTGATGCCAAGATCTCTTTGCCCTCCTCGAGTCAAGTTGCTTACTTGTTGCAGCGCGTTCTCTTCGGCGACATGACTGCTGTTTTTGCCGTGCTTTTCGTGTGTTGATGAGTGCTTCGCCTGGTCCACCACCTGCGATCCTTTGCGCTTGAAGAGGCCAAGTGCGGGCCTGGAAAGACCGTCAATCGCGAAGAAAGGAAGAAGAGGTTGAGGGACACTTGCTGGGGAGGGAGGTTCAACGCCTTGGCACGACCTGCTCCGCCTCGAGCACTTCGGAGGCCTCTCCACACAGAAAACTTGAACATTGAAAACCTGTGTGTCAAATAATTTGTAGTTGCTGAATTGCAGTTGCTGAAGTGTTTTCTTTATTGATGGTGCTTGTTGCTTGGAAGAAAGCAAAGAAAGCTGCCGAGCTGGCTACAGTTTCCCCACAGGCTTCGTTTGCAAAGCGTAAAGGTTTTGTCATGTTTTGTCGATCAAGAATTGGAGCAGCACACGAGGCCCTTGTCCGCTGCCAGAACAGAAAGACATCACGCAGAGCCCAAATGCATTCGGGCACTGTTGACCGGTTCAAGGCTCGATGGCTCGTGGCCCTTTCTGTCTCGGCCCGAAACCTAGCAGCCTAGATCAGCCTAGCACACTTCGGGCCTTGGAGCAACCACCTCCTGCTGGCTCACCAGTCCCACCCCCGAAGCCCGAAACAACCAATGCCCGGCTTTCCGTCCACGACAATAAGACCTCCGCAGCCTGCAAGAAGCATTTCCTCGTTAGATGCTAGTTCCCAAGTCTTGACGTTGTTGCTGCTGTTGTTATTGACGGGAGCTTTCAAGAGAGGGTCATTCAAAACAGATGAAATCTGATGTGGGAAACGTGAGGTGGCCTCGCTCAGTCCTCCCTCAGCAGTCTCCAGCAGCTTGGATGGGCAGCACTCCGCCTGCTTCAGGCCTTAACATGTCCACGAGGGCACCATCCGCAACTCTTCGGAACACACGCCTGGGAGCGGCACTTTGCAAGGCCTCCATGAGCTCCTGGTTTTGAGGATGGAAGTGGCTTGAAAGGGGCGTGGACTGTAGATAGGTCCTCGAAAGTGGGCTGGGTGAGCAAGTGGGCTTCGTGCAGGTCCAGGAAGGCAATCGCCCTCAGACATCTGAAGAGAACGTCTATGCTTTCATCAATGTCCACTGGCACAGTGAGCTGAGCATGTCAGCCTAACTGTGCCTTCGTGTGCTTTGACTCCTGACTCTAAGCTCGCAAAGTCCTGTGCCCCAGACAGAGCCAGTAGGGCTGCAAGGCCAAAGTCTTCCAAGAAGTTTAAGCAATGCCTAAGTCAAAGAACAGCTTGGCACCAAAGGCTTTTGGCACAACGTTGCATGGATCTGTGACATGTGGCCAAAGGAACCGAAGAACCTCTACAACCTCAGATTTGTGAGCAGGGGACAATAGCATCATTAGCGGCAGCCAGTTCACGAACATGGACAGCAGCGCCTGACAGGACATCAGCTTAGGCTTAGGGGCTTTGGCCCTTGGCGCCTTAGCTCGGCGCACTGCAAGAAGGTGAGCGCAAAGTGAGTCAAAGGCCACCCCCTCCTGCGGAAGGAACATGTCGCTGCGGACACCGAGCCTTCGCAGAGCTTGCATTTCACGGCGAGTTTAACACAACTCGAACCGCACCCAACACCCCCAGCAGAACCCCTCTTTCCCCGCACAGCCATTCACCTGTCGAAGTGCTCGAACCAAGGCTTCTCCCGAGCCAGGGCCTGGGAGCGAGACTTCGCATTTGCAGCTGTTGCTCAAAGTTGCTCCAAACTTTCAATTTCAAGAGGTTTCTCCAAGAATTCACAAACCCACACGCCTCAAACCCGGCCATACACGGGGCCAGCAGTGGGAATCCGGGCCTGAAGGATTGGCAGAAAACTTGTGTCGGGATCAGAGCTGCAAGGTTAGAACAGAACACGAGCAAGGAAAGCAGAAGCTCCACTTTCCCATGCGCGTCAATCTGCTGCAAAAGCTTAAGCCTTGCTCTGGCTTGACAGCGGCTTGACGTTCGATTCAGGTAGCAGAGTCTGCCCAAGAGCTCCAGAAAACATCTCCAGGGCACGGTAGAGACTGTAGGCTAATCGAGTTCACCAGAAGTACTATGACTATAAGTAGACCATAATTCCTGAGCAGTCGGGCATGCAAGCATCAAAGTCTTTGGCAAACCTCATACTGCACCAGAGACATCAAGGCGATTCTGCCGGCAATGGATGACCGGTTACCACTTACAGCATAAAGTGATGTCTTTGTCAGGGTGAGAGCTCGCCTCCTACCGAGTGGTGGAGCCCACTCGCTCTGCGTACGAGGTTTGCGAGCATACAAGATTGCACAGGCTGGCGCTCAAGCGCCGTGCCAGAGTGCAGGCGTCAGAAATCGATCAGAAGGTGTTGGAGTATCATTGGCCAAGCTTCTCATCACCTGATGTACCTGCAGTGTCCAAGCACCACCCGTACATACGCTAAAATTCGCTAAAAGCCACGAGAAGCAACTTCGGGCCGCACTTTGCGAGAATTGAACTGTTGGCTCGAGATTCACCTCAGACCAATGCCACGTTCGAACCAAGTGCATCCACCAACAGTCTGCTTCGGCATCTCACATTTCACAATTTCGCAAATTTCACATCAAGCCGCAAAATCAGGATGAACTGCCCCCTTCGCTCCACCACCTCCAAGAAGCAAAGGGCACAGCAAGCAGAGCACCCCTTCGACACAGCAAAAGAGCAAAAAAGCCCCTCTTTCGTACACCCTCTGCCTCTCCCTCGCTCTCCCTCCCTCTCTCTTCCTCTTTCTTCCTCTCTCCAGGTCTCAGAGGTGCGGACGCTTGGTGACTTCAGCTCGTAGGCTTTCCCTTCCAGTACACTGCCAGAACGCTGCCGACGATGGCCATCCAGACCACACTGACCGCCGAGGGAACCCTCACGTTGAAGGCCTTGAGTACAGGGGCAGTACAGACACAGTGCAGAAACAATGCTGCGTCATTACTACTCCTGATCTCCTTTCCCTTCTTGCTTTCTCTCCTATGCTCTGGCTAGGCCCTCGGGCTCCGAAGTGCAGGGAAGCGAGCAGGAAGCCGAAGGCAGAGGACTTCATGGAGGTCTCGATAGCCACGGTGCGGCAGGTCCTTTGGTCAAAGCCGCAGATCTGTGTGGCGAAGAACCCGAGCAAACCTCCAAAGAGGTGAAGGGCAAGGCAGGCCAACTGCAGGGGAACGCCCGCTCCCTTGATGGGTGTGGCGCAGCCTGCCACCGAAGCTCCCACAAGCAACACGGTGGAGATCACACCGACAACTGGGGTGTAAGGCGTCACTGCCTTGCAAAACTTTGGCACAAGGGTATTGCAACCGACGCCCAGGAAGATGGGCGCCAGGACCACCTGAAAGGTGGAGACCACAATACCCATGGCATCCACAGGCACAACCGCGCCCAACACCAGCTTGCAGATCAAGGGAGTCATCACGATGCAGCCCAGGGTGGTCGAAGTGGTCATCAGAACGCTCAAGGCCACGTCACCCCCAGCGATCAAGGTGCAAAGGTTCGAAGCCTGGCCGCCGTTGATGGATCCCACAAGGACAAGGCCTGCCAAAATAGCACCCTCGGCTCCAATGGCCTTGGCCAGCATAAACGCCAGCAAAGGCATGATACCATAACAGGAGATGAAGTTGATGGCGACGGCCCCCGGACGTTTCAAACACTCCTTGAAGTCATCAATGGTCGTGGTGATGCCCACCGAGAACATTAACAACCCCAGCAATCCGGTGAAGTACTGGGACTTGACCCACGTGAAAGTTGACGGCTCCTTCAATGCAGCAATTGCTGCAATGGCCAACCAGATTGCAAAAAGGTTGCAGAAGCCAGTGCTCAGCTTCTGCAAAGTGCTTTCCTCTTCGGTGCTCTCGGCGTCACCCTCCGCACGGCGACCCAAGAAGGACCGCCCGGAGCGTCGCCGCGCCAACATCGCATTGGCCAAGCCCAAGAGAGCCGCAAAGGGGGGCACCAAAGCGGCCCGCTCCGAAAGGCTCTGAGGGCCCTTGGCATTGGCCAGGCCACCCGTGGAGGCCGTGGCGCTCGTGGCACTCTCCAGGGTTCGCTGGTGGATTTGGCGGATCTCCACCGAATCCCGTACTCCAGCAAAGGTGCTGCGCGCAACATGCTGGGGCGCCAATGCCATGAAGGTAAAGCCCTCATAGAACACAGCGCAAAGCCCAATTCCAGCAACAAAGGGGAGGATCAAGGATCTGCTTCGCGATGTCATCATCCCAAAAACCGGAAGCGGCTAGGCTTGCAATCCTGTTTGGATTTGAGCACCAATGCTGCATCAAGCCACATCTCGGAACCAATCCGATCTCCGCACCTGGCCAGACCAAGTTGAAGCTCAAAGGGGTTTTTCAAGCTGGGCCCTGAGCAACCAAAGACCACGCACTTGTCGGACAAATGCTGCGAAGCGTTTGTACGCCTAGGACAGTTGCTGAACCGAGGAGACTTCCATGTTCGGCATGCCTCTACTGATTCTACTGCGTTCGCACTGGCATTCCACCTCTGGATCTTGTACGGCAGCAGCAAAAACAGCTGCTACCAACGTCATCCCTTGGCAGTAGCCCAGCCTTCAGTCAAAAGGTGCATCTACATACGTATAAAAACACATTCACGAGAAGCGGCATTTCCTTTGGTCCGGGCTCGGGATCCTCGTCCAAATGCTGCAGAATCATGGCCCGAACCCTGAGAAAGGCATGAACCCCTCCCTGCGCCTATCATTGTCCCACATACGCCAATGTCAAGGAAAAACAGAACATGCATGCAACAATCTGGCCTTCCGATGCAGGCCTGCAGTGACTTGTCGCCGCCAGCCGTCCGTGGAAGGTCCAGGTCTAACTGGCGGATGACCTGCTCTGGGACAACACGACAAGGATCCATCATACTGCATCGTGTTCATGCTCGATTCGAAATCCATGGACCATCACACGCGTCTCGGAGAAAAAACACCTGTCAAGTCTCAGAGCGCAAGAATTTTTTTTCCCAAGTGACCTCGGGGCTGGGTCCATCTCCATCTTGTAACCTTCACACTTCCCAAGGTCATGATTTCGCAAGGGGAATTTTACAGAGTGCGACTGCACGTCGTTGTTCCCATCTGCGGAAGGGTTGGGTTTCTCTCTCGAGAGAGGTGGGGGACCGTTACTATGAACTACCAAATGCAAGCAATCTGGGCCCCCGTGCCGACTCAGCGTGCTGGCTGCGACATCTTGCATCCAGGGGACGATGTCCCTGCATGTTTTTTTATACAAATTTTTGTATAATATACATTTTTGTTATATAGATATGTATATCCACCATCTCGGGTTCAATCGTAGGAAATCACTGATAATCGAGTTTCCGAATGATGGAGCCCCCCGAGAATACCCACTAAAACGACTCACCAGATCCCATCAGCCATATATTCACGCCACCAACCGAACCGCTAAGAACCGATTCGCAAGCCACAATCTTAAGGACACTCGGCGAGTGCAGAAGTGGTACGAAAATTAGTGCAGGGACTCAGATGAGGATTTATGTTATGGGTGGTGCAAGGAACCAGTTCGGGGGGGGGGGGGGGGGGGGGCAAGTTGGGGCTGCCAACATGCTTAGATGCAGACCTGAACTGACTTGAGGCCGTGCCGTCATGCCAAGAGAAGCTCGAGAGCCAAGTCTTTGAGAACTTAACCAATTCTTGCGGGCATGCCTTCAGGCTCCAAGCGCATCCTTGGTAATTTGCATGTCGGGGCAAAGGCAACCGACCCCCAAATGACCTCCCGGGGCCCTGCCCCATTATAGGAACGCAAGCGATTCCAAATTCACACGGCTATGGGACCAAGTAAATGGTAAAACCTTCTCAGCGAAATGCGCAACGAAAAACTTTCAACTTTAACCTGAGAAAGCAAAATATCACGTCAGGTTTTCCTGAAAGCGGGAGATTGAAGACTGAAAGTTCAAGATTCCAGATCAAGAGAAAGCACTTGGCAGAATTCCTCTAGCACTCGTCCATCTGCAAGTGCAAACGATGTAAAACATGCTACTTGGCATTGAAGGTTGCCGATACTGCCGCTGAAGCGCAGGCCCTCAGCGAATAACAGACCGAAAATGGTGGATCAATGTGGGGGGTGACCAGATACATGTATCACGAAGCACATCATGCAGTGAGTCTTCTTGTCTCTCGTCTCCTGCAACCGGCCTTGACGCAGCTCGGTTATGCCGCGCATGCCATCGAACATACACGGCCGCGCCCCTCTCACCACTCTGTCGTTGTTTGACAAGTTCTAAGTGAGCTTGTCCTTCTGATGGATGCTTTGGCTTGGACAAGCTCCTGGTGTAGTCATGTAAGCTAAGATCTGGGAAGCTGAGCTGCACCATCCTGGAACCAGCTTCTGCGCAGATCAGCTGGAAATTTCGAGAAAGTATTTTTGTATAGCTGAGTGATGATGATCAACAAAGTCAACGTGAGGGGCCCTCACCAACATCCAGCGGCAAGGCAGCGCTTGCATGGGGCTTGGCCTGGGTTTGCGGCTTTGCACGGTGAGCAGAGATGGAGGGCTCTCTACTGAGGCCCGAGCTCACCCGGACTGTGTAGATGAATCCTCGGCTGAGCCCCTTCCTCTGCATCTCTTCTTGCATTCTTGCACTAATTGATTGGTCTACAGTCTTTCTGGGATCAAGGCGTATTCATCAAGGACTGATCATGGATGCAGTCACCACTCCTGACGCCACAGGCAAGTCCAGAGACAATCGGGACAATGCAGAAGTGCACGCCACAGTCCTTTCGAGGCCTTCTCTTGCAGCCTTGAGAGCGATCGACGTCCAGTTGCGGGAGCGCATCCTGGCAACTAAGTAACTACAAGCTGCAAGCTTGTCGGTCTTGCACTTCCCAGCAGTTTGATGACCCACAGCCCGCCCCCGAGCTTGCTCTCCACTTGCCCTGGTTTATGCTGAAGTGGCAGGCCAGGGTGACGGGGTGACGGGTTGAGGGTGTGAGGAGGGGGTAGGCTAGGGTGGGCTGACATTGGTGAACAACCCAGAGCTCATCAGAGGCTCAGATCATAGCTACGCAGCTACAATGCAGCTACAGCTGGAACCACCACATGCCTTCCGGCCCCAGCACCAAAGGCAAGCCGTTGGACACAGCAAACTCGTGAACAGCATCACATACTCCAGGCCAAAATAAACCGTAGTCGTGTCCTGCTAGGATACCCGGGCGTCGCAGCTTCGGCAGCCAAGCTTCGATGTCTGCTTTCAATTCATCATAGGCGTGGAAGCTGTCAATGAAAATCAGATCAAGAAAGGCGTTCGGCACCCAACGCGCAGCGCCAGGACTTCGTTGCGAAATGATGACGCTGCGATTCCGGTATGGTCGCAGGCGGTCCCAGAAAATGTCGAAGGTGCGCGCGGCATCTGGACGATCTTTGTACAAGCCGTGCTCTTCAAAATACGTAGCGTCTGCATACTCAAATGGATCCACCAGAATCATTTCGAGGAGAGGCAGCTCTTCCAACAGGAAGCTCGAGGTTTGCCCCATGTGGACACCGACTTCCGCCGCTGTTACAACGCTGTCCTGCTTTACTTCTGAGATGTCGCTGAGCAGGGATGCCAGAACCTCATCGTAGCGCGACCCACGTGTGCCATCGAACACCATGTCAGTAGGCTGCGCTGTTCTCAGGGGCCCGTCCGGAAAGGAAGCAGCAACCTGAGCTGCATGGATCCGGGACATCGCCACCCGCGAGAGCCCTGAAATCCCTTTGACACATTGTAGCAGATCCAGAACATGTAGCCCACAAAGATCCTCCGAGTCTGCAATCTCCACAAGATCTGCCAAAAACGCACAAGCAGGTACAGCACCCACAAGCTGACTGACAAGATCGGCCAGGTGCAAGCTGATGGACTGCAAACTTGCAGGGAGCCGAGGAGCCACCTCGCGCAGACCTTCTGAAAACTGATTCGTGTGATGAATCAGAAAGTCAACGACTTGCGGCATGTAGCACGACCCCACTTGGCAGAAGAAGTTCCGCTGTGCTGTGCAAGACGCAAAAACTGCGTCCTGGGCACCAGCGACGAGATCTGTGAACAGATTGGCGATGTCAACGACCGCTTCCCCGGTGTGCGGCTCTAAGCGGGCACTTACGTCCCAGAACAATGATGCATTGTAGACCCAATCTTGCTGTCGAAACACCTTTGTCAACTGGTTATCAACTGGAGCCACCTGTGGCAGGACTGCAAACAAAACAACCCCGGCGAAGCCCCCGGCGAAGGGAGCTACGGGTGGCATCATGCATCACCTCACCCAGTTGCCTAACAGAAGGGCGAACAAGCGATCGTCCGAGCAGTCTTGTTGGTCCATTGCCAATGCTTCTACGCTTTTCTTGAACCACCTATGCTAGAATATTCTCAAAGAAACTTCCCAGCCTGAGACCAACATAGAGCTTCTGTCCAGAAATTACAGAATAAGCTCGGACAGAGTACCATCAAAAGCCGTCCTAACTATAACCCGCTTCTGACAGCCCTGCACATCTAGCTCTCTTGAGCCATCCCCGTTGCCATTGGTGGCGCTGCAACCACACCCAAGCCCTAAACCAAGCACCCTACAAACCCTGCAAGCCGTCAAACCCTAAACGCCCTAAAGCCTCAAAACCCTGAAAATCTCGCGCCCTGAACGCGACAATCATACGCCTTAATACCCTTAACACTCCAAGGGCCCAAAACAACAAACATATCTACTTGTAAGATCCTACAAACAAAATCCGAAATCGTAAACTCCCAAGCCTCAAAAACTCCAAAGCTCCTAAGGCACCAAACCCTGCCCCAACAACCCTTGAACTAACCCTGAAACCTAAAACCCTCCCTAAACCCCCAAGGACCCAAAACTCGTCTGGGTATCACAACTCATCTGCGTATCGACTTTGATCCAGTGCGTGCAGCCCACGCCGCTGCACACAGAATCACGTTCCAGTTCAGGCCATGACACCATGACACATGCACACGGCACTTGCCTCTCAATCCCAACACATGCAAAATTGACATTGGGCAGGTATGCAGAACTTCCAAATCTTTTAATTTCGAAATTTCGGGCTCACAAAGTTGGCACCGGCAGATGGAAACAATCCCTGAACCGATGCTGGGATGCCAAAGAACACTGGATAGTAGAGGATCGGTAGCGACGTCTTGTGACTACTTCCGGGAGCAGGTCCCTCATGACGTTGGTCGATGATTTGGACCTGCTGCATGTTGAAAGCCAGCGCGGTACGCATCGAAAAGAGCGAAGCTGGCGGGACTTGCACCATCGTGCAGTTTTGGACTTGAAAGCTGCGCAAAGGCATCGCCCACCACAGCGCAGCTCAGGCAAAACCGTGCGAAAGCGGAAGCTAATATCTTAGGCGGAATGATGTGGAACGAACGTGCAGAGCCGCGGAGCAGCGGCACAAGGTACCGAACGCTCCGCAAGATGTCACACGAAGAGAAAATGCGCGGGCGAAAGCATGCTGGAGTTCCAGACGCCGGCTTCGGATACGCCCTCATCCATTCCGACACTTTAAGCGCACCAAAAGTATGACACAAACTTGCCTGCTCTTCCTCTGCAGGCTCTTTACCGACCGCAGCGACCGAGGCGGGGTGAAGGGAAAGCGCCTAACATCCACTTTTGTCCAAAATCCGCTGTTGAAATGGTGGAAAGCGCTCAAACAAGAGGGGGTTGAAACGATTGAAAAAACAAAGAAGTTCAACAAAATGACCGACGGTTTGTACAGGAGGTAAATGATGACAGTGAAAACGTGGACTAGGGACGGCGAGGGTGAAGAGCAAATTCTTTACATCTTTCGCAGCATTCAGTACTGCGGGACACCAAGGACACGGTAGGCTGTTCAGTCCTGGACAAGTCGTACAGGGCCAGGCCGCCATTTACATGGCTCAACACCTGGGTTTGAGTCAAGTTCATGTCATCCTCAAGGAGAGTCCTATGCCCTATGCTTGTCCAAATCGGTGGGAATATCGACTGAAGACCCTTACTTCATGTGGGCACTCGTCTGGGTGCTGCCAGGACACGTGGACATCAACAGAAAGTTAAGTCGAGAGATCTCAGCGCCCGACTGAAATATGCGCGGCTGCGAAGATGTGGTGCCTGCAGCCCGCGACATTGCAGTTAAAGCTAGGTCTGAGAAAGACAAAGGAATCCAACGAGGCAGGTACTTCTCAAATGTGTCGAACTGTGCCCACAGGTCTGCGATGTCATCCATCACAAGCACCTTATCTGCTCAGTGCTCCGGAGTCCCCCAAGCGTCATCCTTTCCCTCGTCAGCTTGGGGCACGACATCACCAAGATCCATGGCTATGACACGCTCCACCTCAGCATCAGCAACAAATGTGCCAAGGGAACAGCAAAGCCAAAGCGGGAGCTTGGGCGGACACATCAGATGGTAGTAACTCATGGCCTGCACCAGCGACAGCAACACACAGCCCCCGCTGCTCCCACCCAAGCAGATTGCGAGGTTCGGACATATGAAACGGGCGAGCAAGGCTTCACCTCGGGTTTGGGTTGCCAATGTCAGCCGGTGCTTTGAGTGGAAACAGGAGCCGTACCGATTTTGTTGACGTCGCAGCCAGCCGGGTACTGACCTGAAAGGACACGCCCCGGTGGCTTCGGTGGGCAACTTGTCATGTACCATGCAAACTCGCGGCTCATGAAGAGCTGGAAGTTGGGATTGTTTGTGAAGTCCTCCAGGGCAACACATAGCGTGCGACGAGACAGTCAAGAAGCATAGGTATAGGAGGCGCTCCACGAATTCCAGATCAATGAGATTGATGTCTCGAGTCTTGCCAGCAGCCTCCTTAGTATGGCATAGAGGGATACGGCATGGAGGGAGAATTGCAGAACAAAAGAACAGCCAGGGTGATAAGGCTGCTGCAAGCTCTCGCAGAGTCGAGCGCCAGTTCTGGTGGGAAAGCGATCGTCAAAAAAGACTGATGCGCATTTCAGTCCTATCGCCTTAACTGCTGCTTGCCCAGTGAAAGCCAAAATTTTTCACTTGCGCCTTATAAGATCAGCAAAAAACTACCCACAAGTCAGCGATGTGCCTCAAGACCTGCAGGGTCGCCTCAGCGACTCAGCAGCTGGCGACTGCACGATTCCCATGTCCCCCATGTCATGCGCTTCCCATTGAGGCAGGGGCCCAGAATGAAGATGCGCAGCGGAACAGATCTCAGCCTGATGCAGTTTTCCCACAGATATCCTTTTGATGCTAGCCGCTTCGAGGAAAAAAGCCGACCTGAGAATGCTCCAAAGCGTGGTGAAGCCTACCTTGGCAGTCTGACCTCGGACTACTTTGCCAAAACTCAAGTGCTGCGCATTGCCGCACTGCAAAGATGTGGGGATCTGGACACGTTAATATGAACTTCACTGTCAGATCTCTCCGATGCGCACCTGAGAAGCAGGCCCAAATTCAGCACCAACAGATTCACGGGGGAAGTCCTCGTGCTATGTTCGCTCCGACATTGCTCCAGAACTGAATTCACCAAGCTCCGGGCGTCTTGACACGCACAAGGCGCTGCAAAGCAGATGCCTGCAATGTCTGCAACTGATGAAAGCCATTCCAAACGCCTTCAGAAAACCGCATACTACATCAAGTCACTGCCGACCTGAAAGGAAGGGATGATATTGAATGCAAGCTCGTCGTGCTCTCTCACCTTATTGGCTTCAACAAGCACACCCAAGCCGTAGAATGTTCAGAAATAGACAAGCACCACCATCTTGTAATAGTCCATGAGGAGGTCATCAAACTCACTTCGCACCTGCGCAGTTGGACATCTGTTCCTTCGACGGCCCGGTCCAACAATTTAGACAGATGCCTCCTCAAGGTCAACTTCAGGAAACGATCTTCCGGAGTCAACCTCAACCACAGATCAGACCCGCGACTCAGCGCATCCCAGATTCCTCAGCGCGAAGAAAGAACCGAGGCGGCAGCAGCAGCTTGGGCGAGAAGGTACGTCGAAAAGGCCTTCAGACCGATTGAATCTGTTTCTAATACCTGTTGAGACCTCCCCGCCTCGAGTCGAAGTGCAGCTTTGGCAAGGAATCTACTGGCCCTTTGTTGTGGCTGGAACTCGAAGCTTAAGCACGAGCCCGTTTGCAACACAGATGGAAAAGCTGGGATCTGCTCGCCATTGCGCGTGGCCTCAAAGCGCTACAAGTAGCTCATCTGGAGCCGCTCTGGCAACTGTCATGGCCACTTCACGCTATGCAACTCGGGCGCAAGCAGCAGCTCAGCAGCAACATCTGCCTACCAGACTGTGCAAGGCTGATTGTCAGAGAGAGAGAGATCCTATCACTGTTTCTTGAGGCTGTCACCACCAGCTGCTGAGCATCAGCTGCGAGTTTCATCTCATCCTTTAGAGCGTCTGCCTTTGAAAGGCAAGGTTACCAAAGTGGCTTGCCACTCCACAGTGCGTGCTTCACACAATCCATGTGCTACCGGGCATGATGGCAAGACAGCTGTTTTGTTCAATCGATCTGCACTGTTGGTGGCTCTGTGGCTGGTGGCTGTGCACTGCTGGACTTTCAAAGGGACATCACAGTCCACTGGTGCGGCCACTGGTCGCTTCTGGTAGCTGTCAGATGCCATATCAGTCGCAAAAGCCATATTGACTCTGCAAGTGCATCAACGTATCTTGCGCAATTCGCAACTTGAGGCTTGGCCATTTGTCGCCAAGCGATGATGTGTGCTTGAGACACGTTAAGGTGAAACATGTAGCACTCAGCAGCTGCCGATGTGCAGGCAATTGGGAAGGGGGCACGTCGATGCAGATGCGCCGCTGGAAGATGCCCACAAAGGCTTCGCCGATCTGCGGGATCACGGGCTCCAGGCTCATGGGATCAACCCTCTGGCAAAGCTCGCCCAGGGCCCAAGATGCAGACCAGTTCACGGGAAGGGTGGCTGGCTGCAGCAAGCCTGCTACGATCTGATCCAACATGCGGGGAAGCAAGGGTTGCACTTGGGGCGTGCAGTGTGCCGCTGCGCTGCCCAGCAGCCAGAAGCCTGATTGGCGTGCCCGCGGGCTGCAGGCCCCGAGAGCCAGAGGCAAAATGCAAAGGAAGTTGTTCTGCTTGAGCAGATTGACTGCACCAGACTGCAGGCCGTCTACTGCGGAGGCCAGCAAGTCGACTGCGGCAGCCATCAAGTCCTGATCCGGTATCTCATATTCGTCAGGGTTTTGCTTCCAAATCTGCAGGGCATAGGCAGTCTCGTTGATGACCTGCACGGCTTTGTCCACGATCCGAGGCAAAGCTTCGGCTAGTAAACTAGCCAAGTGCCGGACGATAAGGGCCATGCTCTCAAACAATGCCATGGCCGTCGGGTCGCCACTTTGCACAGCCATGAACCGCTGGAAGACGGGCACAAGCACAGATGGTCCAGGGCCATCGGAGAAGAGATGGGGAGCGGCTTCAACTGCAACGCCAATGCAGTGATAGAGTTTGCGTAGGTTCTTGACCTTGTAGAGGGTCACGCAGGTTAGCAGAGTCTTGCAGATGTCACCGATGAAGGGTGCGACAGGGCCAACCTGCAGGCCCACCTGGAGGATGATCGTGAGACAATCCATGGCAGTACCCTGCACATGCTTGTTCCTGTCGTGACACCGCTGCTGGATGACGGCTAGGACGGAAGGCAAGAGATCACTCGCCAAATAAATGACCCCAGGCAGATAGACTGTCAAGCTCAGGCACGAAGCACTTCGCACGAGGGGCTGCGCTGCTGAAAGTCTCTCCATGAGCAGTCGCACCACAGATTGGAGGAATTGCGGGGCCACTTGTTGGATACTTCCACCAATGCAGCCCAAGGCATTGATTCCAGCCTCTTGCTGCTTCCAGCAGGGGTTTTGGAGCTTCGCTTCGATCAGCGGCAGCATTTGAAGGCAAGCTTCAGGGTGTGTGCCCATCGGCCCGGCGATGGCATCCAATGCATCTGCCGCAGCTCGTCGCGCCGTCCACTCCTCGCTCAGAAAGCAGCCCACCTGTGTCCCCTGTGGCACTTGCGGGCCGGTCCCAGCAGTTGGTTTCTCCTCTGCACTAAACCCACCCTCTTTGTGGAACTGTGGTTGGATCTCCTCCAAGGTGTCTGGCTCATTGGCATTGTCATTGTCCAAAGCACGCGCATCCATGGCCAGCATGTCTGCCGAGCCATACAGCAAGTTCTTCAGCAGGACGCCGGTGAGCTCTGGAAGGCTCTGCTTCAAAACTGGATGGAGTGCTGAGGCCTCGGAGGTCACCCGCCACACAGCTAAGGCCTCCCGCCGAACATCCTCATCAGAGTGCTCCCCTGCACGCAACATGAAGCTGAGGATCATCTGCACATGGTCAGATGACAGAGCGGCCCAACGTTGTTCGATCACGGAGCAGAAGCCCTTACAAGCATTCTGCATCAAATCAGCTTCCTCGCTCATTGCCAAAGACCCGAGGCTCTCAAGGAAGCGCCCTTGCAGCTGCTGTCCGTTTGCCCACTTCTCTGGGTCGAAGGCTCCCTGGACCAGAAACTGTGTAAGCAAGTCAGAGGACTGTTTCCTTAGCCACGCTGGCAGCTTTGGGTCTGTGAGTTCGATGGCTCGGGGCAAGATCTTTGTACACGACAGCTGCACGAAAGCCTCGTCCACATAGCAGCCCTGTGCCAGCAAATCCTCGGACGTAAGCGCCAAGGCCCATAGGCTTCCTTCCACCAAGTCCGCACTGTCCACGTGCAGATGTTGCCACAGGGCCTCCAGCACTGCTGGATCCAGGCGTCGTCTCATCAGGCAGGCCAGGACGCTCCCTGCTGTGTGGCGGAGGATCTTGACAGAGTTGCCCAAGGCCTTCATTACCTGTATGCAAAGGATTCTCTCTTCCTCCTGATCGATCTGACAACCCTCCTGGCCGTTCTGCTTGAGCAGATTTTTCAAGTAGATGCCAGCGCTTTGCCGAACATGAATGGACTTGGACTCCAATTCGACAAAGATCTTCGACAAAGCCGCGAGAAAGCCTGGCTGCTTTCGCAGCTGCTGCATTGAATTCAGTACCCTCCTTTGGACCTCGCCATTGGGAACAAGCGAAGCCTCCAGCAACGCACAAATCGGGTCCAGCTGTGACTCCGTGCAAATGGGGCCCGACTTGAGCTCGGCTAAGTGGCCGGGCCCTGACATCGTCATCGCCAGACCATTGCTGCACATGGCCATACAGTGATCCCCCAAAACCAGGGAATTCACTGTGCCTCTCAGTGCTTCGTGCTTCTTGCACAGATATAACAAGTGTACATTGCAGATCATACTTCTGTCCTGCGTTCTGTGTCGGCCGACTGTTCTGTCGAGCCTGGGTAGTCGAACACAACTGAACCATGCCGGTGTCTCTAACGTACGTCTGGTGTCATAAGCGTCACTCTCACTCCAATAACTCCTGGCGTTCTCCATGTTCTGTTTGGTCAGTTCTAATTTGTGCAGTCCTGCTCACCCTGCAAAGCGCCTGCAAGCAAGCGGAAGCAGCCGTGCTGACCTAAAGAGCAACAGCACACCACCTTCAAACACTCTTGAACCCAAGATCAGGGAACCGATCTGAGCTTTGGGCAGCTAGCCTGCGCCAAGCATCGAGGCTCTTGTGGTCAAAGTCCACAAGCACCCTTAGGATCAGACCGACGTGCACCCCATCTTGCGGCATCTCTCAGCCATCTTGCAGCCCGGGCATTCCATGCAACCTTTTGACATTGGGAGACTTACAACTCCACAAGAAAGGGTATCCCAGGACCTCCCAATTTTCCGGGGACTGGCCGCACCCCCTCGCACCGCCCCTCGTTGGACGGTGAACAGGAAATTGATACTATATCACATTTTCTACGACGACCGGTAAATTTACCCTTAAACGGCTGGAACATGCACTCAGGGAAGGCCATGGCCACAAACTCAAAACATGTCGAAGTATATAAAAGCACGAGAGCATAAGTTTATTGTCATGCGATCACAAATTCCTGGCGACTCGCTGCCCCCTGATTTTACGCCTACGGACATGGCCCCTCATCATCCCCCCATGGACCCGATGAACCCGCCCTACGGACAGCCGACGCAGCAACGTAACTGCCCTCCCCAAGGTACATCCCCCCGCCCCGTAGTCGTAACTTGATGTCACACATAGAAAGAGAAGCTCGCTCCCAAAACGTGCAGATTTGTTTGAGTGGTTCCAGTGCGCGGCCCCACCCTCGAATTTAGACTCCCCGTACGTAAACGTACCGGTTCAAAGATGTTCAGGCACCCTCAACCCCCGGGACCCTCGTTCTGGGTGCGACCTTTGTTGAACGTCATCGAGGCAAATTACAAGATAGTAAAATACCGCCTTTCTGGTGTATACTTTCGTAAAAAAATATTACCCAACATGTCAAACAACTGTTCTTTTCTGTCGTTCGCTCATGGGGCTAGGGAACCGATGTCCCCGGATAAGTTAGTTGTCTCTTCTTGTTTCTCTGTGCTTCTTTCCTCATCCGAGTTTATGCCTCTTAAGAGTGACCCCCGCAACAAAGAATACGAGTACTGTACGTTTATCTCGCTCTATCGCGCAGTCTCTTTCTTTCTTTCTTGGGGGCAGAGCTGTGTCTCTCTCTCTGTCTCTCCTTGCTTTCAGTACTTTATTGATTTCTTTACTTTGTTTCATCTTTAGTATGCTTCAGCGATTCCTTCCATACTTGTTGATTTGTCGGTTTACACATGTCTTGTGTCGCTTTTTCTTTATGCCAAACAGACCGGTTGTATTCGTTAGTTCGCGGCGCAACTTGGTGAGCCACACCGGACTACAACTTCTCAACTTTTTCGGAGCCACGCAAGAGTCTTTTCTTAAGACCACTCCAACACTCTTCTAAATCAAAGGTGCGGACCTTTCCAACGCAGCGATGACGTAGGAGCGCTCCTGCAGGAGTTCGTCAGAACGAAATCAAAGGACTCGTCTCTTTTTCTGCCCGCGGCTTCATGGCACTCGATGACAATCACCACAGCGATAAGCCTCTCCGTGAGAGAAATCAGGAAATCCCTCTAAAGCCAGAACAAAAAAAGCTTCCAATGGCTTTATAAGATGAGCATGTTTTGACATACTCCAGCGTACGTTCTCGCTGCATGGTAGCACTCCGACTAGCTCCTGTGAACCCAGATACGACTCCTACAAGAGTTGCTTTGAGATGTTACGGACCCGACAGCAAAATGGCAGGTGTGCACCCAAGCCTGCCAAACTCTACACGCAGGGAACTTTTGCTCCTTCTGACAACGCAGCAAACTTAAGCAAAATGCAAGTATGAGCTCAGCAAAGCAGAACGATCCCGTCTACACCGCCAGTCGAAAGGGCGGGACAAAGTCAAGCAAAGTCAATTTCAAGGAGGCGACCGAAAGATGTCAAAAGCATGCATCTTTTGCAACTGCAGCACATCTGCACATGTGACAGCAGGATGCGGCACTTCTCCATGCTTGAAGCTGCCGAAAAACTAAGAAACGCACTGATTTGCAGCAACTGAGGCTGTAGATCATCTCGAAATAGTGCGGTTTTGAGCAATTCTCGCACTGAAGCCTGCGGCACCTTACAGCGTTGGGAGTGGCCAGCATGTGCGGCCTTGCCTAGCTATCACCAAGAGCCATCGAATGCCATCGACATCTTGCACAAACACTTTGTCAGGTTCAGCCGAACGAGTCACTGGAGCGAGAGCACATGGCACCGAACAGCCCAGCACGCAGTGTTAGGGTGGATTAGCGTATTGGGCAGCAAGGCTCCAAGGGCTCCTCTGGGTCAGCTGAAAGCTTCGATGGGCTGACAGCTTCCAGGACCCGGAGGACGAAGTCTGCAGAAAAAAATGCAATCCGTGCCATTTGACAAGTGCCGTTGACGGGCCTGCGCGTTCTCGGGGAGCACCACAGCATTCCCTCAGCTGAATACCGCAGCGCGTTTCTTGCTTTTCGACATGGCTGGGGCGTCGCACTCTCCGCGCAACTCCAGGTATTCCTGGAGATGCCAGAAGCTTTTCAATAAGTGACAGGAAGTGCAACCTCCCCTCACCATCAGATGATCACTGGGAAAAACGCCTGCCTCGGGGCAGGTTAATGCTAAGTCTTCCAGCGGAACGACATCTGGAGGCGGGCAGCAGGCGATCTTGGCGGCATCCCACGCACAAACGCGAACGAACATGCACACAGACACACACACACACACACACACATGCTGACACAGCAAGATCACGCTTGTGAGCACAAGAAAACAGAGGTCGTTACGTACAAGATCAGTGTCGGAAAGCACTGTGATCCAGCAAACATCTGCCTCGATGTTCAGGTTTGAAAAACGAGGTTGTGCTCTCCATGCTGAATCTGAATCAACAACACCAAACGCGTGTACAAGTAACGGATGTAAGGGTCACTCTGCGACCTCTGCGGCCTCGCAGCTGCCCATTGCTTCAGCCATCGGTGTGTAAGTCGCTCTAAGCAAGCCCAGCAAAGGGATCCTGAGTCGGTGTTGTACAGGTTGCATTGCTACTGTCGATCATATGGTCGCCCCGGAGAAGCTGACAACGGCTAAGGAGCAGCACATCAGTGTGACAGATGCTGCTCGTTGCCCCATCGCCGTCTTCGACATGCAGATTTTGCCATGCATGCCAATCAGCCCGTGATTCTAGCGAGAGCATCAGGCTCTCAGAGATTGATGCATCTCGTATGTACAAAATGGTATATCCTGCTCCGTTCGACGCAATAGCGCAGTGCCCTTTGGACAGCAACGCTGTGAAACTCCCGTCCGCATACTTTGACCTTGTAGAAGCTTGGCTCGAAGGCAGAGATTTGCAGAGATGCTATGGTACTCTGATGGTATGAGGCCGAGAGCAGGCAGCTATTTGGAGCAGGACTGTCCGGACCTGGCCTTGGGCAGGCCGGGGAGAATTATTCGTCGAGAAGCCGGACTCGCCTTTGTCTGGGTTCCAGCTTGTTGAAAAGCCACATTTCCCCCGACCACCGTGACGCTCTTCGTCTTTGTTCTGTCCACCTCCCTTCACAGGTTTTTTGACAGATCTGCGCTGCTCTGCTTTGCTGCAGCCAGCCAGGACACGACCTTGAGGAAAGCAGCCAGGTCGAGAGTGTTGCCGCAGTCCATAAAGAGCTTGACCTCTTGGGACGTTTTTTGACAAAGGAGTTCTTGTTTCGCTTAGTAGACCTGGTGCAAGCACGTGTGAAATCTTGCGAAAGCATCTGCATCGCGACGGGCCTTGACCTCCTCCTTCTCGATGGGTGTCAGTTTCACTCCGAGCTGGAGGAGGATGGTCCAAAGCCCATTAACGCTAAGCGTTGCCTGGACGCGGCAGCAGAACACGGACCAAGAAACCGAGCCTTTAATGCTTGGCAGAAGCTGCACTCGGGGGTCCTTCGGATCAGAGGTCGGCGACCCTCGTTCGGCCGTCAAGCCTCAGGCGCGATGCAGCTTAGGCCTGTTTAGGCATGCCCCGAACACAGCTTGTAGCTTTTGTAGCAGCTTTTGATTGTGGCAGCTTGCCTCGCGAAAAGATAGCGGACAGCTCATCGACTTCTGCCTTCGGTAGGGGTTTGCACACGCACATGAACAAAAGGTACATCTGAACCTCACTCAACCTCACTAACCGTACACTAACCTCACTTGAAACTTAACACTCCCAGGCCTGGCCTGCGAAAAGCTCGATGGACCAGTACCTCGAAGATGAGAAGCCCTTTCTTTGTCCTTAGACCAGACAGGGACCAAAGACCTTGACCTTTGGCTTCAGCAACACTCTGTGCTCACATATTGCTCTCACACTCTCCGTGGCCTGGTGAGTCTGCAGGATGCGTTGGAGATGGATGAAGACCCACAACGTCACAGCTGCGGAGCCCTCTGTCCCGCAGAGATGCCTAGGAACCTCAGCTGAATTCGGTGCAGCTCTTGAGCAGACTCTTTTGAGTAGGCATACGACTTGCACAAGCAAAATGCAGAGCGACTGCAGAGCGACGATCAATCTTAGGACTTTTGCTCCCCAGGGAACGCCAGCTTGCAGCGCGGTTGTTCGTGCTTCGTTGATGAAATTGAGCAGCTGCCTCGTCTGCAAGAAAGACCCCAACCAAATTTCTCACCAGTCAAGGAAATTGGGCTGACAAACAAGCATGCGCAAAACTCTAGAATTGACCGGTCACTGCTGATCCTTCTTCGTCTGCAAAGACAAACCTGACAGGTTCCAAACATCTCAGGGAACTGTGAACATTGCAGAGAAGTACAGCTAGCCGCAGCTAGCCTCGTTCTCGACAGAATGCCACCAACTCGTTCTGAGCAATCTCGCCGCCTTAGTAGCTGCGGAATGCTCGCCCCAACCTCGAACCTCTACTCGCAGCCGCTTGGCAAACTCCAGCATACTTAACTCTTGAGCTGCAGCTGGCGGGCTGTCGTCCTTAGATGCCATGCATATGCGACACGTGTGCAGACAGCATCGTGACACCAACAAGTGCAGAACAGTTTCAGAATCGAGAGCACGGAAGAGCTTCTGGAACTTGTCTACAGCTTCGTCCGAAAAACCAGCTTGCCTTACAATCACAGGAAATCTGGCGACAAGGAGCACAGTAGTTCCATGACTACTGCGATTACCGGAACACACGTTTCAGTACACCTTCATCAAGGCACTTCCGCATCTTCTCCATGTTCATGCGACGGCAAGAGTCACAAAGAAGCACCATCGCATCATAGTCAAGTGCATCTCGGAGCAACGCTCGGAACACGCCTGCGAGGACGCCGTAGCAACCCTTTGCACCTTCTTACTTCTCTACACTCTCGAATATACTCTCTCGTATACTCTCTACACAGGCTGCGGGTCCTGTGGTCGAAGTCACGAAGTTATCTGAGAATCCAAGCAGTTGCAGCATGGTTCTCACGTCTCCAGGCTCCACCGTGACCTTGACGGCTCCATCCTGAGGGCTCAGCAGAGGCACAGAGAAGGGCTCAGAGAAGCAAAGAATCGAAACGGCTGTGAGGTGCGAAGTCTTCGCCTTGGAGATTCTTCCAACACGGACACGGACCGGGCGCAAGAGCCTCAACAAGTTCTCACAACATATCAACCTCCTAGAAAAAGTTCGGCGGGTCGGGGTGGCGCGGCTCCGCGCTCACAAAACCAAACAGCGAAGCATGAACGGAAAGCCCCTTGCGGAGGAAAGCGCAACGAGCACAGCAAGAACCCGTGCGATCGACCAGCAGATGCACGCACCCAAGAACCATTGGTCAACAACATCGCATTGGCAGATTTGGCCACACAGAGCTGCAGTGAACTGCAGTGAACTGCAGGGAACTGCAGTGAACTGCAGTCAACTGCAGGGAACTGCCGGGAACTGCAGGGAGCTGCAAGGAGCTGCAAAGAGCTGTAACCTGCATCGGAACAGGCCGCTGCGCATGCCCGGCCGCCGCCCATGCCCGGCCGCCGGCTATCAGGCAGGTGGTAAACCGGAAGATCGAAACTAGAAAGGCGCTACAAGAGATGCCTTCCCAAGTTGCATCCCCACCCGGACCGCACTCAGAAAGTTGCGGCATGGTTAAAACCCAGCATGAAATGCGGCTGTGTGTCTTCTGCCACGTAGGTATCGGCATACTTGTCGAAGGTATCCTTGATGCCTTGGTTTCAGACAGCATGTAAACCCAGCCACTCAGCACTTGTCTGAGACGACCTCTCTCTTATGAAAGGTACGCAGCAGCTCCTGCTCGCGGTGCATACGCATCAGACGCAGAAACTCAGAAAAGTCCAAAGAGTTGCTGCCATTCCTTGGCCAGGAAAGCCAGAAAAGGCGAGCACCGCAGTGTCCACACATGTCCACACCCTCAACATTCCCAGACACATGCCGAGGCTCCAATCCACGGTCTTCAGGAGCACCTGGCTCGTCCCCCCCCACAGAACTAATCAAAAGAACAACAACTCCAATGATGGAACGGTTTCCATAACCGCTGAAATGAGAAAAAGAAATGCCCCACCTGGACTTCTGCCAGTTCGGTGACAAATCCCAGAGAGCGAAGTATGCCACCGACTTGGATCACATCGACCTGCTTCAGTGTCAGGGAATCGACCCTTTCCGTAGCACATCCTCAGCCATTCCAAACCAAGGAGAAACCTCACCAGCGCGGTCCGTGTCGAACATGTCGAAGCTCTGCTTGAACTCCTGTCAATTCGTCACACGAAGTGTAGGTTCCAGAATGTTCCAGAGATTGCGATGCTGGCAAGACATGTACATGCATCCGTCCCTGACTTCGTGCCGCATGAAGCCGTTGGAGCTTCGGAAAAGCTCCATCCTGGGCTCAGGGATATTGTCGAGCATGATTTCCCAAGTTATCTTGGTCGCTTGGTCATGGTCCACAGCTGACATCCCCGTACAAACTCAACTCGGTCGATGCTGGAATGATAAAGTCCGCCACCGTACTGTATTGCACTGCACAACTCGACCCTCTCTCCTCTCCAGCCCAACTGGCTGCTCTAACTCAGGGCCAACTTGTCGAGGGCTCTGATGTGAACAGGACTTTGCCGCTTAAGGCGCATCTGGACAAACTCATCGAAGTCCAGCATCCCACCTGACTCTCAACCAAGCTCCGCAAGGCAAGACGCTGTTCAAAGAAGCGGATCAGCTCACGCTCAGGTCCTTGCGCTTCTGTGGGCCAACTGCCTCAATCATGTCCATGATGACCTGGGGCAGTACTCTCTGATGCGACAAACTACTATATATATCTACAACATCCTGCCACAACATCCGTTTAGAACAAGTCACTGCCCGGAGAGGCGTGTAGCCAAGACATTCCAGAACAAGGCGTATCTCTTCCTTCCGTCTGAATCTCTGCGATGCTATATTGGGCATTGCCATTGCTTCACCATTCTGCACACGCTTCTCAAACGAACACGTCTGAATCCAGCGCCGTCCTCGTCCAAAAAACCTCCCTGGTCCACATCTGCACGGGCAAACTCCTGGCGCAATGGCAGTGTGTTAACAGAACATCCTTTAGTGCACGTTGCTTGGCGCCTGCTTGTACCACTGTACTTCAATCTCCCGAAGTCGCCTCGTGACAGCTATGACATGTCATGGCACTCACGCCGGAAGTTGACTCCCAACCGCTCAGCATCCATTGGTAAAAACCGATCACGAGCGTGTGCACATGTGCGCGTGCGCGCTTGTGCACGCGTGTGCGCTTGCGCACGCATGTGCATGTGTGGGTGTGTGCTTTTGTGAGCGTGTGTGCATACCTGCATGCGCGTAGTAATCGTAGTGTGAGCGTACAAAAAAGGAGGGTGCTGGTTGAACACGCTGCAACATGCTGGTTTCGTACAAAGACGAGGAGGCCGGTTTCGTACAAAAAGCTGCGGTGCTAGCTGAGCATGCTGGTTTCGTACGAAAAAGAGGAGGGGTGCTCGGTGAACACGCTGGCGTCCTACAGTACAAAACGAGGTGGGTGCCAGTTGAACATGCTAAGGAAGGTGCCAGTTGAACACGCTTAAGTTTTCGTACAAGCTTTTGTCGTACAAACTTTTGTGAGTGTGTGCATATGTGTGTATGTGCGTAGTATGTGTGCGTGCGTACAAATGGAGGAGGGTGCTAGTTGGCCACACTGGTCTCGGAAAAAGAAGCACCCTAGTTCAACACGCTGGTTTCGTACAAGAAAGAGGAGGGTGCTAGTTAAACATGCTGGTGTCGAAAGAAAAAGGAGGGTGCTAGTTGAACACGCTGTCTGTGCGACCGGGCATGACCTTATCACTCGGGAGCGGTGCACGCACAAAGAAAGAACCGATCGAAGTCCGGTCGACGTGATACCAAACTAGCCAGGCACTGCACATCGAATGCCTTAAAGGGCAGTCGGGGTAAGAATGCCCTTTGCCCAGGCGCAATCTGTCCGAGAATCGGGGTATTCTTGTGGCCAAAACGGCCACGGAGATTCGAGGTATTAAGAAACAGCCGACTTTGCCCGGGTTGCTTCGAACACACATGCTCTACGCGACGGCAGATGACATTTGTCTACCGTTCAACAGGTGCATGCGAGCGTGTGTTGTGTGTGGATGTGGGGGGGGGGGGGCGATTTGCACACGGCGAATTTAGCAACATGCCAGTACCTGCAATTTCAAGAGGAAATATGCATCTTGCTCAACTCACTCGCCCGTCCTGGCCCAGATGAGAAACTCGCCTCGGGGCAGGCACCCGTGTGCCCTCCGCAGCACTTCAGCGCAGCACTACTTCAGCACCCCTCTGTCTCGGCAGAACCCTCTGAAAAGTTGAGCTGCGGAAGGTCATGCCTTCCATCTTCTTGGTAAGCTTCTTCCCCTGGCCATCTGGTTCAAAATTCTGCAGTTCTCTGCAAACTCCAGCTGCATGTTTCAAAGTGAACTTGGGAAGTGGAAGCATCATGGAGCATGCGAAGCTGACTAAAAGACTCTGCGCGGCGGAAAAAACACAGGAATACCCCATGTCTCGAGTCGAGTCAAGAAGACAGGAAAGCAGCATAAGTTCGGAGAGCCAAGAAGAAAAAAGAGAGCGAGCAAAGGGAATCCTCGAAAGACATAGGAGTAGTTTGACATTGAGGAGTCATGCCGGGGCGCCTCCTCTCCTTCTGAAGACGGCCTTCGAGCCCAACAAGTGTGACGGACAGCAGAATTGCGGCCACGAACAACCGGAAACAATTCCGATTGTTTCACTCGCCCTTGATCGAATTCCGTCACTGACCCGTTCGGCGCCACCCATCAGCCTATACAAATAACAGTCGCCCAGATGCCCGACAGATGCCTCGGCATGGCGCTCCCAAGTCGTGAGGCCAGCTGCGCGGCCTGGCTGCCGAACATCTCGATGAGGGCCTCTGCAGACACGTCTGCAAAAACAATGTGAAACGACGAGAGACAGGAGAGGGTAGAGACAGAGAGAGAGATGAGGAGAGAAGAGAGAAGAGGGGCAACCCAAAAAGAGCTGGAAGAACAAAACGCAAAGAAAGTGACCAGTTTTGCCTTGTTGGAACGATCGTAGGGAAGCATCGTTCTCCCTGACGTGCTCGGCCTCCCACTCAAACCCCGGAGATCATCTCTGGTGCACGAAGCAATACAAGATCGGATAACTTGTGAAAAGGGAGCGGATACTGTAATCAAACTAGATTGCTTCTTGGATCAGCATCTCTATCTGTTGCGACTGCCGAGCGACGTTGTCTCGGCAAATCGGCTGAATATGCGGTGCAGCTTCAATACCTTGCGCGCTTGCACAGGCTTGCTGCCGTGAAGCCGGTCACGCTATCCATGCAGCGCCTGTCTACCTGGATTGGTTCCCGGCCTCCGTCTCAGAGAAGCCTTCCGTTTTTCCTTGTGTGTCAGTGACCACTTGTGTCACACAAGCCGCTCTAAGCCATGCCTATCTCTGAGTCTCTGAGTCAGGGCACGGTAGATCAGAAGCAGCTGCACGAACTCCTCAAAGTCCAGACTGCCCGATCCATCTTCGTCCACCACAGCCAAGGCTCCAGCTATGGTTGTTCCTGGACACTCAGACTGTCTCGACATCATCTTTCCGACTCATCCGATCTTATCTAGCCACAGCCTGATATCCGCAGGACTTAATTTCGAAACCCTGAGGTATCACCCGGTCAGCAGAATCTCAATTGCAGCAACTTTTCTGGAAGGTGTGATTCCCAACGATTTCAGCACATCTTCCTCAGTGGCCGAAATCGATCGTGAGATGACTGACTTGCAAGGAAAACAGACAGCATGCAGTCCCCGCACACGGGGAACAAAAAAGGATGCATGTTGAGCATCCAATTCATCAGAACTCAGCTCGCCCGAGTTGTCTGCATCGAAAAGCAGGAACTTCTCGCGCACCTATCATCCGGCTCTTTACTCTGATCTGAATTCGAAGCGCTCTGCAACTTTGCTGTCAACATCGCTTTTGCCGCTCAGACACTTGTTTCTGATCGTATGCCTGACTAGGACATGCAGCTCCCCAGTCTGCCAAAACAGGATCTGTTTCAAGCTTTGCTTTGCAATGACCTCTTCAGGCCCATCATGCTGCTTTGTGCAGCACAGTTGCCCTGGCCCGGGTCATGAAACTCATGAATTCCTCGAACTCCATGGTGGAATACCTCCTTGGCTGGCCATTCATGCCAAGTGTTGCTCTAAACCAACCTGTTGCATCTTAAAACAACCGGCGACATGTGCGCATGCATGTAGTGCATGCGCGTGTGAACCCTTAGCTGCCGTTTCGTTTTGGATGGGTAGTGCTGTGCAGTTGCTTCTTTCATTTGCGGGGTTGAGTGCTTTACGAACATGGGGTGTTGCCTCTCTTGCTCTTGACGATCCGAGTGGCGTAATTTCTGACACCATTGCCTGAATGTCAGCTTCAGGAATCTTGAGGTAGCCCAGGTAGTCCAGAATCCTTGGTGGAGCATTGGAACCGACCAAAACCCAACCGAGTTGCATGACGCTTGCTCGCCAGGGATCTGTTCCAAATCGTCTGTATGGATCTCTGGGCCTAGGCTGCAAACTTGAACACAGATGTGGAAAGCCCGAGCTGCGCAAGGAGGAAGCTTGGAAACTCTCACCTTTGCAGCCATTTGCAGCCGAACGTCTGAAGGCTTGCCTTGGCTTCGCAGGGTGCTTCGCAAGATTTCGCAAGATTTCGCAAGTGGTCCGCTGTCTGCCATCCGAGATACCGATGCAAGACAAAGGCCTTGCGTAGCCGCTCGGTGTCCTTATCCGTGAAGCCTTCAGACCTCGGCAGGACTACGACGACAGCTTCGCACCACTGTCCGCGGCGCGAATTCCCGAAGCCTTTCCGAAGCCTTCAAGCAACCGCGTCCGATGGGAAGAAAGGGAAGCCTGAAACCCAGCAAACAAAACAAAAAGCGAAAATCGAGAAACTATGGTGTCCAGTTCCCGAGTCCTGTGCGAGTCGTGCGAATCACCCATGCGCATCAGCCTCGGGCTTCCGACGGTCACCAAAGGCGTATTCGACTCAGTAGACTGATTTGGAAAGCCAAGATGCACTTCCTGCTCATTGGGAGGAGTCAGAATCTCCTCAGCTAGCGTTCGTAACTGTGCAGGGAACACCTCCAAGATTCGGAGAGTGCAGCCGAAATGGTATGGTAAAACGGTAGCCGGTAACCCCTGCCGCCACGGCGCAATCAAATCGGGGTCTTGCAAATCAGAATCACTTCCAGCGTAAATTCCATCACCTGTGTGGAAATGATTGGAGGAACTTCGGGTGCGGGAACTTTTGTGCGAACTCGTGAGTCTTGAGAAGGTCTTGCGAATTTGCACCTCGAGCTCTGGCATGCTTTAACGTAATTCTCGCTGGTGCTGACTCGGCTTCTTTGGCACGTGCAGCATCCTGTCCCACACAGACTCACTGGAAAATGCCCCTAGATTTACAAGTCACAACAACGGGCTCTCTCTCCCTGTCTCTCTCTCTTTCGCTCCCTCTGTCTGCTCAGCATGAGCCAGATGCCTCATCCGAAGCGTTTGGCACGCCTTTTCGATTAGAGTTTCTTCGTCGCGCCAGCATGGCTTCAATGCTTTTTCGCCGCATTTGAATGGATTGCAAAGAGGCGTGGACTGGTCCACCTTGGTACGCAAATTTTGAGATCACCTTTAAGACACCAGTGCGAAATGCGAGCAAGCTTCCCTCAGGCTCGCCGAAACTGGAAGAAGCATCTGAAGAACCATCCTCTGCCTACAGGCACATCCTAAACTACTCTTGGATGTCACAACAGGAAACGAGACAACTCGCAAGTCACCTCCTCTGCGATCTTGAGGTCCGTCAGAGACCACCAGCAGCGCAGGCTTCTGACACGATCACTGGAATTTCAGTCTCGATTCTTTCTCTGGTAAGGCGGCATCTCTTCTGCCTTCTCTCCTCTTTTCATGCAGTCTAGGAACAAGGCCGGAACCCTTCCCCTCCTAAAGTCCCCAAACCCATCTCGAATACTCATGCAGGCCCCAAAAAACACCAATTCATGGCTTCCGGATTGCCCGTTCAAAGCAAGATGTCTTGTGTACGTGAACAACTTATCATTCACGAAGACTTGCAAGCCCATAGCAGTAGCAGTATCCGAACCGCTGAGGTCACATTGCTTTGCAAAGTGTCCAGACTGACGCCCGAAACATTTTTCCCCCCTATCTCCTGACCCCTGAAACCCTAAACCCTCAAACCCTCACCCTAAGCCCTAAACCCTGAAACCCAACCACCCGAAGCCGCAAACCCTGAAGACAAAAACCCTAAACCCTAAAAGCGTAAACCCTGTATAACCCCAAGGCAAAAATCCTAAAGCCTTAAGCCCTACAACCCTAAAACCCTAAACCCACACCCACACCACGGGGGAGGGTGGGAGGATGGGGGGGGCCCAGCTGCCCGCCGGGGCGCAACCATTTCTGCAACGGAATGTGTGTGTTAGACGTGTCGCGTGTCAGTACCCCCCCACCCCCACCCCACATCCCCCCACCCACCCCTAAACCCGAAAACGTCAGGCAAACTCCATACCACGGACCCTAAAGCCTTAAGCCCTGACCCCTAAACCCTAAACCCCACAACTCTAAACCCTAACGCCCCTAAACCACACAGCCCCAAAACCCGAAAACACCAAAGCCCTAAATCCGAAACCCTAAAAACCTGCAACCCTAAACAAGGCCTTAAGGCCTTTGTCCTTAAATGATGTTCATCATTTTGTTCATTCTTTATAACCATTGCAAAATCCAATTGAAAACATACCATTTTGTTAAAGCTTTGAATGCTGTATCGTGGTTCTCCAAAAACATGTCTATATATGTATGCGTATATGTATATCATCTTTATCATATATTGAACTGGTAAATCCTTAGGCACAACCCCAAAACAGAACCCTAAACCCTTGAACCAGAAACCCGAACCTGAATCCTAAATCCTCAACCCCCCCCCCCCCCCCGCCACCCTCTCTCCAGTCTCTCCTTGCTTCATGCGCTAGTGCAGACTGCCTGTACTGCTTCCTCGATCGTTGAGCAGTTCCCTCAGTGGAACAAAGTGGCCAAGCCCTCCAACGTGCATATCAGCGCAGAACAGCGACGCCAACTGCTGAGGTGAGAGCTGGTCTCGAGCCTTCCAACATGCAGCAGATCAGAACGACATGCAAAACAGAAAATCCTCACCTTCTCGTCTTTCGCGGGCAACTCGCTTTGTCGCGCGGCCTCACGGATTACTCAGCTGCCCAGAAACTCGTTAACAACTTGGCGCCACTTCAGCCAGCCGGCGCGCACGCTTGCAAAAACTCGTGCAGCCAAGCTGCTACAAGACTGGGCAAAAAGCTGGTCAAATGACAGTGCCACTCCATGTCCACTAGTTTTTGGCCTGCAAACACGAGCCAGGGCAAAACGGTCGTGCATGCAAACTCTTCTCATCGGCATGTTCCCGTCAGCATACAATCTTGAGTCTCTTCGCACGTTCTACCAGCCACTATCTGCTTGGAATGGTCCGGCCTGCTTCTCGAAACCACAGAACCTACACATGCAAGCTACGACAAATGTTTCCACGAAAAAACGTTTACAAGACCAAGAATGCGGCGTGGGCTCTGCCAATGTGAGGACGTGCTGGCAGTTCCGGGACGACGGGCCCCTGTCAGAGGAATGCCACCTATATGTATGAAAACATTGTGCAAGTAACACATGCGCTAACCGGGCAAAGTCACCAGATCGGCTCCAACTCAAACAGCTGCTTCCTGCGAAGCCTCAAGTCGCAGCAAATCACAATCAAACACGCAAAGCTGGTTTTTGCTCCCAAGCCATCACATCGAGGCCCACGAGTCGCACACGAGTCGCATTCTTGCCACCCAAGACACTCATGGTACTTCCATGTTGGCTGTTGAGAACACCGCATGGAGCTGCCTTCGCGTGCCGATGTAAAGACTGGTTGCTCAGAGTATAATACAGAATTCTGCAAAACCACCAAAGCATCGGCGTTTTTGGTCATATCAAATCACTCCCCGCACGATTCACGTGGAAGCTGTCACGTTGCTGTCTCACTGCTGTCGGGGCAAGTTGCGTCGCGGCGCCGGTGACACACGTCATTCAGAAGCGTCGAACCTCTGCAGATATCACAACTCGCTGGTTACAATACATCCACAAATTTCAACGAGAGCCTTCAAATCATGTCACGAATACTACATCAATCCCATACCAAAAAAGACACAGCCTGCGAGCTCCAATTGTTTGTTCGAGCTTCTCGGGCGCACACCTCGCCGTGAACGCAACAGCAACCAAGTTTGAAGAATGGCACATCCACCCTGTCACGTAAAACGGCCAAGAAGCTTGGCTTCTGCTGCACCATGGATCTTGTTTCACGTGTTCACTGACGCATTCATGTTGCAGGACATCACATGGTTACTCATGTGCAAGGCTGTTGTCTCACCAACATTTTGTGAGTTGTTGGTTTGCTGCAGCGTTTCCGTTCGAAAGTAAGCAATCCCTCTGCTCAACCATCCCTGTCACAAGCATGTGCATTCCGAAATTGGCTTTAAGTCTTGCCGGCCGCTAAGCTTGAGACAGCGAAACAAATGGACAAAACGAAAAAGTTGCAAAAACGACATGTGCTAGCTCACACTTTCTGCGTTGGATCAAAACCGACCCAGTTGAACAACCAACCGTGCCAGTATGGATTCACACCGTAACATTCAGCATCCAAAGCTGTGCTACACACAACATTGAACCGACATATGAACCTTAATTTGCTCCTGGCTCTTCGCACAGCCGCTGTCCGAGCAATAACCCATGTCAAATCACGTAAAACATGTGAAGCTTGAGCGTAACGCATGCCTTGCCTGAATTTTCGAACTTTCTACAAACCCTGCATAAGGCTCACATGCCTTGCTGTCTCACTTAGCGTTCACAATATGCAAAAGGCATCGCACGCATTGCATACGTTTTAGTTGCACCCACCCTCCAACTCCCAAAAACAAAGAGAGCAATTGCAAGACGGGCACGGCCACGTAATGAACACGGCTCGCAGGGGTTCCGAAGCGTGCAAGCAACTTTTCACCTTCGCGTCATGCTTCACCAAAAAGGCAAGAGCAAATAACGCACTCCAAAGCAATGTGACATTCACTTTTCCCACTTCTGAAGTTAAATCACAAACCGAGTCTTTTGCCATTCTCAACTGCACGGCAATGAATTCCGCCTTAAAGACGTGATGTGTCCAAGATTGGATGAGCGACGGAAGACAACCTTTGTGTTTTGGGCGCATTCTTGAACAACGCCTTGAAGTAAATCGAACGAAACTGACGGTTTAACAATGCTTTCTTGCGCTGACTTATAGGACCACCTCATTGTCTCGAAGGCAACCTCCACCTAACCCCAACCCTCCAACACGACACGAGGACACCGAGCGACTTCAGCGGGCTCAGCGTCTCAAAAAAAACCTCTGAAAGGATTTAAAAAACCAAAAATCAATTGAGATCGCAGGCTGAAGAAAGACATGCCAGGGCCTCTTCATGTTGTGAGAGAGGGCCGTTTCACCTAAGAGTCAATGGTGGTGCAGCACCTCCACGTGGGCGCCAACAGGTCCCACAGCAGACTTGCCAAGCCTGTAACTCACGTCAGCTCGATTATCCTTGTTCTCCTCCATCCAAGGCAAAAAAACTCTGGCCCACAAAAACCGCAAACGTGGCCAGACCCTCATCCTGAAGGGAGAAAAGCGGAAGCATGGAAACGGGAGGGGAGGAAGGGAGGGAACATAACGCAAGGGAAGCTTCTCCAAATGTTCGCAGCAATGAGGGCACTGTTCTAACAGCCAGACCAACCTGACCTGCAACGCCAAGAAAACTACGAGGTTTTGGAATTTGCTTCTTCTGCTCTGTTGCTGTGGTTAAGGTAACCGCCGCTGTGTCGAGTGCTGGCCGAGGAAATTCACGCTAACTATTTGGGCGTGACAAGGATCAAGAATGTGTCGGCTGGTCTCTCTTGGGCCAGTTAAAAAGAAGCTTCGTCGGTTCTGTCTGATACAACTCAGTGCATGATGGCCGCATGGATCAATAGCTTGTCCGCAAAAGTCTTTTCCCCTCCTACTCAACACGCATATCTTCGCCTTAGACAATTTTGCTTTGCAACATTCTGTGATGACAGACAGAATCTGCGTGTTTCAAAGTTTCCAGCTCATTTTTATTATGTTCAAAAAAATCTCGAACTGTAAGTCTTTCTTCTGTTTCTGACTTGGTTTTTGCCTGACGGCAAAATGGTCGTGCGAAGCACTCTCCCCATTAAAAGTCAAAGCAACCTGAGGAACCCTGTGACTTACAGTCAGAGAGCTTGGAAAAAACAACCAGGCACAACCCTCATACAAGTCAGATTGCCCACACGACAAACGAAGGACTTCTATCAGGCGCACGCGTGTTTGAACCAGGTTTGAACCCATTAATCATCGACTTCTCTGATTCCAGCGCCCGAGCCTTTTCAATCTCTCGCCTCAGATTGCTCCACTGCAAGAACAATGAAGAAAAGAAACAAGTTGCCCCTCCTCCTCATTTCCATTTCTTTCTTCAGCCAGCTTGAAGACAACTGGCATAGAGCTGTCCGATTCTGTAAAAGTTCGGTTCTTGTATGAAAGTTCCTGTCTAAGGACGTGTTAACTTTGTTGTCCTGCATGCTGGCTCAGAGTTGTGTGTGTGTAGTTGGAGGAACTCGTAGTTGTGCCTTGGAGGAGGCTCGGGAGTGCTGCTTTAAGTGGGAAAGCCTTTTGAAGTGCTTGAGTTGTAGGGATCTGTGTCTGGAAGCTGCAGAAGACTGTGCACGTTTTTGCTTGCTTTAGGTGTAGTTGGGTAGGTCCC